GAGCGATCTGACAACGCCGCGTTGCAGCACCGTAAGGTCATGCGGCATCGTCGAGAGTAGGGGGATCGAGTGCCGATTTTCTTTTTTTTTTTTGTTGCCTCATCGCATGGCGGAGAGATTAAAAACTCATGTCGCTTGTCTAAATGAATTATGCGATGTTCGAGTCGGACGGCGACGAATAATTGTCTCGAGCGTCGCGGCGGCGTTGTGCCGTCGGTTTCGATTGCGAAATTCGCGTTTTGAAAAAATCGCTCTTCGGAAAAGCACTATATATAGAGCGTCATTTTGTTGCCGAACGAGGACATGTTCCGGGCAATAACTCACTCAAGTTATTGATTTAACATCGTGATGGGGGATTCGAATCAAATTAGAATGCCGACGAGGCGTATAAAAATAGATGGACGATGTTTTAACACCCCCCACCACCCGCCATCGTTCTACCCTATTTAGGTTAATTTCCGAAGGTTGTGTGACAATATTTTCATTGTTTGTTTCGACGCCGCTTTTCGTTTAATTCCGATATTTAAAACAGTCAGGTTATTGACAGCGCGTGTGTGTCTATATTTAGATACCAGATTTCAGATTTTCAAAAATAGCAAAAATTGATGGATCTAAGGTCCCTCGAGCGGTTAAACTATAGTCCAAGTCACACTGAGAATACAGTGTGGGTAGCGTAGGCAATGCATTTCAAATGGGTGAAACCGGCACAGCGTTGCCGAGAATCAAATAGCAGTAGCAATAGCAATAGATTTGCAATTCCACAATGACGTTCCAGAACCGTACTTCGGTACTTCGTGCATACAAAAGCTGACGGATTTTTGTAGAGTTTCATGGGTCAGATTCCTTTATTATTATTAGTTCATGCAGTGAAAAATAAATTCTTACTTTAAAATTTTAATGTTAAAAAAGTTATTTTACATCAAAATAATCATTATCGTCATTGGACTCGTCCCCCACATTTATAATTAGTTCTGGTCCTAGTCGACGTCTGTAAACATTTTCTTCTTCGATTACATTTTTTCCAACTAGAGACAGATATGTTTTCTACTTCAATTTTTATTAATTCTGTTGCCCCAGAACTAAATTTCGGCGAGGTGTTGTTTCTTCTTAAACTGGGTGTCAGTCTTGAAAAAAGAGTCTTGAAAAACAATTGAATAACAGTAAGTTGGTAATTACTAATAACAAACACAAAACGGAATAGAAATAACTCCAAATAAGCTTCCACGGCTAAAAAAATACTGTTTCATAAAAATGACAGTATACTCCGACTTCACCAACCCCCACAAATCAACCAATAGCAAACTGGGACATCCATTATAGGTCAATTATCTACATAAGATTTTGTATTGCTTTCTTAGAAAAATATTTTAGAGTCATTATGTTAAACCCTCAAATTGGAAATCAGTTTAAGCTTTCTAAAGTGTTTTTAATATAGGAGATCAATCTATCTAATGGGAAAATTCAACTAGAAATCGAGGAACCTAAAGCATAGACTGGTTTAGGAAGATTTATAAAAAGCACACTAATATGAATTAATATAACAGTTCAACAATGAAAATTTCCCTACTCTTAAAATGCAACAGCACAGCACATTTCTTGTCGGCTAACATCTTAAACACTTGGTTTGTCTCTTCTGTTCTGTTCTACAACAGGTGCGTATTAAACTCGTTCCGAAGTCAGAATCATAAAATGTTTTAAAAACGAGATATCGTTAGCTAATTTTAATATCATTTTCAATACATATTAAATAATAAAAAGATTAGAATAACATAGGTAATAAAAGTTAATATTAAAAATTAATATTAAAAATATGATTTTTTTTTATTATATTTTATGTTAGATCTCTTACCATTAACATAGAATGAAATTCAAATAAGGGCAAGTGCTCCATGCGAGTGCGAAAATTGTGATTTTTAATATCATTTGCTGTTTAGTGAATGATGAAAAGGTGAGTTTAAGTGCAGCTGTGAGAAGCGCTTCAAAACTGAGTGGTGTTAATGAAAGAACAATTTTCAGCATTAAGAAAGAAGCGGGACAGAACAATGTCGAAGTTGAAAATCCTATTCCAAGAAAAAAACTGACAAGTCAGTCAAATTTTTGCGATTATATATATGATAAAGGTTTTAAGAGTTTACTCAGACAAATTGTTCATTTTTTTTTTCAAAAACATTCCTCTAACTTTAATTGCAATTTATACAATATGGATAAGGGATAAGGATTTGCCAAGTATCTCTTTAAGAACATTAGGTTAATGAATATGCGAAACGTGCTGGCAAAACTATAATGTCGCCAACTTAATTGTAATATAAATGAGAATTGGGTCAATGCGGGCCATACGATTAATTATGCTTAGTGTGATAATACCATAACAGTTCGCAAGAGTGGCAATAACAATGGCAATATAATCATCGCCCAACAAGTAAGCTGTGTATTATTGGTAATTTTTTTGAAAAAATCATGTAAGAATAAATTTTATGGTAATTTAAAAATAAAATTATTCAAGAACAACATGGATTCTTCTCGCAACGATTCTTAGACACCAACTGTTTCCGTTTATCTGACTATGTATTAGAGCAAATAGATAGCGGTGGGCAGGTAGATGTAGTCTACACTGACTTCAGTAAGGCGTTTGACAAAGTTGATTAGTATATAATGTGGGTCAGGTTTGTTGAAATCGGTGTGGAGGACCACCTCAAGCAGGTTTGTAGCTCCTACATATCGCACAGAAAGAGCTTTGTAGCGATAACTGGAGATCAGTTAAATCCATCTAACATAGCTTCTGGAGTTGCCCAAAGAAGCCATCTTGGCCCTCAATTTCTTATAATTTGCATAAATTAAATTAAATCGTGCTTCAAGAATACTAAATTTTTGGTATTTGCAGATGACCTGAAAACGTTCCAAAAGTTAGAGTGAGACAATAGCACTGCCTGAACCTTCAAGCAGATCTTTTGCGCTTAGATAAGTTTTGGGAAGAAAGTAGTCTATTTCTTATTACTTCGAAGCGCTTCAGTATTTCATTTTACAAAATACACTTTTATTATAATTTAAATAACACTAATTTTAAGACATCACTAAAATCAGAGACTCAGGGGATATGTTTAATGAGAAATCGATGTTTAAACCGCATGTTCGGAAAGTTCGTTAATAACTTCCAACAAACTTGCGGACTTCATTATAAGAAATACAAAATATTTTAAGAATATTAAATCAAGTAATTTAAAATCAGATGTACGAGGTACATATTAATCGTCTTGAGAGCGTCAAAACAAATAGATATTCACAACTATTGCTAAATAAGATCAAAATTGAAAATAGTTACTCTGCGAAAGAAAAGGCTAGAGTCCATTAATTTGCGTGAGTTTCAAGACTAAATTCAACAAGCAGACACTAGTTTAGTATCCAGAATCTTAGAACAAATGTAGGAGACAGAATTCTCCGGTACTCAGGATTCAAAACTATTTTTTTTTGTGATAAGCTAGATGTCGTTATTTTTTCCACATCATTGATATCCGCAAAAAACAACTAAAAAAGTTATTATCTTGAATTGCCTCCAACTAGTGTCTCTTAAAATTTAAATACGAATTTTTTTTTTGTTAATTATTTCAGTTATTTTCGAAATCCTTTTTTGCTCTACAATAATAGATAGGTAATTATTGTATAGCTATTACATTATATATTATACTAATTATATCCTTCTTATTGCAACACTACCTTCTCTAATTAATTTATTTAACAATTAATACTATTGTTTTTTTTTTGTTTGACTTAATGATGTTATTGTAATTAGGAGATGTTTTTTTGGTACCATGTACTGTTTGCACCTGAATTCACAACAAATAAATAAATTAAGGTCACACTAATTTGCATTCAATAGAAAGATGAGTTTGGCGAATGAAAGTAATGTGACAGCGACGTTGCTAATGGCAGTTTATTCAAATACTAAAGATGTTATTTATGATTATAATTACAAGGACGGGCAGATAATTGGGATATTAATTATTTTAAGATCAAGTAAATAAAAACTCATATTGGAGTAAGAATAATATTAAAATAGATATATTGTAACAAATATTATAATTTAGAAAAAAATCACTATTTTCAATATAGCTTCATTTGTAAGTTTTTTGTTATCATATTCCGAGTAGTCAGATTAACTATAATCATTGATGTCCAGAAAGGTAATAAAGGACCCTACAGTGTTTTCTAGCATGTTATCGGCTTCCCACATTCTATCTTCTATTTCATTCGCATGTTCTCCAAGGCGCACTTTTGACATTTCGCTGTTTTCATTCCCTCTCGCAAGAGGGTTTCAACGTCCCTCATTTTAAAAATGGAATTATGACTTACTACAAACCTAACAGACCATGGGGGAATAATATTTGCTTAAAATAGTTTTCGTGGTAGTCTCCAGTCCAAGTTTCATCCAGATAATAGATATTCTTGTTCTCTCTTCGAAACTGTCTAATTGCTCTCGTTGCTGCTAAATAATTTCTTAATTCTCTAGTAAAAGTGATTTTCTATTTTTCTATTTTGAGTTCCTTCAAAGTTTTCCACGATTTCTTTTTAACCATGAGTGGAATGAAGTCATCCCTTTTCATTCCAGACATTATTTTTGTCGTTTCTCTTTTTAACCAAAACGAGTGTATTATTCTTCTGGTAGCAGCGTTTTCATCCTCATTTATTTCTTTTTGTACTCATCTTTGATTTATTCTCGTGCACAATTTTATATATTATTGACGGTCCAACTCCAATCATACTCGAATACATTTCAACTTTTTGAGTTTTGGTTTTTCAAATTTTTAATAAGAGCATTTTTACCAATTCGTTTCTCAGCAACCAATTAAAAACACTAGTCATTTTCAAGAACGAACTGTCAACAATTGCAAGAAAGTAACTTGTAAGGACCCTTGACGATCATCGTAGGCACAATACTACGCCTATGATAATGATTTACAAATCTCTCGCATTAAGAAGAAAGGCATAATTCATTATGATTCTAGTGACGGATGCGCTGCGTCCCCGACCCGCCGGCCTGACCGCTAGCTCTCTCCCGCCGCTGCCGCGCATCAGGCGCCGCCCCCGAAGCATCACCGCCCGCCTGTCGCCACTGCTGCCGCCGCCACCACCAGCCGCCCATCAACGAGATAGTGCAACGTTTCGTGTAGTGCAAATAAATTCCTCGCGGCTCAGGTGTAGTGCAAATTGTCGCGCAGTGCTCATCCGGACACTCATTTACTGGCGGCCCTTCCTGGCCGCCGTCATTGAACATTTACATCAAATTATTAACCTTAATAGGACATTTTCTCGGTACGTTTGTATGATATGGTGACTGATTAATAGGATGTTAATGATGCTGATGATCAAGTGATTAGTTTACGATGAATACGTTTGCGGAAATTGGTGTGTGGAATTCGACGGTAGCGCGCGTAACGGGTCCATCCCACTCCTGAAGTTTCAATGCCACAGCTGGTCTGTCATTGAGAAGGACGGGTCGTGGTTTGTTTTTCAATATTTCGAAATATTGGATCGGACGCAAAAAATGGAAACTTCTTGGATCTGGATTTGGTTCGTTTTGCCCCATGTTGCAACTGATTTTTCAGTCCGTTAAAGCAACCAGGTTTGATCGAGTAGCGATGCTCCCTTGAGTAGAAAAATCCATGAATTGCTTGAGAAAAATAATGGTATTTTCTTTTATAAAAAGACTCAACGTCGCTATTTCGATCATTGTTATTTATATTTCAATGTCAAATGCGTGTTTCTACCGTTTAGGGCCCATCAGATTAACAATAAATCAAAAAAGGTATATCACCAAAAGAAAACTCGAATTCAGTCTTATCGTGTGTGTCCAAAGGTCACTAATTATAGGAATCAAAACAGTAAATATCCATGTTTCGTCTAAATATACTAGTTTTCTAAATCTTAATATCCGTATTACGTTAAAAATTGAACAATTTGGCTCGCTGTCTGTGGACGATCCATTGGTTTTTGATCTATATAAATCATAAATCGCATTCCGAACTTCCGTTTTCACATATGCCCTCAAATCTTGTGTTTTTAGCTTTCGTCGTTTACACTTTTCAGTTATTATATTGTGCTGTTAAATCAATTTTCAATGCTTTCGCTAATTTTTCCTTTTTTTCTTTTTACCGTCTCACATTGTTCTTGTGTGTTACCGAAGAAAGGTAGACGATAAAAATTGTCTTTTTCAAATTCTATTTTATTTTCTGGCTTTTCCAGATTTTCCAGATTGCAGAGCCTTTTCGCTTTCGTCAAAATCCTTTACTAAGTTCAGATATCTGTTACTGCAGAAAATTAGTGTAAATTGTTTTTTCTGCATTTTCTGCAGTAATGTTGAACCATCCCCTGGAAACATGAACATTACATAAAAGAGATGGTGCGAAACATGAGACCAACATTGCATTACGTTGTTCCTTGATGATTTTCTAAAAATTTCTAAACTGAATGCCAGATTAAGTGGGACACCAAAAATATTACCTAAATGCTATAAGCCAGGGGTGCATAGCATCATACTTTGTCTATGCCTCAGACGTTTCGGATTTTTAAAAATTTCTGCTCGTTATATTAAAAGTTTATCAAATGAGGCAGTTACTCAGTCTAGTGGCCGTCCAAATCCTAACCAATACTAATGCTATACCAATACTATAATATAAAATCCTCTAATGCAAGATTTTCTGCCTTTTCATAATATCTTTGTTCTTTTTTATCAACTATAATTATTTATTTCATTATATATATCATTTTATTCATTTTAAGATATTTTTTTTTGGAAAAGTTGATTCGAATTTTTAAAAAAATTCGCGGAAAATTATTATAAGTTTTAATTTGGCATAAAATTAAATTTGGAATCTTTTGCAAAAAAAAAGATATTTTCGAAATTAGAAATCGGTATATTGGAGCCACTTTTCAAATTCATTTTCCCAACATTTTTTATCGAAACTTTGGTACCTTTTTTTGTGTTATCCAAATATAGTACGTACAAAAACAGACAAACAAAATACTCAAAAATCAGGGCCTTTGAGTATTGCAATCGAAGAAAGTTTCTGTTAAAGCAATATTGGGATGGTTCCTACGTTTTTTAGTAGCAAATGCTGTATTGTTTGGTCCGGTTTTTCAAACTTAGTTCAATGTAAGTTCTACTAAACCTAAAACGAAGCATCTTCCTGATTTAACATAAATATCCTTCGAAAACTGGTAGAACGTCCGTCTTTGATATTTTTTATGTGGTAGGTTGTACAGGGATTTTACGCAAGATTGGTCATATTTTTTGCTTATTAAAAAAATACCATCAGGCTATGAAATTTTTAAATAATTTTCCAGCTGATTTTGAAAAGCAATTAATAAATTAGTAAATTGAAAATTATTAAATTAAAATCTATAAAAAATAGTCTATTTTAAAACCTTTTTTGATGTATTTATTTTTTATTATTAAACATATAATCATTATTAAATAGATAATTAATTATTATTCAATAATTAATTAACTACCTAATAATTAAATTCATAAATTTTCAATACGGACATAAAATTTTTATTTTTTTTTTAATTCTGTCTTATTTTTTTTCCTTTCTTTTCAGATTTAGAAAAATTATGTAGTTTTGGTTAGAAAACTTTTATGAGTGCTTTATGTATGTTTCCTATATACATCACAGAAAAATCACATAAAGGGTGGCTCAATGGCAACGTCGATGTGATATAACAACTATAATTAACATGAACTTGCTTATTTTAAATAGAACAATTTTTCGTATATTAAATTATTTGTCATGTTTAACTAATTACCTTGAAAGGAAATAATCTTGAATTATTAGGATGAGTGAATATTTAAAAAGATACAAATTAAAAATGGAACCAATTAAAATCATTTAAATTCACAATGGTATTTGTCAAAATTGGTTACGGTCCAACCAGATATTACACCTTTAGACGTCAATCTACAATTAACTTAAAAATATTTATCTAATTATTACATGTTGGCATTTTTAGAAATTTAATTTGTTTATTATTTAGAGATTCTTTAATTAATGGAAAGTACTTAAAACTCCAACGAAATGGATTGGGATTTTACAAATATTTCTCGGATTTCACAGATATCAAAGATTTCACAGATTTCACGCATGATTTACCCCCTGTAAGCGTAAACGTGCGTGAGAGTTAAGCCTTAGCAAAACCAACCGTATATATTTTTCCGTATTAAATTAAATAAGACCAACGTTAACTTGATACATTGGTCGTTTTTTAAGGTAAGGGTTTTTCCCATTGAGTGTCTCACTTTATCTGCCATTTTCAAATGTATTTTTTATTTATCGATAACTAACTTCGCTGTAATTTTTCTTTTTATAACTTATCGTTTAACTTTTAAAGTAAACGTTACCGACCGCGACTCGTATATTTTTATAAAAGAAAATACTGTGGACGTTTCGCACGGGCAACTTTTTCAAATTCGCTATCGCAAAATTTTTCACTCCTAAGAAGAAAGCAACCGGCACGATCCAAACTTTTCAAGCGCGCGAACGGAGTTCGCCCGCACCAATTCCCGCAGACGAACTTTTGGATGAGATATCCTGCCAAAAAAATTATTTCGTAATAAGAAGTACTTATAAATAATTTTAAACGAGCAAATTCCATACATTTTACGAGCGGGTACACAACAACGGACCCTCGTTTTTCGGCTAAATAGGGACGAAACGTATACCAGCGCGCAATGTCGGGTTGCGAATCCAACGTGGCGATCAAATTTCATCCCACCCGTTTCGCGTGAAACCCAAAAAAAAACACTTTCGAATTTGGTGGTTTTAATGATGACGCTTTGAAAGAAACAAAGAATACATATACTCTTCGGTAGATAGGGATTTTAGCGTTCTTGAAAATATTAGGGGTTCTTATTGCTTGAAAAATAGAATTCTAGCCGTTCTTTCCTATTACCTTAAGCGACGTCAAGTTCGATTGTTTTTCTCGGAAGATTCCCCGTCCTCCTAGTAGTTAAGTGATACGGATAAGAGCGTCCCCCTCCATAGTAGGCACTTGATACTACCCCCACTCCCCGTTTCGAAACGCCATTTTGCGTTCGCACACCCGCGCGCACGTATCGCCGGTCAATCGCGGAACATAAGACGCTGTGTAGTGCTCATCACAAAAAAAGAAGTATAATAAATTTTAAAAAAACTGTCATTAGTTTTTGGCACTGTTTTAAGTGCTTGTATTTTTGGGCTGTGTGAAGCTTATACCTAGGGTTGGATTAGCTTTTAGCCCTTGTTACATATCCACCCGCGTAGTGGGGCAGACCGAGGGCGCAAGGCCATGCACCCGAGTCCGGTCCTGGCCGCGGCAATTTGCCGCGCTATTGATTTCCGCGTTTCAAACGGTCAGAGTCGTTCCGAATGGTTAGTTAATAAAATTGTTTCGAGTTTAATTTGAAACTTAATGTTTTTAATTTCAATTATTTGCAAGAAACCTTTTACAAATCCCAAAAGATCGCAGATCGCTGAAACCCAGCTAAGTTTTTGTCATTAAACATTAAATTTTCATTTATGAACTGCGTATATATCCCGTAAATTTGTACCAATCCTATACTGTCCACCAAATTTATAATATACAGGGCGTCCCAGCTTTAATATCACCACACACATCTGTTCGTCCTGCATATTTATCACCTGCTTTTTTTGCACGTGACACTGTGATTTGCTCTATAGTGAACACGGCGTTATTTAATAAGTGTCCAGTCGTTCACAGACTGGTTTCGTAAGTATTTTTATAGTGAAAAGTTACCGTAAACGGAGACCCGTATGAATAAAAAAACAATGCTAGAAGTAAAAGCTTATAGCAAAAGATCGGAGAATGAGTATTTACTCCTTTTTGCATCAATAATTATTTGTTTACATTCAAAAGTGCTCGCGGTTTAATAATTAATAATACTCTCGTCTTTTACTTCGTTGGTTGAAGCGTCGTGATCTTATGACTCATGTTACGGCATTTGTAATTTCTTTGGAATGTATCTTATGTTATCTTGAAGCGAGTTATCATCTTTCCTTAAGAATTCGTATTCTGATTAATTTTTCACTCACTTAACTAACATTGCTATGAGCAGCCTTCTTCAAACCCACATGTCAAAGATAACCAGTCTAGTCTCTAGCCTTCAAGGTCCACGTTTCTACCTCATATAATGCAATGGGAAAGACAGGAGCTTCGTCAATTTTGCACTTTATAAAAGATGTCATGTGTTTGTCCTTCCTAATTTTCTATAATTTTGTCATGGCAGTATTGGCTAGAATAGCCTTTTGATGAATTGTACTATCTCTATAGCAGGCACCTATTCTGCTGGTGCGGTCCGTTCTAATTAGCTTTTTTCTGTTGTCGATTTAATTTTAAACCATGGGTTGTTCTTTCTACTTTTTTAATAAGTTCTGATATTTCTTATTGGTCTTATGTGATGTCATCGGTATAGCGAATGTTATTTATTTTTCTGCCGCCCATACTTATGCTTCCGTCCCAACCGTCCAAAACTTTTCAACCGTTGGTATCTGTTTCCAACAAAATATGAAGCTAATAAACTAATTCTTTATTTTATTCATAACAAGTTAATGAAGTACTTAAATGTAAATGGGAACTAATGTTTGTTATACGGTTTGAAGCAAAACCATTTACTTACAATTTTAATCATGAAATATGCTTCAAGTTTTGTGAGTAAAAGCTTTTATTCGTACGTGTCAAAATTTTATTATTGTTTTTTCCACATAACGCTGATTCCTGAACGATAATTGGTAGCCGGGTTTTTTTTGACATCCAAAATTTAAATCGGTCCCCTGGTAGGGGAAGCTACCATTTCTCACTTTCAAATTCTCGTAACTTCTTGCACGACCCTGTGTAGTAGGTAATCAATATTAGGAAGATTTTTTTAAATTGTACTGCTCAATTGGATTATATTTGTATTTTTTACATGACAAACTAATTGTAGAATGTTCTTATTAGCTAAGTGCATCTTTCTTTCCTGATTAGAATGTTAAAAAAAAAACACGCGTCGATTACTTCAAAAATAAATATTTCGAAAACGACTACAAATAACAGGGTCTTCTTCACGTAAAAATTCCGGGTGGTACAAAAGTAGTGAAACAAAGTCAATTTTGACGTATCAAAAAATCCAATACCAATTTTCAGCTATGAAAAAAATATAAGTAAAAATATTATGATGGTGCTCAACATGCCTTAGGCAAGTGTAGCTTCGTGCGTCCAATCTTTTAATTTTATTCTGAATTTTTTCATTAATTGAGGAAGTTATATTATGAAAATTGGCATTTTTAAGTTTTTTAAACTAATTTGGACGTTGTTCCTAAAGAGCGCTAGTTCACCATACTGTTGAAATTTGGTTAAAACATGATGGAAATCTTCAATTTTTGATAGAAAGACCGTCTAACTGGCGGTGTTTTTTATTAATATAATTTAGACTCTTGTTAAGTAGAATTTGATATTAAAAATAAGGAAATTTGTATACTACGAAATGTTTTTTAAAGGGATTTTTTTTTGCTAAAAATAGAATATGCACATAATATGGAACATTCATCTTCATCCTCAAATCAATTATCGTTTAAACTTAGACATTCTGATTTTAAAGAGGAATCTTGAATGGTCGCTTTGTTCTTTGAGGCACTGGTTCGAGATTAATTGAGGTCACTACAGGATGGTCGCTTTATGTCATTTGTTAATTGTACTTTAAGCTTCACAGTTTTGACTTTTTCTTAGGATCCTGAAATTATGGAACTTTCTAACTCATCTTTAAATGGAAATAAAGTTATAATTACTGCCTTTCTAGACGCTCTACCTCTGGGGAGCACTTTCTTTGACTTGAAAGCTGGTAAAATATTTGTGGGTCCAATAAATTTCAGAGCTCATTATTTTTGGTGTTATTGTTGTTGCAGTGTCTACTTTTTCAACAGTTTCTTGTTGGGCAGGAAGAAAATCGGTGTGTGTATATATATTACGATTTGGAGGAAATATTCCTGTTTTCTTAAAACCGTTAACGGCAATTGATCCAGTTTGCACCTTTAAATAAGCCTTTCCAAATCTTTCAGCCATGTCGAAGACTGTAACTGCCCTTTGGTTTGATCTTAGAAATATTCTTTCACTGTAATTGCCTTTTAAGGGCCCCATGAAGGTTTTATCTAAAGGCTGCAGGTGTAGGTACAGTATGTAGACCTGAGACAAGCAACACGCTTTGAGGCGTTTTTCCAATTGCAATAAAATGTAGGCACCATCCAGCATCCAGTGTTCCTAATATGGAATATTCATCAACAGTATTCCATATTAAGTATCCAACCATTTTATTTCGGATTTCCAAATTTGGACAATGGACAAGCTTCAATAAATCCGAACTACTTGAAGCTTTTAAAAACATACCTCAAATAATTCACGATAGGGGGTAAAAACAAATCGCATTGTAAAGAAATCACCTTCATTCAACTGTTTACAATGAGCTGCAGGCACTCATGTCTTGCCGGGATGAACTTTCGATGATATTGTGGAGCTGTTGGCACTCTTAGTTCATTTACTTTTAGAGTAGTCCATATACGACACGTTTCTCCTACGCGTTTTTCATTTTTTTGCCTAATGGAATTTTCGTTTGACTTTTAATTTTATCGCGGTCACGTCAAGGTCAATTTGTTCGGCTAACGAGTTTACCTTACAAGGACTCAAATACATCTAGGGGATCTTTTGGAGTCTATCATAAGCTAACTAAATTTTCCTTACTGAGTCCATAGTATATGGGATTGAATTTCGTGATGTATAGGCGATCATAGCCATATTTTTTATTTGTAACATAAGCGACATACATGAAATGACGGAAAATATTTCTCATTTAATTTTCTATGGGAACGACTTCATAGATCGGCAGTACCACGTCGATCCAGTCTAAGTTATGTAACCGTTCCAGTACCGGCTCGGGCTCGGCTCTCGCATAATATCACTATTTAAAAAAAAAAGTCGAATTCGAATGCTAAATAATCATTACTGTGTAGATAATCAAAATAATGAAGGCAAATCGAACAATAATTTCAGTTCTTTGTAAGGAAACAAACGATAAAAACTTTTTTATGTAATTAATGTGATTAAAAAGGCGGATCAAAGCCGGTCGACCCTAAAACTTGAGGTTAGGATGCGCGCAGTTTCGAACGTGCAGCGAACCAAAATGAAGCTCATATGGCAGTAAATGGATAAACCAAACCCCTATATTTAATGTTTTTCATTGAGCAGATAATACAAAAATTTATTTTAATATTTTAGTTGCCACAACAAAGATAGATTATAAAAAAATCATATTCTAAAAAGGTAACCTCGCCGTGAAACTCATACACCGAGTCATATACTATGTGTAATATCAAGAAAATCATAGTTGTAATTACATAATGGCGTAGGATTACATTTATACTACAATATTTGTTTTTGTTTTAATTTTCATGTAAAAACTGTTATAGTTCTTCCTTCATATCAAGTGTCATTTGTACTTCTAGGTCCTTTAACTCTTCTAAGGTATCATTTCCGGTGCTTGAATTTTGCTTTTTTATTGATTACTCAATATTTCTTTTGTTACTTATGAAGTTTTTGTTCATTGCATTGTACAGTTTTAATGTTTTTTCATATCGGTTATTTACCTTTTTTTCCAGTTGTCCATTGTTCTCTATTTCCACTCCTAAGTAATTCTAATATATTATCCAATTTAATTTGTATTTCTTTAGGTTCGTTTCCTATCATTATTAATTTCCCCTTAGTTTTATTTCGTTTCTCTCCAAAATCCTCCAAAGCATTGTTTCTCTCTTTCTGCGATAAGTATTTCGTCCGGGTACTTCTACATTTCTCATATATCTATAGCCCACATTGAATTTCCTTACCGTTGTTGTACTGTTCTTTATTACTTCACCAATAATGGTTATGAATTTCAAAGGGCTTAGGGCTCTTTGTCGTAATCCCGCTTTTTTTTTGTAAACGGCTATGAAATTTTATTTTCTTATATGACATAGTTAATATTTCTTTCATATACTATAATATTTTCTATTTTCGAGCTTTTTTTACTACTTTCTACGATGCATTCTAGTCTGGACCGAAAATTTCACAGTAGCTATGCTCTACTTGAGCCTATTCTTCGTGTTCTATTGGGTTTTGACAAAGGATCCCAAACATTTTCTATAACATTGATATAGGGCGACTGCAGTGGTATCCCCATTAGTTTAGAGCATCTAGACACGAGCCATTATCTTGGTAAAAAGCAAAATGCAAGTTACCCACCCCTGTTGCGGCCATCAGAAAATATAACTGTTTTCCAAAACTCTAAAGGAACAATTCGCAGCACTCTTTTGCAAAATTCATTCTTTTATTTTCGTTTATTTTACTTACGAAAGGCTTTCTTCCAGCAGTTGTCAAAAGTTAATTATTTTTTCGTAAAACTATTCGAATAGTTTCTGAATAAACTGTTTTTCCCAAAAATTTTTAGGCGATGGCTGTCAATTTTGGGGCGCTTAATTTAGGATTTTCCTTGCATTTCCGAAGAATCCATCTTTCATCGTATTCATTGAATATTTTGTGTAGTAGTTTTGTTATTTTATTTGAAATCCTTTTTTGCATTTTTATGACGATTTACTACACAACTGCAGCATGACTTATGATATTTTGATAAGACAATTTTTTTTGTACGTATCTAAAACTTTCGATGCAAATTAGCTGCCTTTTTTATAAACAGTGCATGCGTTTCATTTTTGAATATTATTTTTAGAATATTTTTTTTATTTATGTGGTTCTTATTCTAATTAATGTGTTAAAATAAATTTTTCTTCAATGATTTTGTAAATTTATTTACAAGTATACGAGCTTCACTTTGATTCACTGTCTGAGTCGCCTATTGTTTCGCGTTGTGTTTCGTTCCATCTTTTGTATATATGTAGACGTAACCCTCTTGCAAAAGCACGCTCCGGCGTCAAGTTTATACATGGGCGACCGTCTACCGCCCCGTTAAATCGTTGTTCCGTTGGCCTGCAGGCAGGGGCGTATTCCGGTCGCCTCTCGGAGGATTAACTCTTTCTGCCTATTTCACGCCGTTCCGCAGGTATCAGTCGATTACCAAATGTTTTCAAAAGAAATTGGAGGGCCCCGCGTCGCCCCCTCGGCCGGGAGGCCGCCCCTTCCGTCGCGCCTCGCGTCTGTCCGTACCCTGCCGGACACTCGCTCATTGTCATTATTTCTTTACGATTATTATTATGATTATTGTGAATCAGTATGAATCTAGTCATGTTTGTTACAATTTAAAATATTTTATAAATGTTGATTAATATACGACATTCCTATTTCAATTGTGACGTTTTTATTTCCTCCAACTAATTGACGAATCGTTGGAAGACGGAAAAACATTGGGTTCGGAAATACAGAGTCTTCAAGGTCCAGAATGTTAAGTTGAAAAAAGCGTATTTATATTTACAACAAATATTAACTGAATTCTGGTGAAACTACTCTAAGGTGCTCCGTAACGCCACTGGATATAGTACATTTTAATTGAGAGTAAATTAGCTTCTTAATACACAAAGTAAAAAAAAAATATTTTAGATATTAATTTCAAAAAATGTTTTTCAATTTAACACCCTGTACCTCGAAAATTCTACGTTTTCGGACCCCATATTTATAAAAATTTTATACATATTTATTAATCAGGAATCGACCTCTAAACTGTCTCCGTCTATTTTTCGAATACTCCGATTTCGTTAAGGTAAAGGTTACACAAACGTGCACCTGTATCGATAGTTTTCCACATAATTTCCTAAGAAAAACCAGTTTCCGAACGAAAATTGGCACCAGGCTTCTGAATTGGTTCATAATTATGCTGTTACTTATAGGGAGCGCAAATTGAATTAATAGTATATTATGCGGCAAAGGGCATTTGACTCACGAGTGTTTAATAAACGAGTGACTTAAAAAGTTTACCGAACGTGGTGCATACTATACTTTTTCTACGACCGTTAATTTTTGGTAACATTTTCGCAAAACAACACGAAAACATTCACTGACATGTCAAAATAGACAATTCAAGGCGTGGGAAATATCTCCTAAAACATCCGATTGCTCCCAAACCCGTGCGGTAAATCACGGAAATGTACGAAGTGTTGGGATCCGTGGGAAACGCATGAAGGAATGCGGAATAATTAGTTTGTATACTGTGGTTATTATATTTATTTTATTACTGTCAACTTAGAGTAAACGCAAAATACAATGACAAGGACATCAAATAAAACATTGTAAACAGATGATATGAAAAAAGATGAAGCGAAAAGAGCGCGTTTGTTTTGTGTTTATAAACACTGTAGTCTAGGAAGTGTATGACTTTTTCATGGTATATTTATGTGGGATATATTTTTTTACAAACTTCTGGATTCCTCCTGCGTCACTTTACCATGTCAGTTTCGTTTCCCACGAATCCGAGCCACTTCGGACATTTGCGGGATTTTATCGCACGGATTTGGGGGCAATCGGAGGTTTTCGGAGATATTTCCCACGCTTTGAATTTTGACGTTTGCCAATTCTGACGGTCATGTCAGTGAATGTATTCATGTTGTTTTACGAAAATGTACCCAAAAACTAACAGTCGTTGAAAAAGTATAGTATGCAACACTTTTTAACTCACTCGTTTATTAAACACTCGCTCCGCTCGTGTCAAATAAACTCGTGAGTCAAATGCCGTTTACCGCACTTGTTGCATAATATACTATTACCGCACGGATTTGGGAGCAATCGGATGTTTTCGGAGATATTTCCCACGCTTTGAATTTTGACGTTTGTCAACTCTGACAGTCATGTCAGTGAATATATTCGTGTTGTTTGGCCAAAATGTACCCAAAAACTAACGGTCGTAGAAAAAGTATAGTATGCAACACGTTCAGTAACCTTTGACGTCACTCGTTTATTAAACACTCGCTCCGCTCGTGTCAAATAAACTCGTGAGTCAAATGCCATTTACGGCACTTGTTGCATAATATACTAATTTATATTAATTCGCCACGTCTACCAGGTCTCGTAATAAAAACCTATACTTTTGTATGGGTCTTCCTTGAAAACATAACACTTACCTAAGTGTGTTATAGTAATACTGTTCTTGCAACCTAAAGTGAATTTGGAATACTTAAACTTTTATAAGTTTCCAAAAAGGTATTAATAAAAATCTTCGTTCTTGAAAATGTGCTTAGTTTTGGTTAGTTCTCTCTTATATCTAATATGTAATTTAACGAAATGCTATTGACTAATCTCCCAAATTCCCTCCTGCGTAGGTTGTCGATGACTGACCAACAGGGCGATTGGTGAAACTTCATCAAGTTCGATTCATCAACAACCGATGCAGAAGCAACCCAGAAGATTTGTAAATAGTATTACAGTAGTCGTCGAAGTTTATTTGAAAAACTAAAAATAGCTTTTAACAAAAGAAATTGTGATAAGGGATAGTATTCCCAAACGGAGTTCCAACGGGATGTTATAAAGCTAAAGTTTCTTATAAAACCCTTATAAATGTTCGTTACCTTGTAATAAAACCTTGGGCTCCTGCTAACAACTAGCAAAACTCTCAGCTGTATCTAGCAAAATATTAAGCGCATGGCCGCTAGACTTCTGTGGTGAATAAGGTATGGGATTTTTACCACGCACAAGCACAGCAGCTATTATTGAAATGGTGACATCTAACTTTATATGGAGTTGGTTGTTGTTGTTGAGATTATAAATATTGAATTGTTCTAGCTGGTTTGCACTGCCTCTTTTAGAAACACCAAATACCTTCAAAAAACATTGAATATGATACCTGTACAAACCTGAAAAGCTCTACATTCAAGTACTCTTTGTTGAATATTGAGAAGACTGGAAAAATGGCCCGCAAAAAAAGCCGGAAATAATCTAGTACCCAGAAGGTTCAAAAACTCAAGAAGGGATGAAAGCTGGGCACGAATGCCACAGAAATAATGGAAGCGCCAACGAAGTAGCTCGAGAACGGTCGTCAAATCACACTGTTTCGCCAGAAGCCTTTTGTCTGCAAAATCAGCTATTCAAAAATGAATCGAAAGAGAAACCCAGAAATAGTGGAGGGACATGCCAGTTGAAAGACAAGCTCCTAAAGTCCAAATTTACAGCAGACCTGCAAAGTTATAAAAAGAAGGCAGTAAGAATAGTGACGCTCCACTGCCGACTTAAAAGGTAACTGGGCGTGGAGGAACACACTAAATGCAGATTCTGCGAAAAAGAGGGGAGAAACGCCACATGTATCATGCCAAGGTGAAGACCTATCTAGAATGCGCCTTCATCTGCTGGGCGTTATCAAACAATCAGCTCTACCAAGGAGCCACTATCGACACCATGGAGGAGTCTAACCAGAAATATGAACTAAGATCAATAAATCTCTATAATTATAAAGGGAGTCACAATAAATTCTTTGGGGCAAGTAGTTTTTTCATTTCAAATAGTCGCAGAAGTACCTCCCAACTAAAAAAAAAATCGGCTGCACTTGTAACCTTTAGTAAAGCGGGCCCATCTCGCCTAACCAAAACTAACCTCAAATCAACTGTTATTAATCTTACGGGTATCACAGGTTCCGCACTTAACTCATTATCAGGAAATTTGTGAATGACCCATTTTCTGTGAAATTTTTCGTCACGAAATTCTTCCCTCTATAAAAATGACCATTAAATGATGATGTCTAAAAAAGAATTCCTTTTTAACATTTAAAAAATTCTTTATTTTCACTATCGAATTTAGTTCCCAATCGTAAAAGGGTGAAATAATTACAATAGTTTATACTAATTTCAAATAAAGTAGACCTATAAAAAAATCAGTCACTTCAATATATTCAACATGTACCACCGCTGATGATGCACCCCCGCCCAAAAACATTTCCCCTTCTCGATTTGATGATACCATACTCAAACCAGCTCAATTGTGAACGGTTCTCTAATACTAACCCCCGGCTTTCTAACAGTAAGTGATGTCAACTCGCTGTCGTATGAAACTTCCAAAGCAACAATACCCAAACCTAAAAATTGGAAGCAATAATACTTTGATCTGCTAATTCTTAGGCAGAACACTCACTTTTACTGTTTAATTTCGCTCCTTTAATACCCGCAGGAGGTCCCAAGACGACCACCCGTTCGATCCACTCTTCTGTCGGATAATCAGTCTTATCGATAAAGCTGAAAGCAGCCCCGTTAACATTTAAGTTTCTACTGCAAGGTCTCAAATGTTAAAAAGTGACACATTCGATTGAAAAAGAGTGTTAAAAATTTAAATTGTTGCTGACGTTTAAACCGAGCGGTCAATCTGAGTTACAAAGGTTAAACTTACTTGAAAAATCAAAAAGAGCATACCACTCTGAGCAGAAACTATAATCTCGGGGATGAAGGGAGTAAAAACGCATAAGAGGTTTGAACAGTGTCTTCCTGCGTCCACTGTATGGTTAATTATAAATGTAATTTGGAACTTTTTGTTTAAAGTTTTTCAATTGCAATAATATTTTCCCATAAAATGGTAAGGACAAAAACTTTTTTGGTTTTCAGATTCGAGGAGCGGATTTTGATTTAAAAGTTGAATCTTTTGTTTGTAAAATATCTTACCATATCATATATGACTCACATCTTACTTTTTAATAATATGGAGATGGATGAAAATGAGTTCTTTCTTGAGTTAGAGTTATGATATTGGAAGGATGCAGATTGTTTATATTAACAACTTTACTGGTTCTCAAATCCTAATCCTATCTGGTGTGCCTCTAGCATGCCATTTGCGACTTTGTCAGTGTTCGCATATTAAGTATGCTGTCCAAATCCACCGGTTGGAAAGTGTACAGCGTAATTTTTAAAAGAAACTTTCACACTGGAGTTCTATTTAAAAATTTTCTCTATTATTCCTGCGTCGGTTGTTGATAAATCGAACTTGCTGTTTATTTTATTTATTTTTTATTATATTTATTAACAACCGACGTAAATAGTTGCATAGCGTAAATTTTGCAGATATCGCCATAATTTTTTCCGCGATAAAGATCGGGATGCACAATTTTGTGACACACTCATTTGTCAACTCTGGAGAAGAAAGCAAAGAGACCTCAAAGTTACCCATAAAATTATAAACTCTACAATTGATTGCCCATACTTGACTTTCAAAACAGTTAATTGCTCTACTGTAATTTTGACATGGTCTTGATTGGTACTTTCTACTTCATGATGGCCTAAAGCTTTAGTACGTTTTTACTTCATTCATATTAGTTTAAAGTATCTGAACCCCGGTTTACTTGGTTAGTTTGACCTCGAAAATACGAAGATGAGCACTTAAGTGTTCAAAACATGTGCTGAGGTCTTATCGCTTGTCTTAAAAAAGATTTTTTATTAAATTAGAGTGGTGATACCCCTATACCTAAGAGTTACTAGCCCGAAATAAAATGTAAAAAAACATTCCGTACCTGCTAGTAAGTTTGTTGCCTACAAAGGAGAAGTTGACGTACAAATATTTTTTCGCGTTCCTATATTCGAAACTGTGGTAATCGTCGACGTATAAGGTGCCCGAGGCTGTCTTTTTCTCATCTAGCGCCACATATAGGGTAAACGGATCGTGATGCATGACAGCAGATGACCGTCTTGGTCTGTCCTTCCGCGGTATTACGCTACCGCCTCGGTAGAAAGCCAAATACTACAATCAAATTAATCAACTCATTTACCCATTAACTACCGTTCTGTGCTCTGTTTCTTAATGCGACAGAGTTATAAATCATTATTGAACTGTAAAATTTAGTGGTTTTAGCAGTATTCCATAGGCTGCGCGGTATCGATAATGATTGTCAAAAGTCCGGAAAGTGGCAAGTAGACGGACAAGTAGTTGACCTACCTGTATGATCAAAATTAGAATTGTAGTTATTTTCTTGCAAATGTTGGCAAAGTGTGTTTATAAAACTGGTTGGTGCACTGCACTTTTAAAAATCAGAAAATTATTAATCTCAATGTGTTCAAATATGTTCATCAACGAAAATCAACAATTCGGAGTTGCAAAGGTAGTTCAAGTGTGTTTGAATATGATTGGAGTTGGATAATCAATAATATACCGATTGCACGAGGAGAAACGCCGGCTCATCAGGTCATTAAAAAGAAGTACAGGAAGAGAATAAACTGTAATAAATAAGAATGAAAAAACTGCCATCAAAAGGATAATACACGCATTTTACTAAAAAGTAGAAATACATACATAGAACGAAATAATGTTTCATCTCACCCGTAGCTGTAAAACTTTAAAAGAAATCTATTTTCGTAACAGAAAAACTTAAAACCGAAAATCATTTTTATTAGAGAAAGATGAAATTATTTGCTGGCGATATATCGGAGCAGATAGACAATTTCGAACGGAAAACAGGAATATCCAAAAAGTAGACGAAACTTGGAAACTATTTAGAAATCTTCTGGATTCCTCTTGCGTTGGTTGTTGATGAATCTAACTTCAGAGATTAACTGAAACTGGTTCTTATTCTACTCTGCGCCTGCTTATATATTGTTTGAGGGGACGAAGCTAAAGAAAGTGCATGAAAGTGGTCTCTGATGGACTGATTCCCATATTGTCCTTCATGGATCGAAGATGTTGAGAGATTTTTGGACAAATATTAAATCTGGTTTTGACGATACATTTCTTAAGAACTTTTGATATGTGCTCAGTGATGTTTTGAATGGACGGAAAGACAACAGTGGCAAGTGAGGGGTTGCTTTCGGACTCATTGTCTTTTTAAGGTTGTGGTTGTAATGGAACGCTTAATATCTCTGATACAAAAATTATTAGTGAGTGAGTGAGAGAGTGAGTCCTGAAGATACTTTTACGGTTCTGTAAACAAGAGTTGATAACCAATGATTTTTGGGCCTGGTGGTGATGTGACATTGTTTTCTTGACCCTGAGGCCAAATACCCAAAAGCATCATGAACATAGCATTTCCATAATCTCGGGTTTCAATGGAAGGTGTCAAGAGTTTTCCTCTCATAACTGGTTATAATGGAGCACCCACAACTGTTCCCGACGTTTTTTCAAAAAATTTTGCAGATTCTCGAATTTTAATATATCTGAAATAATCTGGAGAGTTTCAGGGATAGGGACTTTAGTAAGTAGGGATTCTATATTGACACTAACCAGAATAGCCTGTGGATCTAATGTAATGGTTTTTAATTGTTAAATTGTTTAAAATTGTAAAAATTGTTTAAAATTTACAAATGAAGTTGTAATGTAAATATTCAAAACAACCTTCTTTCTATTGTACACAAAATTAGTGTGACCTTAATTTAGGTGTGTCTTAAAAACTGAAATACGGACTTTTTAAAAATTATCCTTAAAATTTATCTGAACTTTACTACATAACTTTTAAGCTATCCACCCTGTTTAATGATCCCAATTATTGCAAATTCACATTATATTACTCTTTCGCATTAAGAAACATGGTATGGGTAATATTTTTCATAATCTAAGAAAGTTGACCTGACCTCTGTTATTATATGAAATGAATAAAATCAATTTAGAACCTGTCAACAACTTTTTTTAATATTACCTTAGCAAAGGAGTTCCTCGCTTTTTTTTATACAAAATAGCTTTGGGCCAATTTTATAGAAAATGTTGGCGGCCTGAACAAATATATTGGCAAAATTCGATCCTTTGTCGTTTTTAAAATATCAGTACTCAAAGTTGAACAATTTTACTAATTTTAATAATTTTTTCAATTACCTGTTATAAACAAATGTCTTAATTTTTTAACAAATTTGTTATTTGTATGGTGTCTTTTAAATGTGAAAATCATTTTTCTTAAAGTGTGAACGAAAACATTTATATGGAAATTTATTTAATTACAATTCAAAAGTATGCAAAATTATCGCACCTCATGAGCGATGTTCTGTGTCTTCTACCTGTATATAGCCAAATGAAAATGATCCAATATATTGTTCGACCAATGTAACATAACTATGGGTATTATGGGTGCATATACATAGTCCCAGACCGTACCGGTTTTCAATAACAAAATTCGGGAAAATCTCTGGATTATAGAAAGACCAAAATGGTCATTTGAACCAACCAAAAAGGGTGTTAAAATATCAATTTAATTTTCTAATTTTATTAAAATATTTTAGTATCACATTTACAAAAAAAATGGTCTTTTATAGCATATATAGAATAGAATAGAAAAGAATAATTGTTTATTTAACACTTGACTGGTGTTACACTACATATGGAAAAATGCATATAAACCATTAAGTACCAAGTTAGTTATTCCAAATACTTATTTCTAAAATATCTTACTAAAACAAGGCTTACTGACTATTTTGGGACTTAGTTTCTATAATCCAGATTACGCCGTAATTTAACACACCCTCTCACCCTTAACTTACACCATCTGAATAATTTATTAGCATTCGATATAAGAGAATCTATATAAATATCGCCCTTATATAATAAGCAAAATTCTCCCATAATAATTGTGTCAAAAAGTAATGTTTTTACGTATAAAATTATTAAAATTCCCTTTTGGCAACTTTGAGCACTGGTATCTTGAAATAAAAAAAGAAAGTATTTATCAACTCTATACAATGCATTCTCGAACAAAAATTGCTTCATTATTCTTTTAAATTTATGGTAAAGACTGGTTGAATGGTTGGTTTAATGCAGGCATTACAAATGTTAGCAATGATCTTGTTATTCTGAGATGACATCAGCCTGGAAAAGGGAAAAATGCGTTCCCAGATGTCTGAAAGGAGGCCAGAATTACTCCCGTCCTAAAGAAAGGGCCAACTACAGCCCTGTATAGATAATATGCACCTTTTGCGGGGCCTTTCGAGATGTCGCTGCATGATAGTACTTTCAACCAAATGAAACACTTGGTAACCCACAAACAACATGGTTTCTTTAAAGGTCTAAGCACCATCAGTAATTTGGCTTGCTTTACAGAGATGGATGGGTGGATCCACTATACACGGACTTTTCATAAGCCTTTGACCAGGTGGACCAGACCATACTGTACTGCCATCTAAATTAAGGATGCTTGAATTTTGCTATGATTTTGTGGTATTCATAAAGTCATATCTGCATAACCAAATACAGTATGTGGAGCTCCGCGGTCAGTCATGTTCAGGTTCATGGCTAGTAACAGCGTTCCCCAAGGTAGCAGTTTAGCGCCATGGATATGCTTGCTTATCATTAATGATATAGTAGCTAATATTTGGAGATTATTGGTCCTTGGTGTGCTTCTAATAACCTACCCCTGAATACAGATAAATTATATTTTCAAACAAAACTGATAATAATTTTTAATTACCATCTGGATTACATATTATTAAAATGTGACAATTTTAAAGAACTGGGTGTAACGTTTGACACAAAACTCTCCTTCAGAAATCATCTTGATAAAGCCTATGGAAGTGCACTCAAAACGCTGGAATTTATAGTGAGAAATTCTGGCGATTTTGCAAGGGAACAAACTTTAAAACTATTATACTATAGTTATGTGCGCTCGAAACTAGAGTACGGTTCAACAGTATGGCAACCAATATTTGACAAATACATCACTCAAATTGAAAACTTACACAGAAGGTTTCTGAAATTTCTCCACTTTCATGTAAATGGTTTCTACCCGGCTAGGGGACTGCCATAGAGTGATTTATTACTAATGTTGAAGGTTCCCTCACTGTTGAATCAAAAGAGGTACCTTTCATTTCACTTTCTAAATAAACTTTGCAATTCATTAGTGGACTGCTCTGAATCGCTGAGCCAGCTGAGGGTATTACCTGTATTTGACCTAGTAACTCCAAGGACCAATTTTTTGATTAAAGGTCCTCTCTATCAGTTGATGAAATTATTTAATGACTGGTGTGATAATATTTACGTCTTTTGTCTTAGTCGCTCACAGTTTACCACAATAATTATACGTAAATTTGAAATATTATAATGGATTGTATGTTTCACTATTACTTTGCTGGAGTGAATATAGTTGACTACTTATTATAGTTATGGTTATAGTTCTTAAGGTGAAACTGTTTTCTAAATGGATGTTAATCTGTTAAGCTGTTAGACAACAAAGATTATTATTATTATTATTATTAATTATTATTATTACTCATGCAGATCAAAAATTTTCACAGATATGTAAAACCATTTTGAAAAAGTAAGTACAAGGGAGAATCATTATGTCAAGCTACATACAGCGGTCGGCAATATGGATTACTGGATTACTCAACACCCGAATCGCCTTTTTTTAATTCAAAAAGCCTTTTCTGAATACCCTGCATCATCCCAAAGCACAATGCCGTAGGACATCGCACTATGGAATAGACCAAAATATGCCACTCTCAGTACTTTTGGGGTCACGAAATGACAAGTCGTCTTAATAAGAACTTTCTGCAAAGTTCATCATCTGATGTGTCCAGGAGAGAGTATGATCAATAACAAATCCCAGGAGATTGACACTGGGCTGATCTAAAGTTTTTTATTTTTTTATTTGTGGAACACCATGCCGCATTGGCAACACAACCTCCCTTCTTTTGCCATTGCATTGAAAATGGTCAGCTAGGTGAATTTTTGAGCGTTTAAGTGGAGGGTCTCGGACCCCATACCACATTAACTTATTAATTAAGACTTTAAGGTCCACATATTGGAATGCCTTCGTGAGACCGGATAAAAGCGCCGTAGAAGTTTCACCTTCGTCGTCAAGTGTTTTTGTCACTCTGACTACAAAGTGCATGTGCATTGTGTGTTATGAATTTATCATGTTATCATGAAAAGCAAACTGTGAGTTAGTAAGAAAAATTAATAACCTCAAAATATTGGCACTAACTTACTTTGAAAGCATTTTCAATTAGTTTATCAATAATTAGAGTAATAGCAATAAAATTATTAATATAATTGGGTCACTTTATTGATGAACCGGGATCACTTTTGTTATTTTGTTATTTGTAAACTGGATATTAGATCCAAATTGGGCCCAAAAAGAACGTTGAGGACTACAACATACTAATTTTTTTGTTTAATTGGTCAAAAGCCATTTTGCCAAAGAAAAGTGAGGAGGTGCTTTAAAATGAAGATTCAACAGTCCTATTAAATTAAATGCTAACAGCGGGGCCCGGCACACAATTAAAGAGACATAAAAAAACGTTTTTAGGAACTTATTGAATTTTATGCGAGTTTATGTGGTTAAGTCACTTTCTCCGATCGTGAAAAAAACCATACCTACCTTATCCATGTCGACGGAAATCTTGTGAGTGCCTCCGCGATACAGTTTGAAATCTTGCAAATCGTACCAGCGAGCCGAATCTCCACCAGGCAGGTAGACTTGCACAGTTGTCAGTCCTGCGTCGGCGACGAGACCAACCAATACCGAGTCGCCCACCAACAATTCGTTATCGGTCTCGAAAACTTCCTCGTCCTCTGGATAATGATAAAACAATGGCCGAATGACGGGTTCTCCGGTCGACTCATGTTCCCAAAACAAAGTGTACCACAGGGGCAAGTGGGCGTACCTGACCCTTAAAGCGGTACGAATTCGATCGATAACCGTTTCAGAAAATAAGTACGGCTCCCTACGACGGGTGTCGATGTGGGCGTGTGCGCGGAAAAATGGCAACCAAATGGCCGCCTGGTACCATCTCTGCAATAACTCCTCGTCCGGATTGTTAAAAAATCCTCCGACGTCGGCGCCGCAAAAACTAATTCCACCCAAAGCTTCAGACAAGCACATGGGAAAGCTTGCGGCCAGGTGGGTCCAAAGGGCCATGTTATCGCCGGTCCACATTGCCGAGTACCGTTGGGAGCCGGCGAAATGACCTCGCGTTAATATGAAAGGCCTCAGATTCGGGCTGCGGTTCAACAGTCCTTGGAAGGTGCTGAACGTCTGCGATAAGGCGTATTCGTTGTGTACGTCTCGGTGTTCCCATCCGCCATAATGGATACAGTCTTTAGGCATGGTGATTTCGGGACCATTGAATACCGACGGTTCGTTCATATCGTTCCAGATAAACACGTCGTGGGTGGTACCTTTGAATTTGTCCACGCCATACAAGCTTTGATAATAATCGGCGGTGCGGGGGTCATAAAAGTCTAAGTAACTGCTAGAGCCTGGCCAACACCACCCTGAAAAAAATATCGACCTGGTTTTTTTTGTGTGGTGTGACCAAAAATAAGTATAGAGAAGTTCCTATCAAAAGTATGCCTTCAAAAGTCGGTCAAAATACTCCCTAAGTGGATTCAGACCTCTCTAACTAAAGTTCACAACAATAATAGAGTATCAGGCGGTATTGATGTTTTATGTGGTGCACCGCAGGGATCGCACTGTCGGTCCATGTGGTTTTAAGGCATTTTTACCTATAAAATCATTAACACACTGACAGTCACTTCAGTCTGATAGAGATGATGCCATTTTTCTTTGGTCAAACTTGAATGGAATAAATTCCACTCCTTTGGAGCGAGTAAGCGAAGTTAAGGACCATGGAATATTAATTGATGCCAAAGTCTCTTCTACAAATAATATAATTGTTCTTACAGCACATGCATACAGGAGTTTAGATTTTATTTTAGATTTATATGCAAGCGAAGCACATTGATAACATTGAAAGTATGCAGATTTTTTTTTTACAAATTGCTGCATGTAGACTAAGTACTAAAGTAAATGGACATATTCATTACAATGCTGTCCTAAGCGCGTTAATATGGAGTATCTAGAAACTCGTCAAACTGTCAATTTTGACTAGTAGTTTTCAATCAGCCTGTGAGAATCGCCATTATTAAACAGGAACAAAAATTGAACCCCCTTACATAATTCAAAAATTATCTACAAAGACAAACCCGACAAAACTGTTTCATCTATCTCAGTTACAGTATACTCGCAAGGGGTATGACATTTTGAAATAAGTTAGTTATAATTGAAATAAGAAAGTTATAGAAAATATGAAACTGCTTCGGAAGTACTTCAACAAACTTTAACATTAATATTAATATTTGTAGAGAGATAATCAACTGTCGAGAGGCATTGATTTGTTTAGTGTATCTTGCCAAAGTTCAAAAATCAAATTAAAAAAAAATTATGTGACAGCCATTGTGGGTTTGCTTAGACTGAAATTATTATTGTCTTTTTTCATATTTTATTGTTTTATCATGTTGATGTACCATATATCTCTATTACCTGTTATTTGTAACAAAAAATTAATATTATTATAAGAACATCAAGAACTGAGAGGTGTAATTTTTACTATGCAGAACTTGTTACTCTAAGTAGTCCTTACTATAAAGCAGTACACACCTTCATAGACCGTTCCATCTTTGTTCTTAACATAGAAATCATTGGCCAAAGCATCTTCATGGAGAAAATATCCCCCCTCCCGTTTGATGTGGGGATCGATGATAACAACCAACTTCCGACCAGTCAAAGTAAGGTTATTAATCATATTTTCTGGACTGGAAAATTTTATTGGATCCCAGGTAAAGTATTTTTTGCCATCAGTATACTCAATATCTAACCACATTACATCCAATGGCAAGTTATGAATGTCGAAATTTGAGTTGACAGTTGTCACATCATCTTGATCATTATAATTCCACCGACTTTGATGATATGCCAAAGTAAAGTACTAAAAAGGGTGAAAAATTAGTTTTAAGCTCCAGTTCAGACCATTTAACATTCTTTTGTGGGCTAATCTTCCACTTCCTGTTAATCTTACCTGTGGCAATGGGCTGACGCCGGTAAGGGAAGAATATTGCTTAACTGTATCTTTTGGTTTTGGCCCCATCAGAACAAAGAAATCCATGAGTCCACTTTCGCTCATAAAATGGACATCAACACTAGACTCAGATTTAGAACCAGAAACCAAATTAACCAAAGAAGACATGACATTACTATCTTTGCTATTAGTTATGTCAACCCAAGTCTCAGCCGCATTGTGCCAGAAAATACCCACTGTATTTAGCGGACCATGAGCATGAATTAAAGGCACCGCTCCATAAATAGCCATAGTGCTATCCAATTCATATTCAAAAACATCTAAATTGTATAACCTGTAAGGGTCTGAGCCTCCAGGACCAGTTGTTCTAAGAGCCATTTTGTCTCCATGCTCAGGCAAACCATAAACTCTTTTCGCTCCGGGAAATGTAAAATCAAGCCCTATTGCCGAAGGGCCCTTTGGCTTACTATCGTGGTGAGATTTAAAATTCTCCTCCCAGGCCCCTGGATCTTCTTTGGTATCAACGTCATTTTCCCTAAATATAGACGTAAATCTAGCATATTCCTTAGAAATATGGAAAACCATTGGAAAAAACCTTACCCTTCTTTTTTTTTCCGGTAATGTTCAAATTCAAATAAGCCTTTCCCATTAGCTATTGAGGTCAAAACATTGTTTTTGTAAAACTCTACTTTAAATGGTTTAGCAGTTAGTATTACTTTATTATCACCTGATTTTACACTTAATATGTTTTGATTTCTTTCGAGTACTTCTAATCTAAAATGAAAAAATGCTTTAACATTTTTAAAAATGACATCAATAATTGGGTATACTTTGTAACTTGCGGTTCTCCATTCAAGGCAAATTGAGGTTTATATCTCACATGTACTCCCTTGGATTCGTCAACAGTGACTCGAAAGATATTACCAACTAATGCAGTCAATGTAAACTTTAAATCAATGTTGGCTTGGACGTTAATGAGTTTTGTTTCCACATAATTATCGAATATTTGAAGGGCTGATAAGTCAAGTTCATAAGGGCTACCGTCTTGTTTCGGATTCCGAAGCCGACTACAATATGCATTAATAATTCACGGTAATGTGTATTTGAGATTCTGATTTATTGATTTGATTACTAAGCAGATCCTTACCGGCAAAAGCTGCTTTGCTCGCAAGTCTTAAAATTATTTCGGTCTACCGCTACAGTTGTGAGAAAAACGCAAAAACCCAAAATAATGATCCTGAAAGCATATTATTATTTTCTCAATTTATATATGAAATTATCAGTTTTCTTGGGTTAACGGCTTCAATCCATTCTCGATTAAACCTCATGGATACTTACCGCATTGCCATGTTGGCACGCTACTATCAAAAAACTCGATAACACTTACAAATTTCGCACCTGAGTTTTTAACCTCCCAAATATCGGCGAATGTCCATCTGACAATATCAGATAACGGAGCGAGAGTAAAGAATTCAGAGACAAACGATTGGTTAGTATTTATTTTGATTTAGACAGCACCAACCCTCAAGTATAAAACGACGCCAAACCGACCAATCAAATTGTGGTACGTACGTGTTTTGCAAATTCTCTGACCTCATCAAAGAAAAATACAAAATACACTTGGAATTTTTTATAATTTTTATCTACAGAATTCAAGAATTTTGGAGTGTTTTTATTTTGAACCGTACATATTATTCAAATTCTTTTCCATTTTGAAATGAAAAGTCATTAGCTAAACAAATTCTATCAGTTCAATTAGGAGTGTAATTGCTGGCAGCAAAGATTCTTATCCTCTTTTCACTAACATTGGAGAATAAAGCAAAATATGACCGAGATTCTATAATTTATAAATGATGTCATCATGTTTTTTCATTTTCAATTAAAATTTGAAATATTTTAACCACCACCGTTGCACTACAAAAGTACTAAAACTACAAATACAATTTCCAAGGTTGTATCGAGTTTTATTTACGTCGGCATATTTCCAAGATGGCCGATTCTGTTCAAATAGGAGACAACGCGGAAGCAGTATCGGTTGAAATAATGCGTAAAAAAACGGAAAGCGAAAGTAGCAAGCCGAACGCTCAAGATGAGGATAGCGAAAGTGCAGAAGAACAACCCTTGGATATAGGTATCCATTATTTGGTTCGCCGATCCGACAATAATTGGTGTAAGTTGTTTATGTTAACCTCAAAATGTATAGCTTGCATTTGTTTTGTTTTGGTATGTTTGATTACTTTGTAGACCCTGCTGAAATCATCCAATCCAGGTACAACGAGATTGAAAGACAATATGAATACTACGTACATTATGAAGGTTATAATCGCCGTTTGGACGAGTGGGTTCCTAGAGGCAGAATAATGTCCTCACGATTTAATTTGACCGATGGCCAAAAAATGCCTGATATCAAAGTGTGGAAAGAGCGACCTGTTGTCACGGACTTACTGTCAGATAGTTCAGACAGAAAAATCACCCGTAATCAGAAACGTAGGCATGATGAAATCAATCATATTCAGAAAACTTATGCTGAAATGGACCCGACGACTGCAGCTTTGGAAAAAGAGCATGAACAAATTACTAAAGTGAAGTACATAGATCGCATTCAAATAGGAAAGTTTGAAATTGATACGTGGTACTTTAGCCCATATCCGGAAGAATATGGCAGGCAAAGCAAACTGTGGATCTGCGAGTATTGCTTGAAGTATATGAGGCTTGAAAAAAGTTACCGTTATCACATGGTAAGTGGTGAATGATAGTACTGTTTTGACTTTTAACGCTGTTGCCGTAGAGCGAATGCACATGGCGACAACCTGTTGGAAAAGAAATTTACCGGAAAGGCACTCTATCAGTATATGAAGTTGACGGCAAAGATCACAAAATATACTGCCAGAATTTGTGTCTCTTGGCCAAATTATTTCTAGATCATAAAACTCTCTATTTTGATGTAGAACCATTCTTGTTTTATATTTTGTGTGAAGTCGACAAGCAAGGTGCCCACATTGTTGGTTATTTTTCAAAGGAAAAGGAGTCACCAGACGGAAATAATGTGGCTTGCATCCTTACCCTACCACCTTACCAGAGACAAGGTTATGGCAAGTTATTGATTGCATTTAGTTATGAACTATCCAGGCTGGAAGGGACGGTGGGTAGCCCAGAACAGCCATTGAGCGACTTAGGCAAGCTGAGCTATCGTAGCTACTGGAGCTGGGTGCTTCTTGAAATATTAAGAGATTTCCGAGGCACTCTGTCCATAAAAGATTTAAGTCAAATGACCAGTATTACCCAGACTGACATAATCTCCACCCTCCAAAGCATGAATATGGTTAAGTATTGGAAAGGGCAACATGTTATTTGTGTAACACCTAAACTTGTTGATGAGCACATTCGTTCCAGTCAGTATAAGAGACCGAGGCTGTGCGTTGACAGCAGCGCCCTTCGGTGGACGCCTCGGAAACACATCAATAACAAAGCGGGCAAGAAGTGAATTAAATTGTAGATTTCTGTGAACCAAAATGTGATATAAAGTCTTGAAAGATTAGCATAGTCCTGTGGATATTTAAGCATGTGTTAATATTGTTGAAACTTGTAAGGAATAAGAATAATATTTCTTTGAAGAAAACTGACCTTTTAAATTTTATTGATATTAGTCTGTCTGGAAATGCTCATATCTGTGTAGACATATAGTTTATGCCATACTAGGTTATTAGATAATATAGTGGCACCACTAACGTAAAAATCGATGCGCCACAGATAACTCCCATTTTTAAAAAGCCATATCCATACACTTAACTTCTTTTGGACTCAAGACTTAACGGGGTTTGGACATATTTTGAGTAAATACCGCACCTGTTTTGCATGATTTTTGCTGTGCCACATTTATAGTTTACTTCACTTGCCATGGTCGCTTGCCCATGGCCATTTTATTCTTAGATTGTTTTCCCCTTTTTAGAATGGGAGGTCCTAATTGTAATTTCTAGTAAACGTGGTGTTTGTTTTGTTACCAATCTGTCTTTGATTAAATACATTTACTTATCAAACATCTGCACTTTTATTCTCTATCCCGTCCTCCCTTCTTCTTGCTGTCGACAGTTACAATGTACTACAGATTACTACACTAATTTCGTAGAATTAGTTGACTTATAAAAAAATGATTAAAATGATTCTCTGTTAAACCATTTGTAATGTTCTTGTGAGTGAGGGTGTTTGTGAAAACATAAAACTTGTCCACTTTTATTTTCCGTCCTGCAGGGTTTTCTTGAATCTCCAATAGAGCCTGTCAGTGTGACAGATATAGCGTAGTGATTGATCGAAAAGGCATCAACAAAGACTTTTTGATATTCGAAACATCAGCTTTTTTTACATGCAAAAATATTACATCGTGCCTACCGGGTCTTAAATTGACCTTAGGTATAAATATATTAATTTTCTATGATTGTATGCCATTAGAATTGATAGTATGACAAACAAACGTAGCATTTACTTTATAACAAGTCACCTCATATCTTTAATTATACAAAAATAACACATAACTTGCCGAATGATCCTGGTAGTCGTGGTCGTAGAAGGAAAGAAGAAGGGCCTTTTACTAACCAATATCTTGGAAAGAACGCAACTGTTTTATATTTAAGTAAAAATATAGGTTACGCCTATATATCGTTTATTGAAAAAAAACCTAATCATTAATTTGATTAAAATGGGTCGAAAAATTCCTGGAAAAAAACATAGAGGGGTAAAGGACCCCGAAAAACAAAAAGCGGAGCGTCTTACACGGTTAGCTTGGTGGCCTGTGGCGATTATTTAATTTATTTAGCTTTTAGGATTAAAGACAAAATAAATGCACCTCCTTCTAAACCTGATGATCAGGAAGTATCCAAGAGCTTATCTAGGATAATTGAATTGAAAAACAAAGTAAAAAAAGGATTATTTAACAAAGTGAACAAAGCCCATAGAGATAAAAAGGTAACACCGAAAAAATTTAGAGGTAGACCAGAGAAACCTATACCAGAGTTTATCCAAAATCCTGGAGAAAGTGATAGAGCATTTAAAAATAGGGTTAATCAAGTGTGCCAGGAAATTATTCGTGAAGCAGCATTTGAAGATAAATATAAGATTGATGTTAAAAGAAATCAACATGGAGAGGTAACTAAAAATCTACCACTTATTATTTGATAATTATGAATTAAGTTTAGGTTGAGGGAATTGCGAAACGCCCAAAAGACGAATTGGAAGAATTAGTAAAAAACGCAAGAAAGGGCAAAACAGGAAAGAAAAACCAAAAAAGAACAAATCAAGACAAAGGACAAAAACTATCAAAATCACAAAAGTGGGCCATGAAGAAAACTGAAAAAAAGAAAAAGAAAAAACTTGATTTACATGAAAATAGTGGGCCTCAAAAGGAGATAATTAAATTTGGTGAGGTTGCGCACGCACCTCCTAATTTGATTGTTCCCAAAAAAGCTAAAAATCCAGAATATTTACCAAGAGTAAGTTATTTTAGGCCAGTTTGCATTAATATAACCTAAGTATACATTTTAGCCAGGCGGCAAGAGTTTGCTGCTAAAATCTATGCTTGGCAAGCTGGAGAAAACTCATCACAATAATAATAAAAATGAAAGTTCATATATAAAATCAGTAACAATTGATAAGAAGGGTAAAAGGAGAGACTTACCTGTATCATTGCGAAGACAATTAGACCAACAGCAAAATGATATTATAAAAGCTTATAAAATGATAAAGTCAAAAAATCGCAACTGATATTTGTTATATATAAATAATATATAAATTTTATTTTGAGTCACAGATATTTAATTAGAGATGCTAAATCTTTAATAAAATATCTTTAAATTTTAGATCTGTTTTAATTGTTTGAACTACAATACAGAAACAAACAAAAATGTTTTTCTAGTTAAATTAGCAAGTAAAAATTTTAAGGAAAAGTAATAAATGGAGTACTAGGCTAAACTAAACTTGACTAAACAAACAACACACAAACAAACTAAAGAATATTAAATTAAATTAAAGAAATTGCAAATTTTGTAGTTCAGTGAAAACAAAATAAATGATGAAGAAATGTTCTTAATTTCTAAAAAAAATGCAATTATTTGTTATGGGTTCTTCTGTTCCTGTTTACCATTTTAACATACCTACCGTATGAACTTACCGCTTACCACTTACCTATGAGTATAACAAATTATCGGGATCCAAACGGATCTCGACTAGGCGGTCGTTCCAATTCTATGTCGGAGCTAAATGTTTATCAAAAACGGGCGAATGATCCTAGCAACTTGCCTAAAGAGGATTTGAAGCGTAAAATTGAATTGAATTGATGATCCTAATCTTCTTAGTTCTTAGAGGCCGATTAATTTGTCATCTACATTCGGTAAAGTGTTGGAGTCGATATTAAAGTGCAGAGTAGAGTGGTTTTTTGAGCATCACAGATTGTTATCAGAATCCCAAACCGGTTTTAGGCGTGGTAAGTCCGTTATGGATCATGTTTCCATCTTAACAAGTCATATTTTGTGTGCTCAGAGCAAAAGTGTTCCTACTGTTATGGTTGCATTGGATATTGTGGGTGCTTATGATAATGTCAACATTCCCATGCTAATAAAAGAGATGGATAAGCAGGGTATATCTAGGGATATTATAGGGTTAATCAATCGACTTCTCCTCAATAGGAACTTATTTGTTAAGGATGCTGTTGGGCAACTTTTGGTCGGACCTAGATCAACCAGTAAGGGGGTCCCTCAGGGATCTCCCTTAGCGCCTCTTTTATTTAATATATACGTAAATTCAATTAAACTAGTAATTCCTCCTAGGGTTTCTATTATCCAGTATGCGGATGATATTGTCCTTTTTTGTAGCGATGTTAATATCCTTTTTGCTATAGGCTTGCTGAATAAAGCCTTGGCGGCAGTGGCTGATTGGATGCATAGGTTTAACTTGCAGCTTAGTCCCCAAAAGTCGTCTGCTATTCTATTCTCTAGATCTGCTCTGGTTGGACTTCCTGACTTGGTAATTAATAGTGTAAATATTCCCTGAAAAAATGAAATTAGGTACCTGGGAGTTACATTTGATGCTAAGCTTACGTGGGTTCCCTAGGTTGGCAGGATGATCCATAAGGCAGCTAGTGGAATTAATATTATGAGATTTCTATGTAGGACGTGGTGGGGCGCCCATCCGTCTATTTTTTTGAAATTTTATAAAGCTTTTCTGCGTTCCCATCCCGATTGTGGTTCTATGGTTCTGGGGTGCTGCAGGAAAAAACCCTGTCTGGTCTGGATAGGATTCAATATCAGGCGTTAAGAATGGCATTGGGTATGATGAAATCAACCCCAATTAATATTTTATTGGGAGAGGCTTGCGAAACAAGTTTGGAGATGAGGAGGATTATGTTGGCTTCTAAGTTTTTAGTCAAGTCCCTTAGAATTAGAAATAATCCTAATTTCTTAGCTACCCAGCAGCTATATATTGCCTATCAAGAAAATCATAACTTTTTTAGAAGGAAGGCGAAATTACCCTTAGTTGAGGCATTTGACTGCACCGCCACCTATCATAATATTATTGATAGTGGAGACGTTCAAGCGTGTTTTAATAATGACCTGGCCCCTCAGCTTACGCCTATTAATTTTGTTGATTCCAAACATGAGAAAGGGATGGGTCTAAATGAAACTGAGTTTCGGGAATTTTGTTTCAAAATGTGGACCTGGGAAGAAACATTTATATTTACCGATGCTTCTAAGGGACAAGATGATAGAGTTGGCTTTGGAGTATTTATTTCATCTCTCAGTGTTAGGGTCGGGCATGGGTTGAATAGCGCGTTTTGTATTTGCTCTGCAGAAATGGTAGCTATTAGTTGCGCCCTAGATCTTACCTTAGATTATAATATTAAACATGCAGTAATTGTCTCCCATTCCAAAAGTGCCCTGCAGAGCTTCAGATGCAGTGCGGTTGAAGCCTCCAACAGCTACATTCTACTAGATATTAAAGCAAAGATTGATATTTTGAAGCGCAGACTTGGGCGGAAAATATCGTTATGCTGGATTCCAAGCCATTCGGGGATAAGACATGATGAAACGGTGGATAGAATAGCCTCAGAAGCCATACTTTTAGACCCGCTGAATTTAAGGCCCCCTTTCAGGGAATTTGCCCCGTTAATTAGAGCAAAGATGTGGCATATCTGGACCATCAAGTGGAAAGATTGGGGCCGTTCAAAGGGCAGACTTTATTGTGCAGCTTATAAGACCCCTCCAACAGTTCCATGGTTCTATAAATTGCAGCTGTCCAGAAAGGAGATTACAACAGTGTGCAGAATGAGGAGTAATCATTGTAGTTCCCCAGCACATCTTTACAAGATAAACGTAAAACCATCTAATCGGTGTGCTTGTGGAGAGGTGGGAGATATTGAACATATTTTGTTTGATTGTGCTCTGCACCGGAATAACTCCCAAATTTTGTATGAGTCCCTCATTGATGCCAGCTTACCCGCTCCTATTAGTGCCTTTTCTGCACTTTTTCACCCTGGATGTATGGATTTTGTTGCACGACTTGTGGTTAGATTCCTTAATGCATGTGGTATCTGCTTATAACCGCTTTTGGATTTGCTAGCTCATGGTCTTTGGGTTGGTTTTATTCATTATGTATATCAGCTAGAACTTCCAAGAAAAACTCCTTCGCTGGAGAAGATCCGAAAACCTTCGACATATAGAACTTCTGAGATTAGTCAGTCTCCTTCGCTGCAGAAGATCCGAAAATCCTCGACATTTGGAACTCACAGATCAGTCTCCTTCGCTAGAGAAGATCTGAAAAACCTCGACACTTAGAACTTTAAAATTTAGTCTCCTTCTCTGGAGAATATCCGAAGATCCTCGACGGAAGTCGGCAATGGGCGAATGATCCTCGTAGTCAAGCCCAACAGTTTTTGGTAAAACGCATCATTGAATTTGAATTGAATTGATTGGATTCTGTAGTGGAGCATTGCACGCGGCGGTTTAACCTCCGTTCGCTCCCGACAGAATCCCTTGTATTCGTCCTCAAAAGTTTGATATCGGTTTCCACTGTGTGGACTTAGTGTTGTTAGTGTTCAGTGCATGTTTTAAAGTTATAATCGTCGTCGGCCCCGTCGTTTTTCCCCGTTCACGCCGGTATGGAGGCCGGATGGGCCCGGATGGTCCGCCGTGGAAGCGGGGGGTTTCGGTTTTTTTTGATATCGGTCAAATTTGTTTTTTTGCTAGTTGAGCAAATATTGGTTATATGTCTTCTTTGTACGTGTTGGTCAATGACCAAAAGCGAAGATCCTCGACGGAAGTCGGCAATGGGCGAATGATCCTGGTAGTCGTGCCCAACAGCTATCTGTGAAACGCATCATTGAATTGAATTGAATTGAATTGATCCGTGGTTATGGAGATTCTGTCGAGAGCATAGCACACGGTGGTTTAACATCCGTTCGCTCCCGACAGAATCTGTTGTAATTGTCCCATAAAGTTTTGATATCGGTTCCAAAAATGGAGTGTTTGCTTTCTAATTGTTTTAAAGTTGTAATCGTTGTCGGTCCCGCTGTTTTTTCCCGTCCACACTGGTTAAAGGTCGGTTGGGCCTTTAATCGATGTGGACAAAATACCTTTTTTTAAGAACCTATTAAGTATATGTTAATAAACCTGGAGGATGATGATGGAAGGGTCCAGACACCCTTCTCTTATGAAGGCATCCTTTAGGATTTTTGAATAATTTTCACAATTGTAAGCTGCCCGTAGGACCTGATGTAGTTGTGGTCATTAGATGTAAGGAAGAAGAAGAAAACCATGGTTATGTGTAGTTATATTTTTATTTAAGGATTTGAAAGGGCGAAACTTTGTTTTGTAACAAATGATCACCAGTTAAGAAAGACATTTTAGAAACTTTGACGATGTTACCGAAAATAAACTCACTTTTTAGCGAATTTAAATCATTTTTCCAATTGGGTCCCAAAGAATATTTAAGACGCAACATTAAATTGCCTCTAGTAAAGTTTATTCATGACACAGTTAGTTTATACAAAACCCGAACAGAAACAGGTCTAAATAATGTTCGGGACGTCTTGTTTAGGGGTACAGTAATTGCTCTTATCACCGCACTCTTAGTTTGGCTTTCAATAATTATGTATGTTGCATTTTATTATGTATATGTTCCAAAACTCACCCATGAAAAATCAGTGTATTTGAAGTTTAGGTAAATAGACTACTTTTCGTTTTTGGTAAGGATGTCACACAAATTTTAGTCTAATTTAAAATAAATTATGTAGGCCCTGTAGTACCACCCAAGACTTGAATACTGCAAAGGGGATCTGCACCTTTCCTTCTTCATATGTGCAACTAACTGAAAAGCAACAGCTACTCATGATGGGTCAGCAATATAAAATTTATTTGGATTTGGAAATGCCTGAGTCACCAGTCAATAGAGAATTAGGCAGGTTTATTTTTATGTAGTTATGATCTTTTATTGACATATTTTAGGAATGTTTATGGTGTGCATTGATTTTCGGGGAAAGAACAGAAAGATATTAGCAAACTCATGCAGATCAGCAATGTTGCATTACAAAAGCAATCTATTGGACACTATATATAAATTGATATTCTTGCCATTTTTTATTTTTGGATCTGCTGAAGAAACTCAAACAGTTCATGTGGAATTATTCTCTGATTATGTAGAATCTGAGGTAAAGACGTTTTGATCCATCAATTTTTATATAGGTTGTTTTAAACCAATTAAGGGGTAGTTCGTGTTGTCCCCCCGTAAGTTAACTTACTTATTTGTAATTGTTTTCAGTATGGACCTGTTACTGACCTGTATGTTGAAGTTCAGTCTAAACACATTGAGATATACTCAGCTAAATTTTCGATTAATGCAGAATTTTCCGGACTGAGATATGTGATGTTTAATTGGCCAATATTCTCAGCCACTTTGGGTAAAACTTTTATATTATGAAAGAATCTTTTAAAATTGTGTTTTATATTTTAGGGATAACTGCAAATTTGTTCTTTATTGCACTAACATGTCTCGTAAGTTGGTATCAAATAATCCATTCAGATGAATATGCTAATTACATTGAGTCTAGAACTACATTAGTCATTAGCAAAAATGGTAAGAAATTATGAAAATGAAATAAAAAAGGTTAGTTACATTTAAATTGTAGACCTTGGCGAATTTGAGACAGAATCATATTCCGATGAAGGAGATGATTCCTCATCCTCTGAACTTCGTTTCCAAAAGACTGATGTTATTGAAGAGTTGAAAAGTGCTGTAGAAAATTGAGTGTCAGTATTCAAACAACACAATTTGAATTATACTTAATATTGGATTTAAGATTACTTTTCTTGAATCAATACAGTTGGTACTACTACTTATTGCTGCTTAAAGAGATCGAATTTTACCAAATAGACGTATTTGTAATTTTATTGTAACTATTTTTGTAGTACATCACCTTTTTTAGGCTCAGCTGTCTAAAGAGAAAATCACTTAGAGTTTTAATAACCCGAGTTAGAGTTCTGTTAACATTGAGTTATCTACAGTTTGCAATAGATGTGCACCATCTAGCACATTACTTTTCTAAGCAATTATTGAAAAAGGAGAAGTATGTACTTTACGAACTATTTCTTGTAATGGTAAGTTTCTGTTCCTGTCAATCGAGCATAAAGTGTTCTGAAAATTATATTGAAGCTCCTTTTATTGGTGTTTTAAACAATAATTTAACATTTAATTTCAATCCATATGTAAATTGATTTAAAATAATGATTTTGCACAAAACTACGTCCCGTTGGCCAATTAAAAAAGGTCCTCGAGGATATATCAAAATGTAATTGTCCTAAAAACTTGGGGTGAAGAAACTTATAACCAGATTAACCAAGAGAAAATGCCAGAAATTATTTTTAAGTTTCTAGAATAACCTCCATTATTATGAGAAATAACCTTATATTATAAAATAGAGAATAATTTGATTCTTTTTTTCAGAATAGTTTTTGCTCTACCTCTTAAGGGAGAGTTGTGGGGACAACATTTTCGGAAATAAATGTCCATAACTTCAGAATGGTTGTCAAACTTGGAGTCGTTGAAAGGGGCTTTCTGAAGTTATTGAATTTATCCCAGGTGTAACAGTCCATTTTGACTATCTCTGAAATAAGATTATTTCTTAAAAAACGGAATTTAAAATACAAGAAAGCCATTACATCCTCTGGCGCCCATTCTATAAACTTAGAAATAATTTCAAACATTTTTTCTTGGCGCTTTTTTATTTGGATTACTTTTCCAGCTAGGGCCGAGCGTCCTTAATTCACCACCCGATGCAGGAAAGGATATAAAATTGTTTAACAGATGTCGCTAAACTTTCGTTAGTTTTTAACTACTCTTATTCAACTGGGCCTTAAGGTGTTAATTTTTCAAAAACCATTTTATAGACTTATAAGATTAACCCCATATTATTTTTTAATGTTTAAATTAAAAGCAAAGCAACTTGTTTTTTTTCAACATTTCTACTTTATATTGTAAAAAAATATAGGTAGTTGTCTATAAAAGTCAATCGCTTACAACAGAACAAATAACAAAAAAATCAAAGTCAGAGGCAATAACAGTGTTAAAAAACAATGTCAAAAACTTATTGGTAATATAGAAAATTAAGAAACTAGTCTTTGAGCAATACTTTAAAACAATATTTAATTTAATCTGAAGGCAACATAACAACAGAGTCGTCAGAATCTGAACTCGATTTATGAATATGATTTTCATCCAAACTATTCACGTCCCATTCATTTTCACTATCTGAATGAGCAATATCCATCTGCATTTCAACCTCGGCTCCCGATTCATCTGAATCTGAAATTAAAATTTGAATTTATGGAAGTTGACCGACTCAAAAAACGTCCTGTATAACCTTTATCGTTAAATAAAATCGCTTCGTCGCTTTCGTCCTCTTCAACCGGAACTGTGATCTGGGGAACCATCAGTTCCAATTTGCCTCGTAACCTATTCAAAGGCACAAACAATGAGTTCCTGGCCTGGATGCTTGCTAATGCTTTGGCAAACATATCGGATAAATTCGGATTCGAAATTAATACACCGGCGTGTATTCGAGCAAAATTTTTTAGCCACAGCGCGCCATAATAACTCCTAAAATGACTTTGTAATATGGTGAAATAAGAGGGATTCAATATAACTCACAAAACTGTTTTCCCATTTACCAAGGATGACACTTCTTTTACCAAAGGTTCGAAAATGGCAACAGGCAGCCTTTTGATTGTATTCCTAATTATATCCTCATCCTTTCTGCTCAAAGCCATTCTTAAGAGGTTTTTGTCTTTGCTATGCAGTCCTTGTAACAGCAGTTGTGCGACATTATCGCTTTTGGGTACTGTGGCACCTTCAACTTTATTTAAGATCAAATTTTCTAAACGCTGCTCCATGGGCACTTCCTTTTGACCGTCGAACTTTCTTTTAGGAATGGTAGATGTGTTTGGTGTCAAATAATGAACATCATTGGTCAACGGAATTTTAGTTTTTGACCCAGTTGCTGTTTTGCTTTTTACTATTTCTGGATCCTTGCGGACCAAGCAATGTACTCTTTGAGTAGTAGCGATGACCTAAAAGCACATAAACTGTTTATCAATTTTGTCCCAAATGTAAATATCCCTCATTTTGTACCACATTTTCAAATGTTAAAAACCTTTGCGACCCATAACCAATGCACAAACTTTCTCCATCGGGCTGAAGTCTGGCTCCCGATATTCTCAGCGGACTAACAGTTTCATCACTATGCCCGATCTCTGATACTACCTGAATAGTTGTTTTCGGTTTTAATGGCTTGTCATTTTGGCTAAAACCAAAAATAATATCTCTCAACAAGTTTATTGGAAGGAAACATCAGAAATTACCCATTTAACTTGTGTTGGTATATATGGACTACTCCACTACGGGTTGATGCCGCTATGGTGGTTGATCCGTCGCTGTTAACATTCACAGAAATGTTTCTAACAATATCTTCCATTAAATAATTGCAAACAGTATTCTTCTGATGTTGGCTTGCCTTTAAGTTCCAACAGCTCAAAAGGCGGTCCTCCTATGGCAATAGACATAATATTAATGATTAGATTGCTGTTTAAGGAGTATACCTTTGATCCGCTTAATAGATACAAATCTTCATCTCTACAAACACAAGACATTAGAACAACTTCAGCGCTGTGACCAATGAATGTTTTTAAAAGTTGTTTGCTAACGATATCCCATAACTTAATGCTTTTGGATGCAGTTAGGAGCTGCTGTGTCTGGCGAATAACAAGAATTGAAATTATTCTTTCATTAGTAACCTGCCACTGACTAAAATATTTCAAAAGAGTGTCAAACCATAAACAGGAATGAAACAGAATTGTACCTTTTAACTGTCCTCCTTTTTATATTCCACAGAAAAATATGTTGATCGGCACCAGAATAAATTACATTCTCATCAACAGGGGACAAACAATTTACAGAGGAATTGGTTTTGCTGTCTAACGTTAAAGATACATTAGCTTTACCAATGGAATATATTAACAAAAGTCCTGAAGATGTTCCTAAGGCAATATTGGGATCCAAATTTATGTGATCTTTTTTTTTGTTCTTCTTCGGCGATGGCGAATACTAAAATAAGAACTAAAAACCGATTTTCTTCAATAATAGAACACCTTACTTTATAAGTTCCAGAAGTTTCATTTGGAATAAAATGTAAACAAGTACAAGGAGTCGTCAAATGGAAATCTGGAGTGAATTCTTGCTCCAATGAATTAGACACCGTATTCCAAATTTTAAGCTTGCCGTCTAAAGTTATTTGGGCGAAATATTTTCCGTCCTCACTAAATTGCAGAGCCATATTAACCATCACTTTATTAATTACACATGGGTAATACAATCGTAACCTATTTTTTGCGATCTTCTTTTAAGTTACTGCTATAGCCAACATTACCAAGCTCCATTCGGCCAGTCTTCGCAGTGAATGACTGCCATTCCAAGGTCATTTTTAGAGAGACTTTAACGTTAAATTTTGGTTAAGGGCGACTTTCGTCTGGTTATGCTGCTAAACTCGTCTCTATGTCACTTTAGGTGCCCGATTTCGGTGACCTACTGGAACTGGATCCAACCAAAGAAAAGTATAAAAAAAAATTGATGACAACGTTTTTTAATGATTAATACACTAAAATTGAGATCATCTCGAAATATTGAAAATATACAAGGATTTTCTGGAATAGTGTAAGAAGTCAGCTCGTTCTGATGATTACGTTTGTAATTAGACTTATGTTTTTGTAAGCCCAGTTAGAATAGTCTAAAGTTCCGTTTTAATCTCGTCCAAATTTTTTTTATTGAGACTTTGTTAATTTGAGAATCTTAAATTTACTATTTAATTTAGAATGTAGTATTTTGTGATGTGTGGTAACTGATGGTCAACAGCTAGAACAAGACAACAAGAACTTTACAGGGTAAAGCAAGTAATTACAGATGAAAGTTTCGCCACCCAAATATAATTGTAAAAAAACGGACAGAGGTTGATAGATTAGGTTGATGATTTTGGACTAATATTTTTAATTTGTTAACAATCAAAGAAAAATTAAGTGGGTCGCCCTTGGTGATATTGGTCAGCACTAAAGGATTGAGTTGATCTTAACTCTCTTGGTTAGTTATATAACTGGAGAACAGCACAGAGGAATTTTGGTATCAAGTGTTTCGAATTACGTAGATATTGAACAGTACCGGGCTTAACGGAGAGAGGTGAAGAAGGTCCAATTTTGTTATGTTTGGTGTTATAAACTAGCCACCTTTTTGTTTTGTTTTAGTCCTTCACGGATGGAACTATGTGTATTGGTGGTAATCCGGGTGTTCATCCGTTCGTTGTTTGACCCTGGAGTAGGATCATTCGCCTGACGCCGCAGAGGCCGCGCGTCAATGTCACTCGTACGTGATCCTACTCCATATATATATATATATATATATATATATATATATATATATATATATATATATATATATATATATATATATATATATATATATATATATATATATATATATATATATATATATTAACGTAATAATAAGCTTAGCCGAACCTAACGAGATACATCTTCCATACCATATCGTCGAATGATCCCGGCTAACTATGGATTATACTTGAATCTGTGTTTTGAAACACCCAACCCATGTCTATATGGCTGAAGGATCCTGGCAAAGTCGGCCAGTTACTTAAAGACCAAACTATATATCTATGGCTGGTTTGCTTTTCCGTTTTTTTCAAATTTTTGTCGTTTGTTGAGCAGATTTTTTTATAAGATTTGTATCATGGTTATAAATGAAATGTGGACCTTTTTCGGTGGAATAACTGCGTAACTTAAAAGTAGGAAAAATGAGGAGGTCCAGATCGCAAACGAGCATACCGCTTCTAAAAGGGAGAGAAAGAACAAGATCGTTATCTAGGTAGTTATTATTATTATTAGTATAAGGTTTTTCACATTAGACCTAGACACTCATAATTTTGTTTTATAAAAATCTTGGTACAATTTTTTTTCAATTTTTCTGACCTTTGGGTCAAGCAACAATGAAGTATTTCTGCTTTTGTTTAATTGATTTAGAATCACAAGCTTATTGATAAAAAAACTGGGTCTAGTGAGTTACTGCAGCAAAGAGAAACTTTTTAAACCCATGTGTAGCCACTTTAGCCACACAATTATCCGAGCTTACATCCATCATATTTAAGTCTTAATCATCTACTTGTCGCATATAAACTAATATTGATTGACTGGGTATTATTTATTAATCTGTAGAACAGGGAGTGTGAGTCGAAATGCGAGCTTGGATAAGAAATTAACCCCTTTGCCAAATCTGGGGGTAAAACGCAGCCAAAAGAATTCTTATTTAACCCCATCGACGCCTATCTATCTGGGAATGGGCAAACGGAGTGGTTATAACAGTAGCATTGGACAGGTACGATGAAGATGAGATTGATTTTTGCTTTTTTTGATCTTTTCTAATGATTATTTTTTTATTTTTTTTATACGTTGCAAAACATATTTTTGTAAATATATCATTAATCAAGCAACATTTAGCAAATGTGCAAATAAACTAGAAAATAACGTTTATAACATCATACAAGACCAAGTGGGCCTTAACGGCCCTAGTCAAAAAAACTGAACAATATGTGAAATTAGTTATTGAGGATACACAATCCGCACTAAAGCAAAAAATATGTACATAAAGGACTTTTTAATATAAAAAAAAACGAATTATTGACCAAAGCGGGGTTTAAATTTTCAATGTTGCTAATTGTAAAATTAAATATATTTTGAGATTTTGAAAATAATAAATTTATCTTTTTTTAAGTTTTTGTAACTTTCATTTACCTTTTTTTGTAATTTTGTTTCTTTATTTTTTTTTTGTGTAAAAAAAGCATTTCATATTTGGATACTTACATTTCAACTTTGTTTTCCAATTTTCATAAATTATGAGACTCTGAGATAATTTTTTATTGAAAGTTTATTTAAAATTTGAAAAATTGTTAATTTTTTTAAAACATATTTTGCAATTTCGCTTTCTAATATTCTTTGATTTAATTTAAGTTAGTAGTTCTGAAAATAAAGAATGAAAAACTGCCAAAGTATACAGGGTTTAAAAAGTACACAAATTGGTTATAAATTTTAGTTTAACCTTTTTAAGTATTTTCATTCATTCATTTTCATTAATACAAATTTACATGTTGGAGAACTCACTTGTGCGGCATTTGCTGAAACATTTAATGCCAGCGAATATGAACAATAGATGCAGGGATACAAATAGTACCATAATCTAAGGAATATCATTTTCATTTACAAACAGTAGTAATAACGAATACATTTATAAAATTGCAGTTGAATTTACAATTGTGTTGTTATAAATTATACAAATTTCGAAGATTGTTCCAAAAAACAGAAACGAAATTTTTTTCAGTTATTTATTTCTGTTATTCTCATCTTTTTGTTTGAAGGTTTATAATATTTTTGCCGTAATACTTTTTTTTGTGTTATTCCTATTTGATTTTACATGTTTAGCATTTAGCACTTTGTTTGCAATTTTGTTTGTTTCCTGTCGACTGTGGAAGTTTATTGACATTATTGGTGAAAAGTATACCTCACAGATCCCTATGTGGTAGTGTACTTGAAGTAATCTGTATTTTCCGTAGAGTGGTAGTAGAGGTGTATCTTCTGTTAATATGAAAGCGAAGCAAGATCAAATTAAAGACAAAAAATGGGTGTCAGAACAATATCAAAAGGTAAGTACCGGTCGTTTTTTTCAATTTCAATTTGTTATTCCATCTTTTTAGTGTAAACTTTATATCAGTTCTTGTGGTAAATTCGCATGTCCGTCTATTGCGGACTCTATAAGACCGCCGACGATAAAAATTCTCGTAGAAATAATGTCCACCATGCTGGAACAAATCTTTGGGGCAGTCAATATGAACGCGCATAATTATGCGGAGGTCCTGGTGTCACATCTGAAGCTGTTGAGTTACCCAGGATCTTTGTCAGTTTCAAGCGTAAAAAGCTGTAAGTCAAATTGTATATGTCAATCCTGGTAGTGTAGCCATTCGAAATTGATACGCGTCTGTAATACGGGGTGATTGTTAGAAAATGGGCAATTTCTAAACTGGGGAGATACTAGACAAAAAAGTATTGTGATTGACTTTAACGTGCCTTCTACAAATGTCGCTGATTTCGGAGATAAAGGGCCTTCCAAGTTTACAGTCTATTCTGTTTTCCCATTAGAAGTTTTTATAGTATACTAATAAAAATTGACAGTTAGTTATATTCCCACGAGAGCTGAACCAGTTACTATTGATTGTTAAGTGAAACCACATCTTAAGGATGTGCTTTCATTTAGCACGGGAGGAGTTATATTCCCATGAGAGCTGTAATATAATGCGCTTCTCACAACGTTCGCAAGATTCGCGCCTTTAAGTTCACAAGCAGTATCAGCACGTAAGATAATATAAATTTATGTTAAATCCCACTTTGAGACAGATGTATGTTAGCTCGCTTGCGAATAAAATTGTTTTTTTTTTAAACTAAATTTTCAATTTCGGAATCAAAACTGGCGCAGTCAGTAGGATTTGCCAGCGGATAATACGTTTGCATCGTGCATATCGGTCCGTCATCGTTTTAACAGTTTGTGGCAAATTCGAACACGCAAGAAAAAGCAAGTGCATCTCACTGGCTAGGGAACAGGAACATTGTTCGAAGTCCTATTAGCGCCAAGAACAGGAACAAGCATCGTCCTGGACTTCATTTGTAGTTTCCAGGGAGGAGACAACATCGTTCGTCCTATTGGGCCTAGTTTAAGAATGAAAACAGCAACAGCAATACTGTAAGTGCCAAATTTCCTTTCAATTTTCCTCAGATTGTCATATTGTGTGTTCTCTGTTTTTTTTTTTTTTTAAATAAAAACGGATACCCTAATTTTAGAGCTTAGTAATATTAGTTTAAGTGATTTAAATAACGACTGTAATTTATCTGATACCGATATAAACGATTTAGAAATGACTCAATCAAACGCAAACTACTCTTTGATAAAATATCCAAAACAAATAAATCGCTTCAAAAATTAATGTCCTTCACAATGCGATAGTCGATCCATATGAACTCTTGCAAAAAATTAAAGAACTAAGCACTTTAAATTCTGATAAATTGCCATTAAGTGGTGATTCTCAAAATATCTTAAATATTGAAAAAATCATAGAAATTAACATTAACATTTATGTTGGAACTTCCATTGGTTGAGACAAAGACATATCAATATTACAATCTGTTTCCATTGTCAGTTCCTAATAATAATTGATCCTTCGTAATTAATATATCCTATAAACCCTATTTGGTACTGAGTGAAAAATGCTTCGAAATGCAGCCCAATCAATTTCTGTGCAAGGACGCCTATAGCAGAATAATTGAAGATCACCCACCGTGCGCTATACAGCCACTTAAATACGTGAATAATGTTACCACCTGTCGCCCATTTGAAGTTCAACTGCATGAAATCCAATCGACAAAAATTATCGATAGTAAATGGATTGTCACCGTACCAATTACCGCGATTGCCAAATAAACATGTCAAGACCTAGACAACCATATTCCACTTTCGGGTTCCTACGTGCTAGAAGTACCCTTAGGATGCAAAGTGCAAATAAAGTCGACGACCTTCGAAACCTACAAGTCAATAAACCTATTGTTTCAAGAAGTTAATTTGCCTTCATTAACTTGGACTAAGATTAATGAACGTCAAACAATATTCAATCCACCAGCGATTGATCTAACCTCAAGACTACGGATCAAATCCAGGCCAGACTGAAGAATCAGATGGAAGACCTTCAAGCCATATCTTTGGACGTTTACGTTAATAGAACAAGCCTATGGACCATTTTAATGTCTCTATTAATTAATTTTAATGTCTCTATTTTAATGTCTCTAATAATAATTTTTAAGTGAAACCACACCTTAAGGATGTGCTTTCATTTAGTGCGGGAGGAGTTATATTCCCATGTAAGATTCGAGCTTTTAAGTTCACATGCAGTATCAGCACGTAAGATAATATAAATTTATGTTAAATCCCTTTTTGAGATAGATGTATCTTAGCTCGCTTGCGAATAACGAAAACGAAATTTTTAATTTCTGAATCAAAACTAGTTTTAGGTTTTTTGAAAGAAGTTCTTGTCTTATTTGTATTTAAAAAGTTGAAGGTATTTTTTATGATTTTTGCAAGGTATGGGTAACCATAAAAAAACAATATTTTAACAGTTTCAACAATTTTGGTAATAAATAATAAATCAAATATTGAAATTGTCTACCATCTATGTCAATACGTTTTACAATGCATTCAAATTTGGTGCGACATAATTTCTTTCATATCAAGATGCGTAATCTTCAAGCTGAAGCAAATTTTAATATTTATATGAGCAGTTTCCCCATCAGTGGCTTGGCCATCGACTTTTTCTACAATGAAAATACCAGGAGCCGCGAATACCCCTAGACATAATAAAGAAGTTTTGTTTTTTTTTGCTGCTCGTGCCTTCTAACGGAGGTTGGATATTATCCTGGCTATCTTAATATTGTTAACAGCTGCTCTGAATAGTTAATTTGATGTCATTCCAAACCATTCACTTAAGTTTTTGAGCCAAGAGGTTCTTCTCTCGTAACTCCTTTTGCCCTTGATCTTTCCTTCCATAATGTTCTGTAGCATCGCATATTTAGGTCCTCTGATTATGTGGCCAAAGTATTCCAATATTCTTCTTTTTAGAGAGTTAATTATTTCCTCCTGTTTCCAGGTTCTCTGCATCAGTTCCATATTTTCAACATTGTCCGAACACACCAACTTAGTCCAACTTAGCGAATATTCTATTGTGAATAATTCTTTAAAATACCTTCAAAATGTGACTCATAAGGGCTATGGTTGGATGATCGGAACATTCTGTAGCATTTTGTTTCTTAGGTAACGTTATAAATGTAGATGAAAGCCACTAGCCACACAGCATAGTCAAGAATCAGTTCAAGCCGGTCGTCGCTTGACTTCCGAAATAATACTGCCGTCGGAACTTGTTAATACAGTACACTGTATGCAGATTGAAGCTGTCTGTCTTCGCTCTTATTCTTCCACTTCATCACGTTCCTTCCTTATCCAGTTTTTGGCACAATAGTCTAGATTCTAATTATGCTACACACTTAAACACAGAAAAACACATATTTGACGACAATTTTGATATTTTACATACAGCCACAAAAAGTAGAGAATTATATTTTATTGGATGCCATGGAGATTAACAAAATGAGACATTCAAATGTATTGCTTAACGATTAGATTTAAATACCTATCTACAGCAGGTAGTTTGTAAATTTTACATTTGGTAAAGACACGGTGTTGTCGAAACAATTGTCATGTATAAATATATAATTTCGTGAAATTCTGAACTTTTAGTTCTTATTTATATTGCGTCATTTTCCTGTTTTATTGTTCATTTCAATCCCACATTTCTTCCAACCTTTTGTTTAACTGTTTTTCAGCGTATAGTCTTTATGTCTGTACTGCGTCCTGTACTGTTTTATGTTGTTTTATCCTTCTTTCTATGTCCAATAAATTCTCCTTGTCCGCAATGCACAAAATGTATCATATTTTGGAATTGGGATTTTTTATATTTTAGGTAATACGATGCATGGCTTCCCTCAGTTTATAGGAATATTGTCGTGGCTTATTGATAAAGTATTGCAACCAGAGGAGGATCCCCAACCACTTGAACTGGAGCAAGAATCGCAGTTGCATAAGAGCGTTTTTAGATTCTTTAGTACTAATTATATGCCTTGGTCTTCCGGGGTAAGCATATTGCATGAATGCTTTTCTGCATGATTGTTATTTTTGGATATTTACATTATAATGATGCGGTAATTCGCGCTCCCAATAACCAACCACTTGAAGTTAGTTAAATAGCAAAATAAAATATTGTAGAGAACAAATCAGTATTTGCAAAGTGAATTTAAGGCATCAGAGCTTTACCGTTTGTTTCCATGGCAAAATTCCACACTGTTAAAAGGAAAGTTCAAATAACTGAAAAGGTCATTGCCTTGACACTTCAGTAGTAGTTTATTCTGTTAAGAACAAAATTTTCGTTCACCAAAAGATAACAGATAAACAAAGAACACTTTAAGAAACAACTATAGTACAACGGTTCAAAGACTGATAAATACAGTAAAATTATATGAGTCAATCAGTCAAGTCAATGATGAAACTTTAAATTTCGTTTTTTTAAAAGCTGAGATAAATTCGCTAGAATTCGTACATTAGTTTATGCTCTACCTCCGTAGGGAAAGAGTGGTCAGTAAATGATCTAAACTACATTTTTATATCTCTTTTCTATACTATATGGGTAAAACAAATAGAAACAAAATAATGTCGCAAACGCAATCTCGTAGTTGGATTTTGGATGGGTGATTATTCAATCGTATTGAATTATATATATATATATATATATATATATATATATATATATATATATGATGACACTATATTCTGGGATATCATCCGTTCGCTCGTTGAACTCCGACTGGAATCCTGCATCCGACTGGAATCCTGCAAATCTTGCATCCGACTGGAATCCTGCAGACGTTTCGCCAAAATCTCACTTGGCATCTTCAATGCTCGCGCTCCGAAAACACTTCGAACACTGTGTTCGAAGTGTTTTCGGAGCGCGAGCATTGAAGATGCCAAGTGAGATTTTGGCGAAACGTCTGCAGGATTCCAGTCGGATGCAAGATTTGCAGGATTCCAGTCGGATGCAGGATTCCAGTCGGAGTTCAACGAGCGAACGGATGATATCCCGGAATATAGTGTCATCACATTTTTCCATCCGTGAATCAATACGTGAGAATATATATATATATATATATATATATATATATATATATATATATATATATATATGTATATATATATATATATTTTATTTTTTATTTTTGATAACAATTTATTGTTTTTGAGCCATTGTACATTATTACTATACCCTACCCTATATATGTATTTAATGTGTTGTTAGTATACTTGTTGTTAGTAACTTCACCAAATCCACTAGAAATAATAAAAAATAGCGATTTAGGTATATAAAACACTTTAAAGCAATTAAAATATATTGTTTTATAACTGCCACAATTTTAAATATTACAAGAATACGGGACGTAACAATTTGTAGTTTAAAAAAATCATCCAGAGAGCAGAATAAACTTCTTATTAATATTTTTTCTTTTTTTTATTATGTATTTTTGAAACAGTACACTTTTTTATTTAAGCACGTAGCTTTAGCGCAAGTTTCATGGGCCAGTTTGAAAACAGGTTACACGCTGTTAATCTGGTGATAAGCGGATTCTGGACATGCCTCTCAGTCATCATTCCAAGATTTCTATAGCGCTAATATCCTGTTCAATAGGCTGTCTTTATTGCACTTAGGGAAACACACTGCCTAAGTTTACTAATTAGTAACCTACCTGTGCGGAACCATTTATATCTTTAAAAAGTACGCTGTCGTCAGCAAAGAGAGGAAACAATTCGCTAGGCTACTATGGCAAGCCGTGTAACTTCTGGGAATGCAAAAAAGATACATTGGAATATCAAATGGAGGTGACATACAATTTCGGCCATCGCCTCAATGCGTAGAATAAATAGACCTACACTGACACCACCTATGAAATGGAATACCTTTCCTCTCTTTATTTACCTAAAAATTATAGGATGGAGATTCGTTTAATTGCTGCTGAAGTATTTACACCCGTAGAATTAATATAATTAATAAATTTAATTAAATGTCAATCTATTCATTTGTCAAGTCAAGCAAATTATAGTGAACAAATTATGTGATGTTTTCTCACATTTATTCTAACAAAGAATTTTGCCTAACGTAGATAGCCGACCGACCAACTGAAGAAAGCGTGATGCAGCTGCGGGCTGATTTTTCAGTCGGTTTAGAGCAAGCTGTGGAAATTCAGGAACAAATCGAAATGGTAAAGGCAGACATAGAAAAAGCTGAAGAAAATCTGGAATCATTGTCAAAAAAAAAATTGGATTTAGAAAATGAAATCAGATATAAACAAAATGTAATTGACACAGTGTTGGTGAGTAATAATAAACATTTTCCCAAATATTGCTTGTAGTTGGCAATTGTTATAAGAATTTTTGCTGTTCTTCCTTCCACTCTAAAATTCACTTGGGGGACCATATCAAAGATTAAATTATCCTTACTTGGTCGATATCTGACATACTTATTTATTGATAAACAGTTAAAAGGTTAACAAATTTTAGTATAAACAACTCTATTTACCAAAATATGAAATTATGAGGAGTACCCAAGATCAAATCAACTTTTCCCAGTCATTTCATAATGGTATCCAAAATTCTGTGGATGCACCTTTTAACCACAATAATTTTACTATTATATATGTCGGCGCTATAAGCTATAAGTGGTCTATATTATCCCATATTTCGTTTTGAGTGGTTTGAATGTTTATTTGTGACTCGCATTATTTATCGGTTTAACCTAAACAGTTATAATTCTGTCATTCGTAATATTGTGGACCCATGGGAACCCACTTTGGTATTTTTCCCAAGTGAACGGAACGCGAACCGGCGAAGATAGTCTGGTTTTATAAAAGCACTGGTTAGGTCGGATTTTAAGTAGCTCCCATAGTTTATTTTTGATTGGTTATTTTGTAGTTGATCTAGCGGGTCGCGAATCGTTGGATTCCCTTTAGTAATCAATTAGGTGATTAGATTTTTCATTTGTTTCAAGCACTGTGTTGTGCATTCTTTTAATATGTCCGAGAAATCTAACCCTAGGTCGCCTCGCTCGCCATCAAAACCCGCCATTCCGGATTTTTAATTTTTAATTTCACTTGCTGACCCTCTACTATACTGTACTTTTATTAATTTTCTATCATAAATTTCTGCATTATCTGAGTCTAAGATACTATTTATTCCTATAACTAAATTTCTTATCATTTGTCGGCCTCTTCAATTACATTTTACATTCTTTTAGTCTTTTATATAGGTAGTTTAAAATATGAATATTTGAAAGTTTTTCAAGTTACTTAGCATTTTCATATATTCTCTATACGTAATTAAATTATTGTGATTAATACAAGTCTTTTTAGCTGATCCTTTTTCGTTAAGGATGTTAACAAACAATCAGAAATCCATGGTTTGGATTGGGTTGTTTTTTTTGTCACTTCACACTTTGTTCTTTAAAGTTATTCTTTTTTATTTTTTTTTCGAAGGTATTTCAAAGCACCACTTTGAAAGTGTTTGCTGGGGAATTTGGGTTGAAAAAAATAAATGTTGTGTTTAGCATTAAAAATATCTGAATCACAATTTCGAATAATTTAAATAAGCGTTAGTCAAAATTTGGTTGCGGCAGAAAAGTCTAACCATTGCGATATTTTATGCAATTTTAGAATGATGATGGAGAGGAAGACTTGAGATTGCACAATGAGATCACCGAAATGGAAAGAAAAATAGAGATACAAAAGAAGTGTCTGCAAGAAAAGGAAGAACATATCCAGAGTTTAAAAAATCAACAATTGTCCCAACCTTGTACAGTATGTATATTTAAACATTCTGTTACGTTCTGCTGCTGAAAAATTGTTTCTATAATTTTGATTACTGGAATTATAGTAATAGTTGTTCAATCATTATCCTCCACATTTACATATTTGGTTTTTAGTCTGGGAAATTTAATTATAATCATGCAGGTTATCTGGTGATTCTATGATTTTAATTTTCAAAATAAATAAGAACTAAAAGTTCAGATTTTCACGAAATTATATATTATAACATGACAATTGTTTCGACAACACCGTGTCTTTATCAAATGTAATATTTACAAACTACCTGCTACTATATATACCGAAAAATGACCATAAAACCTTAATTAATGTTGTTGCGAGAATTTAAGTTCAATAAAGGAGAGGTATTTAAATCTAATTGATCGTTAAGCAATACATTTGAATGTCTCATTTTGTTAAACTCCATGCCTTCCAATAAATTTAATTTTCTTCTTAATACGCCACTCTCAACAGAAAATTACAACAAAGAACTTAATATCATTAAAGAAATTGCACTGAACAACGGCTACAATCCGTCCATTATAGATAAAATTATAAATAGAAAACAAATACAGACAACAGTAAACTCTATTTATCCGAAACCAAATACAGAACACGAACAATTTAAAACAATTACATACATAGGAGAACCTAGTGAAAAAGTTTCAAAACATTTGTCAAAATGTGGTTTAAAAATAGCTTTCAGAACTAACAACACAATAGGAAAAATATTTAAAAAACAATAAATCGAAATGTCCAAAATCCCAAAAATCAGGTGTCTACAGGTTGAAATGTTGATCTTGTCCTAAAATTTATATTGGACAAACCGGTAGATCCTTCAAGAAACGCACCAACGAACACAAAAGAGCGTTTAAAAACAATAGTCTAGATTCTAATTATGCAACACACTTAAACACAGAAAAACACACTTTTGACGACAATTTTGATGTATTACACACAGCCACAAAAAGTAGAAAATTAAATTTATTGGAAGCCATGGAGATTAACAAAATGAGACATTCAAATGTATTGCTTAACGATCAATTAGATTTAAATACCTCTCCTTTATTGAACTTAAATTCTCGCAACAACATTAATTAAGGTTTTATGGTCATTTTTCGGTATATATAGTAGCAGGTAGTTTGTAAATATTACATTTGATAAAGACACGGTGTTGTCGAAACAATTGTCATGTCATAATATATAATTTCGTGAAAATCTGAACTTTTAGTTCTTATTTATTTTGTTAAATGGATTTTCAAGTAAAAGCCACCTCAGTTCAATGTTCGATTTTAATTTTCATTATTACATTGATCATATTACTCTAATTCACTTCTTGAAACCCAAGTGGTTTCAAAACTGATAAGAGAAAAATCAGTAGTCTGAAACATATATGGTTCTATATTGTATTTTTTACTTGTTTCATTATTTTAGTTATTCTTTTTTATTTCCGAAGTTAAAGGGAAATTCTTTACTAAATATTTCTAATTTCAATTTTTTAAATGTATTTTATTATTATTTCGTTGGGAATGAAATTCCGTAGCTATTTGCTGGCAAGTTAGTAATTAAACAAGTTAATTTATTAAACCCCAAGTTTCTTAATTGATGAAATGAAATTTGGTTTTCCGACGAGGTGCATTTAGAATAATTTTCTGTCCAGTCTTTAGAGCAGCGACGTAAAATAGCTGATTTATTATGCATTTTAAAATTAATACGTAATGACATTGATTCTTCTTAATTGCTTACTCAAACTAATTTTATATTAAAAATGGTCTCGACTACAGTGGTGCCGATATTTTATGCTATAGTACTTGTACACAGAAATTAAAAGCCATAAATTTTCTTTTAAATTAATGTATCTATTTTAGTATATAGTGGTGTTTAATGTTTAATGCATTTTCTTCCGTGCGACTTGTTAATGTGTATGTCACTCTGTAACTGGAGTTACCTGCTGAGTGGTGTATCCTTTATTTAAATTTATTTTTATGGTGTCAAAGTTAAGATTTTTTTGGTGTACCTTATATTTTTTCGTAGATTCAAGAAAAAAAAGAACTTTTAAGGGAAATAGAAGACAAGAAAAGATACATTGCTCGATTAAAGGAAACAACTTTAGAATATCAGAAGATGAGAGACGACTTGGATCGCGAGATAAGAGAATTAGTTCTGTCGGTAAGTATGGGTGTTAGCAATATATTGCCGATTCCGTAACTTGGCCTCATTTCTTAATCGGTGGTACCGATAATCCAAGCCGAGTTGATAAAATATATTAAAAAAAACAAAACAGGGGAAAACAAAAATGTATATAAATAATAATAAATAAAACTGCCTTTATTTTAAGCTCTGTTAACTGTGAGCTGTTAACTTAATCGAATATGTAACAAGGCAATGCAAACTTAATTTAATATATCAATTTTACAAAGATATGAATCAATCAATCAAAAAGGAAAACAATAAAAAAACAATATTAAACAAGGAGAACTGATGAATAATCTAGGTAGTTTCCTGTAAGAGATATATTTTTTTAAATAAAATTAAAAGCGCAACGAGAGGAGACATTCTGTGATTGGCTAATCTGAGGATATCTATCAAGTCTTCTAATAGATGTATGCGAGAAGCAGCTTTTAGTCCATGGTCTTCGTAATTTCATATGACAATTGAAGCGGGTTCCACGGAAATGAATGCAATTTCTACAAGTCAGTTTTTTTCAATAAATATGAGGGGCATCCAGTTTTGAGTAGTTTGTTAAGAAATCAATCGGATACAGGAATTCTGTACTTTTTATAATTTATATTATATAATTATTAAATAATATTATATATTATCGATGTTGCGGAGATTAATATAAGCGTTTTGGAGGTTTTTGGAAACCTGTGTGCGAAATCTAATTTGATTATCCAAGATGATGAAGTTTTTACATTCGCTTTCGTTTTTACAGCTGGAATTTTAACCCTATTTATAAAGTAATCCAAGTTTTGGGCGACAGACTTGTTAGGATTCAATTTCAAGCCATGATCATTTGAGTATTTAAAGACCGATTCCAAGCATTTATTTAGTCTCCTTGCCGCTTCCAGTTCATTAGATCGGGAAAAAGAAATATGTATAATAAAACTAATAATATGCGTGCCATCAGCATACCTGTGACCATTGAACTCATCAAAGAAACGCGACATATCTGCTGTGTAAATAATAAAAAAATAATGAGCCTTGTCAAGCCGATGTCAACTTCTAAGACTTTCAATCTAATGTAGTCAATCGCTACTAGCTGATATCTGTGATCTAGATAATTACGAATCAATTGAGTCGTCTTAATTTACACCTGTAGTATTTTAACTTGGCACAGAGCATGATTGTGGGTTCAAAGCTTTACTATAATCTAACAAGATCAAAGCCCTTTATCTGGTGCTGAGAGAATATCATCCAAAACTTTGAGCAAAACCGTGAAATAATCGCAGATCTGCCTATAAATTAATTTTTCAAATACTTTAGAAAGCACTGGCAACAGACTAAATATTTATATAATTTTTATAATGTTGCTTTGTTGTTGTTTAATATATTCAAAACAAGGCGAAAACAAGTTTGAAAAAAAAAAGCATTATCTAAGCTTATATGAAATATCCACTTTCCATTAGCCACCTGTAATTTGTAATAATCAGCGAACATATGTTTCCCGTATCCAGTATGGCATCATTACCAAATGGGTATAACTCCCAATTTGTGCATCAAAATCGACGCAAAACGTTTGTTTTTTAAAACTTATAGGTTTAATTTCAATGAAAAATGTAAATAAAGTTGAAATTATTACGAAATATTTGATATAAACACTTTTATAAAGAAAACCATTTAGTTTCACTTTTCTAAAACTGTAGGATCCCAAATATCGGGTAGGAAATGATAGTTACATATTATCTAAGTCCGAAAAACGTTCAAGAAACAGCTGTAAAACTTTGAGGAATTCAACAAAATCCCATTGAATAAATTGGAATATTCAGTTGGAGGAGGCACTTAGGTATCGGCTGGCTCAGTGTGCCTTCTAAATGTCAGTTTATTCCTTCGTTGCAAGTCTCGTTAAGTTGCGCTTGATACGTCTCTCAAATACGGGTGGAGAATCTGTTTAAGAATATGTAAAAAATTTAAAAACTGTATGAAATTATTTCGGATTTTTTTGTAATTGAAATAAAATAAAGCTGACCAAAGTTTATCCTTGTGATTATTTATAAACTTGCTAAATTTAATGTATCTTTTTGTTGTAGATTGAGAAAAACGTGGATGGGTGGAATATAGCGATCGTAAAAACCTTTCTGCCCGAATTTGAAAAATTACAGCTGCCATCGAAGGGATTCCACTCGCCCGCGTTCTTAGAGGTACGCATGCGCAGTCAGATTTTATTAAGTCCCTCCGTCGTTTAGATGTCGGAGGATTTATCGAAAAATCATAGTTTTGAACTCCTTAAGTAGATGCATAAAGAGAGTTCCACAATATATACCTCAAAATACAATCGCCCCCCCTCCGAAGTAGGGCCCCGATGCTTGTAGCGAATTGGGGCCCCATGTCAGACGTTCAGAACATAATCTCAAAAAACCATGATTACTCACCTTTGTGTTTTTCAACCGAAGATCGAACCGGGGCCGACTTGTAAGGCGAGCTAACGAATATATTAAATCAAATAGGTAACGACGCGTTAGATATGAAGAATAATGACGCCGCGCTGGTGCCCCGGCGCTTCGCACCACGATCGGTGCTTGTAACGTGTACCCCGGAGGACCCCTATAGGATGTGCTTCGGCCGCTTACGGGGACCCGCAGTGCTTATAGAGGGTGTTGTACCCCCGCGGGGCCCATAGGCGGTTGACCCGTAACCTTACTCTGCGCTGTCCTCCGGAGTGCTTATCGCCCCCCAGCCTTGCTTGTAAAACTGATAAGCGGCGCGAACTGTATCCGGTAAACTGATAAGAGGCGAGCACTGCATCCGTTCAGATAATCGTGTTTTCCGGAAATCATAATTATAGAACTGATTAGTCGACGTCCTGTAACAAGCCGCAATTACACCCACAAAGTACGCTATAAAAGCGTGAAATTAGTCCGTTTTTGTCGTTAATCAGTGCATGACGCAGCTGTTGACGTTGTCGTTCGTGTCAGTAAAGTCCGGTTGCGCTGTTAACATAGTCTTTGGTCAGTTGTGTTTGCGTTTGTGTCCAGTCGAGCTGTTGGTCACTCTCCTCGTGGAAAGTATTATAAAAGGATCCGCGGTCGTCCCGAAAATGTAAGTACTTTTTTTTAAATCGATTAATGATGTTGATTGTGTAAATGTCAAAAATATCCGCTATTCGTTATAGATTTGCATTGCAGCAGCCGGTGCCAGTAAGACGATCGTAAAGCTGGACCAACTTCAAGTGGACCGCCCCTATAATATCGTGGTATTAGAACTGGACGACTGCATAGTTTTCCTGCTTGGTCGAGTCATCGAGACATTCCGGCCCAATATTCAAAGCTTCAAGCCCCAGGCTTACAGCATAATTTACAAAACCCTTAAAGAGGTTGGCCGTTTTCCGCTGCGAGACTTTGAAATTATTCAAAATTAAAAGGGCTAAGTCTTATTTACATTATATTATAGACCACAATGAGTAAAGTGATTCGAGCTCAGAATTTAATCCTGGCATTTTGAAAAGTTACCGACTTAGGTACGAATTTTGACGAATGGTTCGTTGATAAGAACGCGATTCGGGTTTCACATTAAATCAATATGAACACACTTAAACTCGGTGACGGCTCATCTTACATTAAATTGCCTCCAGAGATTGCCAAAAAAAAAGCCTATATTAATATCGAAAATAGGGATGTTGACCAGTTTTTATTGGTCAGTGGTCAATGCTCTTAACAACGTCATATCCTTATTATAGGAGCGTTTTAAAAATGGGCAATTGTGAAACACCAATGGAATTGAACCAAATTCAAATCTTTGAAAAAGCCAACCATATTTCTATAAATGTGTACGCTTTAGAGTTAATTGGAAACGATAAAAAAAGTTTTTATTCGGTGCTGTCAGCTCGTTTAACTAAGGAAAAATGTGAACAGCACGTTAACTTACTATTAATTTAAAATAAATATTATCCGAAAGTCAGTGATTTTGATCTCGAACCGGAGGTCAGTATGGAGAAATAAAGTACCATTATTGTTATATTAAAAATTTATGTCGATTAGTATCGTTGCAGCGTAGTAATCATAACGGCAAAAAATATTTGAAATAGGTGTTTGAATTATTTCAGTAGAGAAACCCTTTTAAAGAATCATGATACGTTGTGTTCCGATTTGAACAATTACAAAGTGTCTTTTCCCAAATATGAACATGTGGAATTTCGAAACTATATGTAGATGCATGTATGTAAATTTAATAATTTCAGATAAAACGCGAAAATATCAAAAGCACAAGGCATACAGTGCCGCAAATTATTTTAAATGTTATTATAACGACTCCTTTTGCTTTTTGAAAACTTACCGCGGCCTGTATTGCATGGATTGGTTCCTTCAGGAAATATCTCAGTTATCGAAATTTATCCATTCAAAATTTATAGATATCGTTCCGATAGAAGAACAAATTAGTTTGGGCCAAGCTTAGACGCACTGTCATATTTGCGAAAAACTTTTTTAATGACTTATTGGTTTTAATATGCTCCTTAGCTCGGATTTGAATTCAGCACTCAACTCCCGACGGATCCCGGGTTCGTTACTCGGTAGCGAAAAAAAAATTGACTCATCAATATCAGCGCACGAGAGACGTCATTATTATTCATATCTAACCGTCGTTACTTATTTCATTTAATATCCTCGTTGGCTCGCCGTTCAAATCGACGCTCAACAACGGACGGGTCCCGGGTTCGATCCTCGGTTAGAAAAAAAAGGTGAGTCACCACGAATTTTTGAGGTTATGTTCTGAACGTCTGTCATGGGGCCCTGCTCCGGGAGTGGATCACCCCCTACAAGCGTCGGGACCTCACTTCGGGGGCGGCGCACCACCTAGAAGGATAGGGACCCACTTCGTGGGCAAATCACACCCTAGAAGCATCGGGGCGCCACTTCGGGGGCGGACCACGCCCTGGAAGGATCGGGGCCCGTGCGGGCAGCGATTGTATTTTGAAGTTTTGTGTTGTGGAACTCTCTTTATGCATCTACTTCCTTATTCGGTAATATTTATTTTGAAGTTTTGTGTTGTGGAACTCTCTTTATGCATCTACTTCCTTATTCGGTAATATGAATTCATCGGGCATACGCAAAGCGTTAACACACTGTCGTGACTCAGTTGGAGCGTTTTGGTAGACATTTGCAACACTGATATTTGATAATAGTCGACACACGGTCACTAAAATTAGATACAGAATTGTTAAAACATTCACGCATTCCAAAAGAACAGGCACTCTTTACTTCTAGACACACTTGAGCTTTATTAAAGATATTCTCATCTCCCATTGCGTAGAAGCATCGCAATAGAAAAGATAGAGTTACGACACTGAAAAAAAATCTATAATTTAAAAACTCTTGTAAACTGTAAAAATAGTTTTCTACTAACATTATTCTGGTTTGTTCTGATACCTCCTTAGCCTACAATATTTAACAATATAACGCGTGGGTTATTAATACGTGCATCCCTGCAATCATCCCTGAAACCCAAACCAGCAAGAATTCTCACGGCCCACTCCAAGCTATGATGCAACAGTCTGCTACCTCACAGCTACCAAGCCATTCTTAATATGTTTATGTCATTTTAATTAGGATGAACGTACACATCCGAAAATCTCAGTCAGTATTTTCTGGGACACTGAGGTTCCTTAAAGAGGAACAAGTCTTTCCTATTAAGAAACATCGCATCTAATCGTACAACCGAACGTTGAGTGTTGTGTCGCTAAAGAATGTATTTTCCCACATTTTGATTGAAATGTCGATCGTTTACGTATATTAAAAATAGAAGTGGTCCTAGAACCCCGGTGGGACACCCCTATCGACGACTCTCTCTTCCGAGGCCGCTCTATCCACCGTCACAGCCGGGCGATACTTCTCGGGATATGACTTAAGAATTTGAGTGCTATAAGCAGTGAAGTTCTAAAAAGTAAGTTTCTCGAATAGATCTTGGAAAACAATTCAAGACCTTCAAAGAATCCCTTATATCAGTTAGTAGACCCAGGATGGCATGGGCTTTATCAAATGACTCTCAAAACTCAAACTGGCTGTCTGAGAAATTTTTGGGAAAATACGGAAAAAGGTAGCGGGGAATTTTGATGTTTTTTCAGGACTGTTGGCCATGTCACAATGATAGTACAAGTGGTATAGTACTTTGCTGTGCTCACGCCAAAACAAATTCGTGACTAAAGTAGCGTTTACCAAATCAGCAAAATTTTGCGCAATTACATATGTGCCCGAAGAAGGGACAATAGTTTTATTATTTTACGCAGCATTGTGATAGACACATAACATTATTTTTACACAAGAATTAATAGTCGTTACAAAAGTTAAAAAAAAATTGTATTCATTATTTCAGTTACTTAATTATATAATATTAAACCTATCAATTTTTTTAGCAACTATCTAAAATTACCACTGATATTTATATTTATATCAAAGATTTAGAAAAAAATAAAAATTGGCCAGCCAGTCTTCATGAAGCAGTGGCGAAAACAGTGGGAATTTGTTTAGGGACTGTCCAGGAAACTATCTATAAAAAAAATCAGCGTACTAAAAATGCTACAAAATATAAACGAAAAAAATTGTTTTAATGGGATAGACAAACAATAACAATAATAATGATTACATTGCACAGAATATTGCGAGTATTTAATACACGAATTTATTATATGACACAAATACCTTAACAAGTATGAACAGCACATCAATTCATTCTGATTCTCAATGACAGTTCATAAAAGCCGATCGCGTTCATCTTTATCCCTAACAAATATCCGCCAATCTCTACCTTATCAAAATCCTTAAAAGACAGAGAGCTGCTGTTGAATTGCAGACTATAAAGGGAGGAACAAAAGTAATCATTAGTTTTATCAGCATCTTTCAAAGATGTCAAACCATTTTGAACATGCTCGGATTCAAGACCATCAGCTATATTTTTTTGTAAGAAGTATAGTAGTAGTATATATAGTATAGTAATTCTAATGCATTAAATTGGCAGTGATATGGCGGCAGTCGTAGAATCTCATATATTTTTGTTTTTTAAATGCATTTTGCCACGGACAGGAGTTCCTATTTCAGCATATTCCGAAATATTATTTTTCTACCAAGAGAGTGTAGGTTGTTTATTTTAAATTCTTGAATGATACGGCTGCGTTTTCTGAACAATTAATTACACAGCATCCAAATTTGGTGTCAGTTCTTCTTTTAGCCATTTTTCAAACATTTCACAGTTCATATTATCATGATAGTTAAAACTTGCACCTGGAATAAGTCCTGTTCAATAACCAGTATGCAAAATAGTGAATATTTCGATAAACATTGAACACGCTAACTCAGTGTCGGCTGCCACAAAAAAATCTTCGGTTAGTCATTTTGTAGGCTGTGGAACTTCGCTGACATTTTGCTAAACATGGTGCTGGCTTTTTCAGGGCGCTCTCTGAAACTGATTTGATTTGAGTGGTAGGGGGGATTGCTTCACGGATCACCGAATCCCAAATGGAAGAGTTTATATTATTGGGGTGTTTGATTAATTCGATGGATTCACGAATTTTTCTTGGAAGAATGAATGAATGGCTAGATGCAAGTATTTTGTTCTGGTGTGCTATTTCCTGACGATTTTCAAAAACCGCTGATGTAGTTATTTGTCCAAGTTTGACTGATCTCTGATGTTCTTTTAGTCTCGGTGATATTTTCCGACCTGTTTCCCCGATGTAATTTTTGCCACAGTTGGACGGTATGCTGTACCTGCTCTCTCGAAATGAATTTTATCTTTTACCGATCGTGGATGTTACGAGATTTCAGGACAAGTAGAGAATCTAGTTTTGATTTAAACATATAGGTCAGAATTGTTAAATACGATTCAACTTCGTAAAATTGTTTTTTAAATATATTATTAACGTTGTAAATTATTCTGTATGCCTCGAAAATATATACCAAAGAGTGAGTCAAAGCCCAGCTGGCAGGCAAAGACTTGTACTTCACTCAATAGAATAACAAAAATGATCCAAACAAAACACAATATACTGAGTTATCGTATTTTTCATACTGACGAAACCGCCCTTAGTACAGTTGAACAAAAATTACAAGATTCTGGCTCCAATGGGTTTAAAACAAATAGCGAAAGCGTCAAGCGCTCAACGCAGTATGACAACGACAATAGTTTGTATAGTTTGTGCTGTCAGCGCTAGTGATATATATGTACCTCCCATGTTTATCTTCAAATGAAAGAGAATGAACGAACTCTTACTTAAAGTAGTGTTACTTAGTGTAGTAGCGGAATGATTACCACGGTTCCTGATTCTGGTTGGATAAACAAGTCCATCTTTCTAGACTACTCATTTCTTTTGTGAAACCTATTCAGAAACAGTCAGTTTTATTAGTCTCGAAAGTCATATCCTTGCGACCCCACAAAATGTAACCACAATTTTTAGTTCATTGAAAGTGGCATACAGTAATGAGTGAGTGAGTGAGCTCTTCGTGGCTATCAATTTGGGTAAACGCATAAACCAATACGAGGTAATAGAACTTTTCACAGAGGCGTAGAACAACATTGCTAAAATGAGTAAGACTGTCAGTGGATTTAGAGCCGGTGGAATTTGTCCCACTGATTTTAACAAATTTAAATATGGCTTTGAAAACACGATATTTGATATAATTAATCGTTAATGAGCTATCCTGGGTTCGTAGCAAAATAGTTTAATGTGAACTAGCTTATAAAGTAAAATCAAAAAATATCCTCCATCGACTTTCGACACCTCTTCGTCAAAATTGTTTTTTATCGACGCACTCGTCATTCGTGAGTTCACATTTGATCATTCCTACATTAGTCAGGATTATTCAAGTGAACAAAGTTTGAATAAGTCCTTTAACACCATTAATGACGAAATAATCTATGTACCTGTCATTCCTAAAGCAGGACCAGTGTGAAACGATAGTTAAGAATAAAGTGGTCAGAAATTTGAAGAAGGCTCTACACGGAAATGAAAATGAATGTTTCATTGTATAATGTGTAGTGATTTATGCCGGACAAATAAATTCTAGTTTATTACAAAGATTCAACACAGTGTCGTTTCTAATTGCCTCATAGGGTTCCTAATTCACCCACTGGAAGATCTCAATTATCCCATAGGACATGGGTAAAAAGGAAAGGCAATATTTTATTTTAGGTTGAAATTTCTAATAAAACATAGATTTTTTAGGTTTTTTAGTGACTAGAAGTTAGACCGATAAACAAAGTCTATGTAGCTATAAAAAAAATCATTCTTTCGGGGACTTCTTGTATTATTTGTGATGGATGGAAGTTAAGTGTTCCTAATTCCCCCATTTTCCCAAACTTATAAAAACCGTAGTCATTACCCACACTAAACAATGCAAAACCGTTTTCAAAAGCAACACTTCTAAAATCACAAAACTACTAAATTCTTCATCCAAATTCGTCAAAAATCCCCCCGTTAAATTTTTATACTTTTTCCGTTGTTTGGTACTTATTGCGTATAATTCGTGCAGGAAGTGGAGCGCATTAAGAATGAAAAACTGATATTAGAGAGCAAGTTTCGAAAGGAGTACGAAGATCTAGAAGTCGAAAATGCAAAATTGAAGGAACAAGAAGAACTCTTAAAAGTCGGAACCGATTTCAAAAAGTTGGACGACTGCGTGGAAACAGCAAAGCTTCACAACGATAGACTTAAATTGGAAATAAAAGAGGTAAGTACATACAGGACGTTATTGAAAAATTTTGTGTAAAGGCGGCTAATAATGGGGCATATTCGCATTCTTGAATTTTAAATTCCGTTTTTTAGGAAATAATCCTATATTGCAGATAGCTAAAACCGGAGACCGCTGTAAAGTTGGAACAAATTCGACCTTTTTTCGTTAAATGGTTTTTAAGGGAACGCGGTGGGAGTTCTTTGAACATTTTCGGAAGTAAATGTCAATAATTTCAGAATGGCTGAACAGATTTTGTCAAACTTGGGGTTGTTTAAAACAGATCTTTTTAGGCTGTGAGCAGATTGATTTAGATTGTATCACTATAAATAAAATTGATTTTCTTAAAAAAATTTAATGCAACGATATCCGTTTTATTGCAACAAATGTTAGCCAAATAAGTGTCGCTAGTGAAAACCGCCTTTTGATAACCTTTTCCTAATCTTATTGTTTTTTTTTGCCGAATGCTTATTTATTTCAAATTTTTAGTTCATACAGGGTGACCCAGGAATTTACATATCTGAAAAAAATTTGACATTTGACATTTGATATATTTTTGTTTTCGTCGAAATAATAATTTTATTTGGAATTTCGGAAAAACATAAAAAAAGATAAATGTTTCAATTGGCGCCCGAGACCCAATTTGCTCGAACATGTTGCATAGGGAACTTGAAAATTTTGAAAAATATTGCTCATAAAAATAAGTTATTTAAAGAACCACAGTTCACAAAAAAAACATTTCGTAGTTCTATGTAACAAATATAAGCAATTAAAAATTGTCAAATTGAAATTCTGTTTGAAACGCGCGGTCATTGGCTCGCTCGTAAGACTGCGCTAGCTGGAGGGTAGCATAGAAAAGCAATTAGAGAACGACAACGTGTGGTTTTTATTTTAATTTTTGTCTTGATCCTGTCGCTTGCTTTTGGTATCTTGTGTTTAGTATAAAAAAAAATCTTATAATTTACGTTTGGATATGGATATGTTTATGGTCACATCTTACATGCAAAACACCGAAATGTTTTCTTTTGATAGAACAAAAAGGATTTTTTTAAATTAGTAGAATCCTAAATACTGATTTTATAGTATTTTGGCATCGATAATTTAAACTTTTATATGGATCAGGAAGCCATTGCTATGGAGACTGCAATATAATGGATGCAAGTTCGAAGAGTTAATTACGTTTGCACGGTTAATGCTAAACTGACACCTTAACATAATGTTAAGAAAAAACGTCGGCTTTTATTTTCTGATAGACGAATAAAAAGTTTATCAGGCGTTTTACGGGTTGTACTCAAACACGATGGCACGATTTGTAATGTTATTTTTGTGTTGCTTCCATTATTATCATGTAAAACACACTAAGCGCAAATACAAACTGGCGTAGATCAAATTCAAGCACGCACACCTTTACACGAATCAAAAATAAACGTAAGTAATATAATTCTCCCCTTATAACCTGCGAATAACACGTATTGATTGACAAGCAGCGGTATGATGTCACGATCACTCTAGAATTATTTATTGCAACTGAAATATGGAGATTTGAGTTTTGATATGTGCTATGCATTATTTCTATACATAAACAAATATATTAAAGAAATAAAAAAATGTTCCTGATTAAACTAATGTTATAGGCATTTCAATCAGTCAGACATATTCCTTCCCCTGCGACTCTACCCGATGACCCACAATTAGAAAAAAAGGAATACAAAATTTGACAAGGATTACAGTGGTCGTATGATTCTTAAATCAATAAATTAAGTAGATGGTGGTAGCAAGATAGGCATTTTAGGACAAATGTTTTGAGCAATTTTTTTGAAATATTTTGGTGCGACCCTGAGATTCGCGCGTTAAATTATATGAGTCATTTCAATGACAATCTGCAAAGTATTTTCTAATTCTAACATTTGTACTTTTGGTTGTAATGTACGTTTTCAGGCTCAAGATCGCCTTTTGGCAGAAAAGAACGAGATGGAAAATTTTGCGGTTCACATGCAGCAGACCTTGGGTGTCGAAATTTCGGAACAAGAAACAAAACTGAAAGATGCCCGGTTGAAGTACGAATTTATTATTAGTTTAAACAATTTAATCAATTATTTTTTAAAGGTTACGGGAGGTAGAAAAGCGTTTTGAAGAAATTGGCCAAGCCGGCATCGAGTGTATTACCACCTGTTATAGAGAAGGTGTCCAAATTTACCGTCAGATTGATGTAAGTTTAGATTAAATCAGCGCTTTTGGCTATTTCACAAACGTGTAGGCTCGTTATTCCTGTCTGACGTAGCTGTAGTGTACACAGTATTATACGATTTGCAATAAAATGGTGATCTTTAAACCAACCAAAAGACGTTCGAATAATGAGATACTATCTGTGGGTGAAAAAGTTATTATTAAGCGTAAACGATTTTCCTAATTTGACCCTACAAGAAACTGTCGAGCGATATTACTGAATGACCGCAGTTATAAAAAAGTCCACACGGTTTTTAAATTGATGCGGGAGACGAAAAGTCAAGACACCAAAATTTGAAGAAAAATTTGCTCTGTTTATTTTAAAGAAGAAATACTGACTGAAGGACAATTTATCCTGTTGGTAATTAGGAAATTAGCGATTACCACTAAAATACGAATGTTTGTATATAGTACCTCCTAAATTACCATAAATCATGTCTGCGCGTCGGCCCATTAATTATAACGTATAGTATGATTGTTCATAATTCGATATATTTTTTGTATAATCTTTAATAAAAGATATCTACAAGATGGTTAATTTGATTCTCTTAAAATAAAATTCCTTCCATTTTACGAGTATTCGTTGGGTCATTTTGCATAACTAATGATATTTTATTACTTTTTAAAATAGATTTTAGTATTCGTTAAAGGTGTTTGGTTTTTAGGATATGGCTAACATGTGTCTGGTCCAAGAGCAAAGTAAATTAGTCGAGGAGAGAAACAAAATGGTACAACTGTTTGATAATTTGTGCTGTCTTTATAAGACAATCAGAAACGTGATTAGTGAAGTGGAAACCGCTCCGAGACCTCAGTAACAAATACTATACGTACATTCTAGTTTTAGCCAGATTTTTCAATAATTGTTAGTATTATATTATTAATATAGTATTATAGTCCAGGAAAAAACGCGGAAAAAACGGAAATTATTTTCTAGTTTCTGAAATGAGCAGCAGGGGGTGTAATTACTATCTTGATTTTTAAAACCCGGTTTACACAAAAAAGTGATTTTTTATTTCCATTTGACATCCTAGATAGTAAATTAGCGTTGTGAAAATATTCCCAAAATTCCACTTTTTTTAGTTCCTTTATTTTCGATATTTTAGGTAGGGAGAAAGATATCGAGATGCAGTTTTTTACTGGGTGCTCTGTTCTTATTGGACTATCGGATTACGTAAAAAAGTCACATCTTTGCATTTTTTATTATTTTTTTTATTACTATATCCGAAAACGCCACCCGTTTATCAAATTCAAATTTATTAAAATGCGTGAAGCTTTTTTAGAGTGGGATGATATTTATTTTCGTAAATGTTCGATCATCCCCACCACTTTCAACTGTACAAACCGGGTTTTAAAAATCCAGATAGCAATTACGCCTCCTGGTGGCCATTATACAAACTCGAAATTAAGTTTACAGCATTTTCTCTGATTTATTCACTACATTTCTTTTTAAAATTTCCAGGAGCGTCCGTTTTCCTAAAACGTTTTTCTAGTTTGTATGTTTTTCTATTTAATGGAAGTTTAATACCTTTACGAAAATAAATAAAATGTACTTTTCTACCCGCGTCTGTAAAATTCATAATTTCGCACCAATTTAGCATGTGGGAAGGGTCACTTTACCGCGTCAGTTTCGTTTCCCACGGATCCGAGTCAAATCATACATTTCCGGAATTTTACGGGTTTGGAAGCAATCGGATGTTTTCGGAGATATTTCCCGCGCCTTGAATTTTGGCGTTTGTCAATTTTGACGCTCATGTCAGTGAATGTATTTGCATTGTTTGGCGAAAATGTACCCAAAAACTAACGGTCGTAAAAAAAGTATAGTCTGCAAACGTTTTTAAGTCACTCGTTTATTAAACACTCGTGAGTCAAATGCCGTTTACCGCACTTGTTGCAGAATATACTATAACGTTTGTCAAATCTGTCTTATCAGTGAATGTATTCGTGTTGTTTTTGCGAAATTGTACCCAAAAATCAACGGTCGTAGAAACAGTATAGTATGCAACGCGTTTGGTAAACTTTTTAGTCACTCGTATATTAAACACTCACTCCGCTGGTGCCGAATAAACTATTTTAATAATCACATAACATAACCGAAACTTCGCCGATGTGTTGTAGGAAAACTATAACGAACAAAAATGTGAAAACTTGCTATTATTCTAGTCGTCTTCATTGAGACTCATCAGCGGTGTGCAGTCATTCATTTGCATTATAATGAAGTAGAAAGACAACAACCGACTTTTTTGTTTTTTCGCTTTATTTTTTTTGAATTGGAAAAAATATAGCGTTGAATAAGTATGCAAGTATAAGTATTCTACGTTCATTATTTCTTGTTTCAGTTTACATAATAATTTGGTTATAGACCGGGTTAAAATTCATTTCCAGAATCTGGAATTACATCATAATAGCTGTATATATCATCCCTATGCCATTTGATCCATTCGAGCCGAGGAACATGGGATCGAAACTTTGAGGCATCTTCCATTCCTTGATTATTGACATATTAAATAAAAACTTACATAGAAGTAAGAATAGTTTGAAATGGTAATAAATATTTTTTAAAAATTTACTGTTTACAATGCAACATCATTTTTATAAATTTCAGTCATTTTTCCAAAAGTCGGATGAACTATGGTGTTTTATTTTTAGCTCTTAATCATTATCTGGTCCGTAGTTTAATACCGATTGTGCATGCAATAGAAGGCTCTTAAACATCAACAAAACTTCAAGTTTTAACGAGCCATGTCAAGAGATTGAAGAGAAGAACCGTCATAGTAAATGGCTTGCTAAATTATTTGAAGAGGAAATTGAATACATCTGAGTCATTAGAAGAGATCTTCAAGTTAAATTTAAGGAATTTACTTAAACTTGCACTTGTCAAATACATAGTGATTAGAAGTTTGATTAGTTTTTAGTTAGTTAGTTCGTACTCCCCAAATAATTACTAGAAAACCGAAATAAGCGTTTACTTCGTTCTAAAAAATCAATGCACTTTTCGCGACAGTCTTAACAACTCGCTTTGCAGGTATTACGCCGCAAATTAAAATTAAAATAAGAGATTAAAATTAAATTTTAGGAAATCCTACAACAGTTATAAACATAATTTTTTTAAACTAAAACTATTGTTAACAGACCAAGGTTTTTTTTTGCCTTGTTGCTTTCGAAAATCGATGGAATCGAATTTTTCGAATGTATCTGCGCTCGTATAAAAATTCATCACCGTAGAACAAAAAAAAATTTTTTTGTCTGTCCGTTCTCCGTTCTCGTCTTGGTTTTTCCTCAATAACTTTCGAACCGTTGGAGCTACAAAATTGAAATTTGCCTCCTTTTTAACCCTCCATGAGGCACATAAGCATATAAGAAATGGCCCTCATCTGACGTCGGTATCCATCTTTTTTTCGCGCTTTGCGACTGTTATTTGGACATTGCTACGAAACACGATAAGTGTCCGAAATTTGAAGCAATCGACTTCATATTTGGCACATATATGCAGCCTTGCCTCATGACGGAACCTATTGAAAATGCAATGGGGGGTCGGGAAGTATTTAAAAAAAATTAAAAATCGCGTGTGCAAGGGGTCTACAAAAAAAAGACCATTTTTCAAAAACGGTTTACAAGACCGAAAAAATTCTTGAACCGGAAGACGCAGAGGAAACGACTCTATAAACTTTTATTCTTGACAATTTTTCAAAAATATACAATTAAAAAAAAACTGAAAAATGGGTCCCCATATTATTGAAAATTGGCAATAATTTCAAATCTGTGTTTTAGATGTCAGTTTCTTTTACATGACGATATAGCCCATATAGGCAGCTTAAACCTTTGCATTTACGGTTTTTATGTATTGTACAGGGTGTTCGCGATATTCCGCGCAATATGAAAAAACAGAAGTACTCCAAATTTGCAGCTACCGACTTCAGACTTGGAAGAGAAGTAGAAGTCTGGACCCGCATTTAGACTCTTTAAATTAGGAGCATTAAAATAACGCCAAATATTTTTTTCAATTTTTTATTTATTTTTTTGGCATCCATAAAAACATCTTTTCTTCCAAAGCAATTCATCCGATCGGAAAAATTTTACATCTGTATTACGTGGGAGACCCGGCGCTATAACTTTTGTTTCACGCATTTTTTCGATTATATACAAGGGTTTTAGTTATTGACAAAAATCTAAAAGACCCTGAAAATTGTTCTTTTAGGGAGTAAATTATTAATCGTAAATCAAAATAAGTACAAACAATAGTTAACCCGTTCAAACAGTGTTATAGGCCGTATCAAGCGCTACAATTTTTGTATTTACGGTTTTCGTCTATATACGTTTTTCGAGATATTTGAAAAAATCCAAATGAAAATCACTATTTCTCGCCCTCGATCTGGACGCGATGACGTCATTGACTATTAGCACGTACTGCATGGTTTCAGAAAACAAGTAGTTTTTTGAAAACCATTTGCTCCATTGGAAAAATTCGGATACCAGGAAACTAAGAGGATCCTGAAAATACAGGGTACGTCGTTTGTGGGCAAAAAATTCTAATAGATCCTAGAAATTTCCGCTTTTGTGGGTGAATTATTGGCGATACATGAAAAACTTTTAAAGATGCGATGAACAGTATCGTAAACTGTGTTGAAAGAGAGTTTGAGGTTTCGTCAATAATACAGGGGACGCAAGATATTTGGAAAAATAATTTTAAATTGTAATTACCAGAACAAATCTTAATATTTACCGAAGTCTGCCGTAACTTTGAAGTTCGACTAGATGTGAAGGACATTTTATACAGGGTGCATGCACAATTAAATTACATCGATTTTGTGAAAGTTCCATAGTGGTCCGCAGGAGCACGATAGAAAAACAATGCGCCCCTTTACCACACGAAACCGCGAATTTCTTTCCTTTAATAATAAACAACTGCTTCGCCCTACTTGTTACGAACTTGCCTCGTCCAGTGACGATTTTTCGAAAGCAATCTTGTTGTATATGGCAATAGTATACAGTTTTTGATTGTTGCCAACGAAACTAAAAGCAACAAATTTTAATCAAGCGACAGGTAGAAATCCCATTAAAAAAAATTCTGGCTATGTGGATGTACTTACAAATTTGGATTTGGAAAGTGTTTTCTTTTTATTATCTGCATAAATGGGGCACGGAAAATTTCTGGTTGCTTTCCGTATGATAAAACTTGTCACAAATTGTTTTGTTTCCTAAACATATATGGTTGATAAAAATCAAATTAAAATATAGTGAAACTATGTAATAGACCTAATGGAAAAGCAAAATTTAGACAGTTTGCATGCCGCTTGTAAAATTACAACTAGACATTCCAATGGGTACGTGAAAAAATGAAAGAGAGGTAACTCAAACATTGAGCGAAAGTGTCTGAGGCATTATTATAATAAAATTTATTCATGTAATGTCATCTCGATATCCTCAGTCTAATGGACAAGTTAAAAAACAAATAGATACGGTTAAAAAAATATTTAAAAAATGTATTTATGAAAATCGTGATCCTTACTTCGCATTGCTCTCTAGTTCTAAAGTCAAAACGGGTAAGACCTTTGTCAGATTTCAGAATAAATGATAAAATTTTATTTAAAAACTAGTTTTTTTCATGTTTGGTAAAAGTGTTAAGTAAAGTAGGAGTTCGTTCTTATAAGGTTCAATCTGATGATGGCTCGATAATCGAAATAGAAGATTTTTGAAATTATTTGGAGAACATAGTCAAATAAATAAAACTATGGAACCCTCGTCAGAGAATTTTCTATTTGTAAAGAATGACAATTTTTGTGCGAAAACTATATATATTTGGGTTTCGATATTGACGATAAAGATAAGAACTTTAAAGAAATGGCAAAAACGCTTGAAGTGTCATCTGAAAATGACGTTATAGTGTCAGAATTTCCGCTTGAAAATTCAACCCTTAAAAATTTTAGTAACTCAACTTCTAGTTCTTGTGGCTTGAAATTGTCTGAATCAGTAATTTCTTTATCTTACAATACAGACTCTAATATAATAAATTTAAATATAAATTTGCCTAGCTGTAGCTCTAGTAACTCTAGCTGTACTCGTTTCCAGCAAAATATAGATTTTCAAAACTTTATTTCCAGAGCTGGTAGAACCGGCAAGAAAAACAAAATTTTCGGATTATGTCACGTATTAACTTTGTATAGAAATAACAATTTCGAATGTAAATGGAAAAACGATCAAGTTTTTTTTTGAGAAAATTTTTACATAAATGTAAATTTTACATAAATTGCTCTAAGATTATAAATTGTGTTCCCATCTTATATAAAATGTAAAAAAAAATGGCGAATGTTCATTCTGGGTTTGGAAAGGGAGAGGAGGAAATAAGACAACAAAGACTTATTTTATTTGAATAATTTAATCGACTATATATATATATATATATATATATATATATATATATATATATATATATATATATATATATATATATATATATATATATATATATATATATATATATATATATATTCCCATAACAATAAGTAATGTGACTTAGTAATAAGGGCTGGAAAGAAATTTTAAATTATTAATTTCTTAATGTATTTCACCTAGTAACTCCAAGAACCATTTTTTTGATTAAAGGTGTTCTCTATCAGTTGATGAAATTATTTAATGACTATGCAATAATATTGACGTTTTTTGCCTTAGTTTACCACATCAATTAAACATAAATTTGAAATATTGCAATGGATTGTATGTTTAATTATTACTTTGCTGGAGTGTATATAGTTGACTGCTTATGACAGTTATAGTTCTCAAGATGAAATTATCTTCTAAATGGATGTTAATCTGTTATACAATAAAGATTATTATAATTATATTATTATTATAGAGATGTATTGCATTATGATTTTGGCCCCCCACTTATATTTATAAAGCTAGACATATTGGAATATAGACAGTTGCTATCATACCGTGGTATTACTGATAACCTACCTCTCATAACACCGGTCATATCAACTAAAGTATTAGTATGAAATTTTATTGAAGTAAGTTACATACCAAAACGAATATTTTAAAACAGCTTGAAACTTAAATTTTACTTTCAAGAAAATAAACTGTCAATAATGAGTTGTTTTTACTTTTTCTTTTGATTTTTATGTTTCTTTCCTGCTGACGATTTCTTTAGTTGGTTGATGAAGTATAAAATTGAATCCTTCTTTAAATCCGAATTTGGCACTTTGGTCTTGATATAGTCCAAACTAAATGAAAATATGCCTTAAATTAATAATATTACATCACGGAATTCATTTCTTTCTTACATTTCTGTTTTTTCATGGTCAAATTTTGAAATTCTGGTAGCAAATGGTTTTAGGAAAATTAGAAAATTATACTGTTTGTGATATTCTGCATAAGTAATAGCAAACAGCAGCAATTTAGAAAGAACTTGTTTCGAAGTCATCGGTCCAAAATCTGCAAACCGCATGGAAGTATTCTGTAAAATGAAAGACGAATATTAGTCTTGAATGATTAACACATTTCGATTTTGTTTCAATACTAACAAGTAAATCCTTGGCACTTTGTCGCCTGATATCTACCACTCCATCTTTCTTTAAAATATTTTGGTATATGTCAGATAAAGCAGATACAACAAGCATAGGCAACACATGATCATGGGATGATAATTTGATGTGGTGCATTACCTTTTCGATTAGTTTGCCATATAAATCATAATACTAGAAAAAAAATAGAGGAAATAGACACCTATTGATATCCCGGAACTAGTGGGCTAAAATATAACAATATATTCTACGTCCAAAATTAGCCCTCGCTTTCTATATACAGACATGTCGTGTCGAGAAACAGCAGGACCCATAAATCTAAAGGAATTTTAATTCTGGCATGCTAAATTTGATTTTAAAATTATAAATGTCAAATTTTGGTCAGGGATGTAACTTTTCAGGAGTGCAGGTAACAAAAACTACAATAACTTTAGGGTTGACTTTAGGCTTAAAAATCAGAAAAGTTGTGTTCTGTTAGGAGAAAAAGGTACGGTACATTTAATTGATATCGGCTTCATGAAAAGTTGACAGTTTTCCATCTATGGTTTTTTTTTGTTCACATTATCCCTGAAGTTTTTTTAAATTTGATGTTTTACTAATAGGGAGCGTTTTCGATCAAAAAATTTGCATATTTTCATTTTATAAAACGAGAACCGCTGTATGAAAGACAGTTTTCACAAATACGACAACCACATCGGTACCAACATTCTACATAGGCCTTTTTATTTTGCGAAAAAGATTAAATGCTAATAATTATTTAAATTATCTTAAAAATGATGTGACTGAATTGGTAGAGAATATTCCTATATGTACTTGCTTGGAAACGTTTTTTCAGAATGGTAGAGCACCAGATTTGCACTTTGCAAGCGGGGTGTAAAAAATTCAATGGATTCAAGATAGGTCGCGGTGGCCTGGTAGTAAATTGGTCAGCTCGATCGCCCGATTTAAACTTATTTTCGACCCATAAGTATATTACCAACCTTTCTAAAAATTCTTGAAAAGATCATTGCTACTTCACAAAATGAACACCGTGTTATTAATAATATCATTGCACCACTATTACCCTACCGAAAGTAATATATATTCTCTCAGCTTCTGACCAGAAACTCAATATGATTCTTATACTGCTCGGGCATTTGATACTATAGTTCATTCAATTTTATATTTAAAGCTCAAATACTTGGGGGTTCAGAAGAACAATATTGATATTTTTAAATTTTGCTTCAGTGTAGAAGGCAGTTTACTGTAATGGCCCTGCACTGACTTTGCAACACTTGATAGAAGAGTTGGACCCTCTAATTTTTTTCTATTTATATAGTCAGGTTTTCATCTTTCTCAAGCTTCTGCAATTCCTACCAGTTTGCAGATGCCCAACAATTATAAAATTCCTTTCCCCTGGTTCCGCTAATGATAATATTAACAATCGATTAATGAACAATCCAAATCCCATGGCTTGAAATTAACTCAATAGAACTCAATAAATAACAAAGATTTTATTTAAAGATTTTTGGATAGGTAATTTCCGCTTGAAATTTTCTGACTCCACGAGAAATGTAGAGCTATGAACGTTCTGAGCAAAGAACTTAGGCTGGCAGAGTTTTTCTCTGTTGTATATTCTGATTATTTCTGGTTTTTCTCTTTCTATCTATGTGATATTTCATTCTGTATTTTTAAGGTTTGTGCCTACTAATTTAAATGTAAGTTTTAATGTCTAATGAGGTGGTTAGATGGAAAGGTATAATTTAAGGAAACTCGCCACCTTTGTACTTACGTTATTTTATTTTGTATATACCGGGTTAGTAAAAAGTACCGGAACCCTTAAATGTCTCCAAAACGCCAAAGCTGGAACAATAAAACTCAATACCACTTTTAAAGTAGACGTCATAATTTTGTTATTCCCATCAATTCAATCAATCAATCCATATCAATCAATTGTACCTTTTTCTCATAATATAACATAACTTTTTCCATTTTATAAGAAAAAAGTATAAAAGTCAATCCGGAAAAAGTTCATCGGAGTTTCTGTTACTTGTTACGCTCCTGACCAAAATTTGCCATTTATAATATTAGAATGATTTAGCATGCCAGAATTACTAAAACTCTAAAATTAAAAAACTTTCTCTCATTCCTTCTAGGGCATGGGGCTCCGTTAGAGGGAGTTTCTCGACATATGTTTATATAGAAAACTAGGGTTTATTTTAGACGAATATGCTGTTACAGTCGGACCGACTTATTTTGCGACACCCTATATATCTATATAGTCTGTTACTTGCCTTGTAATAATACTTAAGTATTGCGGATAATTTATTTGGTGGCAGTATCTCAAGTAGGGTCATATTTATCACATCGGCCACAATCTTGCCATGCTCAATGGAGGAAACTAAAAATGTCCGAGTTAAATTTTCACTTTAAATTGAAAGAAATGCATACTTCTTTCATTTCCCACGATACGCTCCTCAAATACAAACAAAAACAGTTGCAATATTTGTGGATCATCTACAATGCACCGAGTTAAGCTGGCCAATGCAGTGCCCATAGTGATCTCATCTATTTCGCTTGCGAAAGCTAAGTACGATTTGCAAATTCTTCTGAAAATCTAAAATATACAAGTTAAGATGAGAAATATATTTTTTCTTAATTTTTCGGCACATTTATTTGGAGAACTTCGCCAGTATTTGCCATCACGTTAAAACAGCTGGCAGAGAACTCTTGGAAATTACTGATAATAATTTCCACATGACTGTTTCTTGTTGCTGCAGAAGATGACTTCAAACGACGGATATTCCACACTAAACTCCAATGGCAACAAGCTGTCAGCGAGTCCACAAACTGAAAAATATTTTCCAGATACTTGAAACTCTATATAAAAATAAATACAACCTTCTCGCTTGAGTCCATCAAGCCCCAAGAATCATGCAAAGTGGGCCAAGACAGGTATTCATTTAGATCGAATTTGCTAAACAGAACTGATACTTTTTTGGCGGTATCAACAACTTTATGGTCCTAAAATAATTGCGCTCTACCTCAATCGTCTTACGGTACTAAGTAAAACATACTGATGCTTGAAGTTGAAGGATTAGGTCGTTGGAATATTGGCTGGTTAGATCTGCGATACCCGTTTTGAAAGGTACGTTTAACTGCTTAACTTTCTCGGAACAGTAAAGCAGAGCGTCGCATATCGCTTCCAGAGATTGTTCGTCCTTAAGGTATGCGAATAATTTTTTCAATAATCCAAATAACTCTTCCAAGTGCTACCACAAACAACAAGTATTGTAATTAATTCCTATCCTTATCACTACACCTAGTTTCTTAATGCGAGAGAGTAATAAAATGTAAATTTGCAATGGCAAGCAACATTAAACACAGTCGATGACTTGAAATTTATATCGGACGGTGATAGTTTTCCATATTTGATTTTTTAAGATCTACATACATCGAATCGTTCCTAAAAAATAATTATACATTATTGTAATTATAGATTCGCAGGTAATTGAGATATTAATTATTCTAAGCTCAAGTAAATAAAAACTTATATAGAAGTAAGAACAATATGGAAATAGACAAATTGTAATATGTAAATATTATTTAACAAAAATCTACTATTTATTTGTAAATTTTAGTAATCCTATTCCTAGTAGTCAGAGTATTGTCAGTGGCAATTTTTGAAATTTTCTTCAAAATATTGTTTACTAATTTTTTTCTTAGATGCTAATAATTTTTTTTTAAATGCGTGTAAATAGGAAACTAGAAAAAAAAATACTACAAGAAACCAAAACAGTAACATGAATTCATATTTATATTGAACGCCCAATATGAAGAAGCTCAAAACGAAAAACATATACCAGAGCTGTAAATTAGTTAATAAACAGGGAGCACTGTATCTCAGTACAATTAGGTGAGTAAATCCTTATAGCAAAAAATTATAAATTTTTCTGATTTACGTAAAATAATATGCAATGAAAATTGTTTCTCTGCTAATGGAATTAAGTTATGTTTTACACTGTTAAAAAACATGTTTTTTAAAAATATTTGTTTATTTAAAAACGATATAGTGGAAAGTGTCCAAAACTCTAATAAAACTTTAGAAATCTGTCTGCCTCATATATATTCAATCAGCTTTGTTAATAAAGCTTGGAGAGAGGGAAAAATTTTAAATACAAAATTTGTTTGAATGTGCTGTATTCGACTGAAATATTTGCCTTTATACAGGGTAGCTCATAAAGTACTGCTCCGAATTTCCTTATTTTAAAAGGAACATCCGGAATATTACTTTATTTTCGGATTTTTTAGAAAATTTCATGGTAGTATCCTTATTGCTTACACTCTTACAGTGTAATAAATTCTAAGGAATATTTCCACCAAACTTAAATTTTATTAAATCTAGATTTAGATAAATTTAGATTGTTATTAACAACTCTACATCTAGTTCTCAGGCTTCTAATGAAGTTATCAAAGTCTTCTCAAACGCTTTACTCTAAACAATTTAGCAACTCATTTCTTGTTTGACATATGTAATATTGTGAAGCATATCCCACACTTGCTGGACGGGATTTAGCTCCGGCAATTGAGCAGGTCATGGTAAAACGCTGGTTTTCTTCTTAATTTCATCATATGAAAGAACTGTAGATTCCAAAATGTTTTCACGGTACTGATTTGCCGTTAAAAACCCTTCAACAGAAACTGATTCCTGCCTACAGCATTACCGTAACTCCTAAATACCTGTAGACATCTTGGATAGTTTCTAAGCGACTAACATTTGCACATATTCTCCAAACTCTTCTTCTCGAGTGGGGCCTGAATCCAAATTTAGATTCGTCCGTGATCCAATTGTCGTTATCACACTCCAAGTGATCACGCGCCCATTCTAAACATTTAGCTTGATTTCCTCTTGACAGCAGAGGCACAAGTACCGACCTTCGGATGAACTCCATAGCTGTGTAGTCTATTTACAGTCACGTCTGGTTGGCCGTGACGGATCTGATTGGTTGCGTGACTTGCAACGCCCCAATATCTTGGTACTTGTGACGGATCTGTTTCTTAAAACGTGCATTTGGGCAAATCTCTCATGAATTGTTGTGTAACTGTTACGGCGTCCCTGTATCTTGCTCGAACATCCTCCGTATGATGATATCGTTATCATAACCGACCAATTGCACTTTTTGAGCTGTTGACAGCTTCTACTGTGCCCTCCCATACGGCATCGCAGCATACCAAACAAACGCGGTCAAGACGGAAAATTTGCTCTAAATCAATCACTTAGCTCGTCTAATTTGAACATTTTATACTTTTTTAAAATACATTTTATCAATTAAAAGGAATGTTCCAAACAAACAACCAAATGCAGAAGGATGCCCACATATCAAATAAAAAATATTGTTTGCGTTTTTGTATTTTTTAGGCTTGTTCTCTATTCAGTTTTGATGTGTATATTATAAAGAATATATTGTATTTATACCTATTTTTTACCGTTTTCTTATTATACATTTAATGTGATGACACTACAAGATAATTTTGTTTTAAGATATAAGATGAACATGGCAAACGGAGAACATATAAATTAAATAGCACAAAAAGTTAAAACAGAAAAACTGATTTAACAATAATAATACTGGAACACAAGAGCCAGGATATTCAAAATGAATGTTAAAGAAATCATTACAAATGCTTCTATATGACATTTTTCTGGATTTAAAGTAGTAAAGGGATCAATGTCAAATTGTGTGTTGTACAGGCCTAGTCGTTTATAGAGCCACGAATGGAAAATCCAAGTGCTACAAATCGGGTTCTTGCTTAATTCTTTTGAAGTATCCTACCAAACAAGAACTTTGGGGGTTGATCGATCACTTCTTAATTTACTAGTCAAATTCGATCAAAATGTTTTAAATAACATCTTGCAATTTTGCATTATTTAATGATAATATGTATTATATATGTCCACTTGGAGGCATACCCGAATACTATACTTAGAGATTCCGAGAATCCCAATGAAAATATCTACTCGATTTAGTTCTCACAACTACGATACGGCGACGTAACGCACAATATAAAAAACTAATTAAAACTCTAAAATATAAATTTCATTGTATTTTTAAAATGATATCGGTCAATTGGCCAGTAAATTCACAGGTCAATTGGCACAAAATAACTTAACCGGTAAATCACAACACTAGGTTTGATTCACTTTTGATAGTAAATATGAAAAAGCAAGAAAACAGTTAAAAACACGTATTGGAAAAATTAAATTGCATATCACACCATACAATAATATACAGGGGGTGCCTCGTTTGAAAAAAATAAGTTTTGTAACTTAGAAAATGACAAAACATTGGGATTAAATGTAGGGAAACCTGAAGAGAATTACCATGAAATTTTCCATTTAAAATAAGGAAGTCGGGAGGTGTGAGATACTTACGAGATACCCTATATATTAGTCATTGCATTCGGTACACCCGTACAAAAAACTTTTGCATTTACACTTTTTCCATAAAATACCGCAGAAATATAGCCCTCTAGAACATTTTCCAAGGTTGATGTCACCAAATGTATAATAAAAGAATGAAATATTATTAATTACAAAACATGCGTATTGTTATTTTTCATTGTAACAAAAAAAAAATCCAATTTCACTATACAGTTTCGAATGTAATTTATATTTACCTGATTTGGTACTGGTTAGGGTAATCAAGTAGGATCGCACTTCTGTTATATTTTAATCTATTTAGTTTTTAATAACACACAACTTACCCCGCACAAATCATTTGTCAAAACTTTGGGGTTGATTTTGACCAGAATCCTCAGAAAATTACAAAGAATTTTTGCTTCAGACGCATTTAGCAACAATATGGCCTTTAACGAAAGTAGTAGTTTTTCTGCGATCTTACGGTGATGCATGATAGTCAGTTTTACATCTGAAAAAGCCGAATACGATAATGGTCAATAAAACAAATACAGATTGTCCCAGTTAAGACAAGACAATGCTTTTTGACAGTCACATGGTCCCTATATTTGGAGCAGAACCAACAGGCTAAATAGTGCTTCACTAGTGCCGAAACCATGTCGAAAACTGAACTGGCATTCTCTCATATATTTATCACACTATTTATGTATTCTAGAATAACTAACCAAAACATTTAATATTAGAAATTTTTGTAGAAAACTAGTTTTAAAATTCAAGATAACAAGAAAACAGAAACTCTCAAACAATTTCTAGCATTTTCACTTGATTTCCTTATCAATCTTTTTTTCGTTTGTTGCCCTTACTGGGACACCTGGTATATCAGAACATTGCAAACCGTCTCTGGGCAAGGTTCTGGGTTTCGATGATTGCCCATTCAATATTTGCTGCGCCGCTTCGAGTGCCAATTCGCTTATGGTCTCTTTTTCAGTAAGGTTTCCATAGCTTTCATTGCAAAAGATGTCAAAAATTAAATTCCAATTTTGCAACACGGGCTGGCTGGGAAGACAAGCTTCCACGAACATGGGTTGCAAATTTGGGTACTGCAATAAAATAAATAAAATTATATGATCACCATTGACTCGGTCTTGTTGATGTTTCGCCAAATATACTGCTGGCTTCCTCAGAGCGCTATCTGAAACTGAGGGTCGATTGCTCTGCATGCATCTTAAATACGGGGACGGGGCAAATATGAGGAGGGTTAATGTTATTAGGGAGTATAATGATTTCGATACACGCTTGAATTTTTATTGGAAAGAAGAAACTACCAGATGCAAGTTTTATCGAATAAAATCTGGTATTTTGTTTAGCGATGATCTTGAGAAACTGCTGATGTCGTTATTTGTAGAAGACTGCGTGATCTCCGATGTTCTTTTAGTCTGATTGATAGTTTTCCGCCTGTTTCTTCTATATATTCTTTGCCACAACTGCACGGTATACTGTAAACACTTCATATCTCGAGGAGAATTTTATCTTTTACCGATCTTTTGTGGAAAACGGGGATCACGCAACGGATTTACTTTATATAACTTTAACTTTACCTTTATAAATGATAAATTATGTCTTATTATATGAAATACCTGAACAAGCTTGCAGCACGCAACTAACTCTGCAGAAAAAATACCTTATTGCATGAGATGAGACCCACATAGCACCAATTGAAAAGTTGTTTTTAAAAAACTTCTGTGAGTCTATAGAAATTTATAAACAACCTAACAATCTAAACTAAACTAAACTAACCAAAACTAACCAATATACCATATCCGAGACGGTGTTTATGCCCCTCATTTAGCTCTGTCCGCCTCAAACAATATATAAGCAGGTACAGAGTAAAATGCGAGCCAGTTTCAGTCAAGCTCTGGAGAAGCCAACAGGATGATTGGCGAAAAGTTAGCAAGTAGCTTGTGGAAGTTTCTTTGAAAAAAAAAAGAAAAGTTATTGTTGCATAGAAGACATCCCATATCTTTCTTGTATTCAACTAAGTTATATTTTTGTTTAGCTTTGCCACTTCCACCAAGTGGGAAAATTAATATTTTTGTCTTTTGCAGTATTACAGTCAATTGGTTTTTGGATGTGTATTCCTCGAGAGAAGTTTGTTTTTAATCAATATCAAAAACTGCAAAGCTAAAATATCGCATCGATGTTCACTTCAACAAGAGGCTACGCTGAAGAGAGAAAGGACGTACGGTCTGATATAAATGCGGAAAATAAGAATGGATAACGTTTCACCTGGAAGAACTCCCTTTGATATAGAAAACTCGAATATACAGTCGTTGTTGCTTTTAATTTTTAAAATTTGCATTGTCATAGAGAGATTCCATAATTGAAATAACCTTGATTTCCGAAAGAAAATTTCGGGTAAAAATTAATTTTGGTGAGACTATTGCTCTAAAATGTAACTCTCTGCTTGCCAATGTAGAACTTCTGTATGTTCATAATATAAAAAAAACAACATATATAAAACAAATATAAAAAAAATCGAAAACATAAGATCAAAACTAGATTCCCTACTGATCATAAAATGTCCCGAGACATCAGATTTTTACAGTGTACAGTGTAGTTGTAGCAAAAAGTACATGAGAGAAACAAGTATAAAAATATCAACCAGAATAAAAGAACACAAACACAAAAAAAATATCTACATACCAGATCCGTCGACATTCGGGCCAGCTTTATCAAAATTGCAGCATCATCGGTCGGAGATTCACGTTTCAAGAACTGCGCCACATACAGTCCGGCTCGCTTTGCTATTTCATAGTTGTCATAGTATATGCACTTTATTAAATAGCGCAAATGTTTTCCCTCTTTGGGGGATTCGGCAGCGTATCTACGATTAATGCGTTTTTAAAATTTGGAAAGGCAACTTTTCACCCTCACTCATTGTTTATCGCTGCCAGCGCATCCAAAGCAGCCAACACCACTTGATCGTGCTCATCTTCTAGTTGACACTCTATAATCTTGATTATAGTTTTTATTGGCTCTCCGCTTAGCATCGCGCCTCCGTCCTTCACTAGCTTTTTGCAAAACTCCAAAGCCCAAAACCTTACCGATTTTATCTGGACACAAAAAAAAATTACTTGGGCATTTATTTTGAGAACAACTCCTCGATAAAACACCCAAAAATTTACAGCCAACATAAACAAGCAAATAGTATAAATGGAGGGAATAAAATGGCTACTTTCAGCTGTCGATGTAGAACGTTATTCTACAGGGTGAGTTGAAAGATCGATCAGCCCGTGAATGACCTGTACTTTGCATGAATTACAGCGAACGCAAACCATTTAAAAATCAGATACTGGATTTCCAGAAAAATGCTCGCATACGCTTATCATATTTTTTTCTAGTAAATGGACAGTATACAGGTCCGCTCAAGAAGTAGATATGGAAAACAAGGTCCTTTTTTAAATAATATAGCAATTTTTTAAGTCCATTTTCAAATTCTGCGTCAAATTTCATGCATAATTCATGTATACCACCTATATCTTACTTCTTATAAGCAAAAGAATAAAAACCATGTCCAAACAAGAAAAAGCCTTCCAAAACATTGTTCAGAATATTTTCATTAATTTCCTCATCTTGTATCTAATTCTAAATTTTAAATCATCTAAATTCTACTAAACTAGCACCATCCTGTTGAAACCAAATCTGTCTATCTGGCATATCAGGCTGATTTGGATTTGGGAAACGGATAGAGCGGGAATTACTCATTTCGAAGAAACTGTAAATATTCCGAGGTCCAATAATTTTGTTATTCAAAACTCCTGCACAAATATTTATTTTTTGTGGTTTTGTGTAAGTTTTTCTTTCATCCATTGGGGATTATTTATACTACAATACTTACAATTTTGCTTATTTACTGTTATATTTAAACAAAACGTGACTTCACTAACTGAACAGTATCTAACGTTGAAAAAATGGATTTCCTCAATTTTTAATAAAATGTTTACTCTTTTGTTCATTAACTTTTGGATGACCTGGCCGTAGACAATCTTTTGCATGCCCTGTTTCTATGTAATTTTGACAATTTAGGCATACCTGTTCATTTTAAAATGAAGTTCCTGCTTTTTATTCTTTTGTTTATAAAAAAAAGAGATAAAATATAGAGTATGCTAAATGAATTATGTCTGGAATTCGACACAGAATTCGAAAGTCCAGTAAAAAAATGGTGTTCCATTAAAAAAAGGAACACTGTATATTTTCTGATTTTTAAATGAATTTGTATATGGGGGCTAATGTTATATATACCGCAATAGTTTTACAATATTATGATCAGATCTGGTAAAATAGCTATTACGTGGTATTACTTTTTCACTTTTAATTTGATCATTAATGTCACTTTTTTCACGCGGATCAACTTGGTACATTATTTAGACGAAATCTAAAAGATATTGGTAGCAGGGATAAGATTTTCAGGAAACACATTCTATAATTGGCTAGGAGGTTCTCGGTTTAGATGGTTTTTTTTACAAGATTTTGTTCCAACTTCAAGCCGAGTTCAGAAGAGAAGCAGAACGACCCGACTTGAGAGTGAGATCTTGCCGAAACGTTGTATATATATATATATATATATATATATATATATATATATATATATATATATATATATATATATATATATATATATCTGCTATCTTCCGAGCGTCCTTTCATGGATCCGTCTCTGAGCGTCCAGTATCGTTTTCTTCAAGATCCCTATTTTAACAAGTGAATATTTTGAAGTTTTATAAACGAGATGGCGTTGAGTTTTCTTAGGCCAGATTTTACGAAGATCATTTTTGTGAAGTATTATGATACTTATATGTCGGCGTCCTTTTATAGAGGTACCTTGCTAGCGTCCAATATACACGGGAAAACTTTTACATTTCAGCATCCTAGCGTCCGTATGTATATTTTTCATTTATTGGGCAGATTTCTGAGCGTCCGAGCAACGTTGCCCGATTGATTGTGTATTAAAGTACATATAAATAGATATGGTCTTTAGAACACGCTTCTCCTTTTTAACATGACGGTGCACAGTCGAGCGGGTATAAGGCTATTCATGTTTTCGCTATATTTTGAAAAATGCTTTGTTGCTGTTTTATTTTTTATTTTATTATATATGTTTTTTTGTAGATTTGGTAGTTTTTAAAGCTCTTTGCTAAACTTAATTTCTTTGTGTAGATGTTTTCTTTAACACGTCGCCCGATTTTGGAAAGTAATTCTTGAATTCTTTGATTCTTGAATATGTTTGCCAGAAATATTGCACATGTATTTACGTTAGCCAGGCGCTGCTTGGACATAAACCTAACCAATAATGATAATAATTGAAAGCAAATACCATTATTAATTTTTCAAAGAAACTTCCACAGGCTACTGTAATACTTTCTACAAAACTTCTGGTTTCCTCCTGCGCCGGTTTTTGCTGAGTCGAACTTGCTGACGTTTCGCCAATCTTCCTGTTAGCTTCTTCAGGGATCGAGTGAAACTGGCTCGCATTTTACTCTGTACCTGTATATATATTGTTTGAGGGGGGCGGAGCTAAATGAGGGGCATAAACACCGTCTCGGATCACTGATTCCTATGTTGGTGACAGGTAAAGACCAGAGTCGCGGTTAAGATTCTTTGGTTGTTTAGAGATTTGTTTGATTACATACAAGAATTCGCCAACAGCTGATGAATTTATTTGTCTTAGTCGTAAGGCTCTTTCGTGTTCTTTGAGCCTAGTTGATATTTTTCGTCCGGTTTCTCCAATGTATTCTTTGCCGCATATGCAAGTGGAGGATTGCTTTCGGCCTCATTGCTATTGGAAGGTTGTGGTGAAGTGTATTTTTTGATCGAACGCTTAATATCTTTAAGGTGGAATTTATTAGAGAGAGAAAAGCAGAAGTAAGATGTTTTAATTCTGGGTTCAGTGACACGGGCTGAGATAGTTTTACGGTTCTGTAAGCAACAGAGTTGACAACCGATGACTTTTGGGCCAGATTGTGATGTGTGTGAACTTAACATATTAAATTTGAAAAGTTTACCTCTGCTCTTCTCTCTAATAATTTCCACATTAAAGATATTAAGCGATCAAAAAATACCACAACCTTAAAATAACAATGATGCCAAAAGCAATCCTACACTTGCCACTGTGGTCCTTCCTTACATTCAAAACATCACTGACCACATATCAAAAGTTTTAAAACCAGATTTACCACTTGTCCAAAAATTTCTCAACATCTTCGGTCCGTCAAAGACAAAATTCCATTTCAGATGCCAGGAGTTTACAGCATTCCATGCATATGCGGCAAAAAATACATTGGAGAGACCGGACGAAAAATATCAACTAGACTCAAAGAACACGAAAGAGCCTTATGACTAAGACAAATAAACTCATCAGCTGTTGCCGAACACACTCATGATACCGGCCATAAAATTTTATTCGATGAAACTAAAATTCTTGCATGCAATCAGTTCTTCCACCAACGAAAAATCCGAGAGTCAATAGAAATCTATAAACAACCTAACAATCTTAACCACGACTCAGGTCTCTACCTGTCACCAATATGGGAATCCGTTATCTGAGACGGTGTTTATGCCCATCATTTAGCTCCCCCCCCCTTCACCAATCCATCAAACAATATGCCAACAGGTACAGAGTACAATGCGAGCCAGTTTCAGTCAAGCTCTGAAGAAGCCGACAGGATAATTAACGAAACGCCAGCAAGTTCGACTCAGCAAAAACCGACGCATGAGGAACCCAGAAGTTTTGTAAAAAGTAAATACTAATATTTAAATATTATTTTTTTAAATTGTTTACTAAGTTCTTGACAGTTGACTTATTTGCAGATCAATAAATTATGGTACCAAATTAAGAAAAACTGTTAATTTAGAAATTATGTAATATAATTTCAACTGGGCAACTGAGGCGATATTACTGTGTTGTTTGTGTTTAATGTTGGTCTAAAATGGGCCAATGTTAGTTATTTGGAATAATTAGAAGTTACTATTTTAGTTTAATTAAAAAAAATTATAAAGAACACAGACAACTGCGATGAGAACGGCATTCGTTACTCGTTAAAATTAACATTTTCTTCAGAAGGCTATTTACAAATCTTCTAGATCCCTTCTGCATCTTTTGTTTATAAATAAAGCTAGCTGACGTTTCGCCAATCATCCTGATGGCTTCCTCAGAGCTTAAGTGAAGCTTGCTCACATTCTATTCTGAACTCACTGATATACTGTTTGAGAGAGGCGGAGCTACAAGAGTGACATGAACATTGTCTCGGATTTCCATATTGTTGAAAATCAGAGTCGCGGTTAAGATTATTTGGTTGTTTAGAGATTTCTATTAGTTTTCGGATATTTCCCTGGTAGAAGAATCGATTACATTGATTAATTTTTAATTTGATCGAATGAGATTTCGGTGTCATTATTGTTTTCCGCAACTGCTTATGACTCTATTTGTCATAGTCGTATATTTTTTGTTCTGTTTCTCTGGTTAGTTTTGACATAGCTCTTTCAGATATATTGCAATTCGGGAATGTGGAATCAAACATATTCAACCAAATTGAAAAATGCTTGTCTGGAACATATTTTTCTTGTAACGGTCAAATTTATGAACAGGACCAGCTGTGAGATCTCCAGAATGGTTGGTGAAACGTCAGAAAGTTCGATTTATCAACCACCGACGCAGGTAGAATGCAGAATATTTGTAAATAGTCTTACATTATTCTGTGAAAGTTAACTTTAAAAAAAAATCTTCAGAAATCTTTGCTAAACAAGTTTGATAAACGCCATATTAGTTTATTTGGCACGAATGGAGCGAGTGCTTAATAAATGAGTGACTGAAGAAGTTTACAAGGTGTTGCATACTATATGCGTGTACCTTGACCATCAGAATCGACAAACCAAAGCACTGGCTAATATATCACCGGAAATATCCGCAGTGGCTCGCAGCCCTACGTAACGTCTTCAAGCCACACTGTATAATGCGTATTTTAGAGCAGGAATGTAAAAGGGGGATTTTTTTAAATCAATTTGGGAAAAAAAATTTGATGGTATCCAAGGAACTAAAGAGACACTTTTTATCCCGAGGCAAAACTTTATAGAGAATATATCGAAAATCACCTAAAAAGATACTTTACTTCAGAGGTTCATTGTTAGGATTTAAATTTAGGTACATTAAAAAAAGTAATATATGAAAATATTGTTCAGTGGCAGTGGTGATACATTATTGTATCACTTTTCATCCCTCATATTCCTTGTTTAACTTCATTTTTATTTATATCTTAGGGCACAATGAAGAAAAATAACTATTAAAAAGAACACTTTTATCGAATAACTTTTATCAAAGTTCATTTCAAAATAATAATTTTTACTAAAATATAGAAATGTTACTTTTCACATTTATTTTGGTTTGATTAAAAGCAAAAGTCAACAACTTAAATCGTTCAATAAAATAGTTCTTATATGTTGCGCACTTTAATAGCCGACCTATTAATATTAATGAAATATTATTAGACGATAAAATCAAAATATTTTATTACCCAATTATTTAGATAAGTATTTAGCAAATGGTATTTTAATTTGCAAATTCCAACAACTTCTTTTCCTATTGCATTAAACAACCATTTATGTTCAATATTTCTATAATATAAATATTTATATTCGATATTTTTAATATTTCGAACACCGTTCTAAATAGCATTTAACAGAAATTATCGGAGGAAAGTAATAAATCTAAAAATGTGCCCAAAAATTAAAAAAGATTCAGAAGTTATTGCATAGTATTCGCATATAAAAAACCAAAACTTGTTGGTGCCACTTTGTTTAATTAAAACATTTTAATAATGTTGCTTCATGGATCTGAAGATTATATAATGCAATAATAATAAAATAATCGAAAAATAGCAATTTGTGCAACTAAATAAAAAATATAATTTTTTTTAAGTGATCGAGGATGGCTCGGTTGGTAAGTCGTTAGACCTGCGAACTCGACTTGCAGTAGAGGTTGTTGGTTCGATTCCCACCTGGAGTCTTGGGTGTTGTTATTGCGTTTGTTGTCCGACTTTAACGACTGACTTCAATCTAGTCAGGCTTCTAAGTAAAGACAGACGCGAGTTCATTGAATTAAGGTAAAAAAAAATGCAACGGGCGGACAAGTAGTTGAAAAAAGAATAACTTTATGCAATGAGCGGATTTTCTCACGAAGAGAGCAATTCTAATATCATATAAAGCGTACGGCATTGGCAACAGGATATAAATATGATTTTTGTAAATTTTGAATTCTTTACCACACATTTCGAAAATAAACTTTTATTAATTATTTAATTTTTTAATAGAAAAAAAAAGTCTTGTGTATTTGTGTTACGTTTACGTTAATTCCAACTTAGCCTACTTCCGAATTCGTGGTAAAAAAATAAAATTCTTTATTTCCACCGTCTCTACATGCTCGAACTACGGAGCGCCAATCGAGTTCATTCAATATGAAAAACAAAACAACTAGGCGAAGCAGAGCTGTTACCCCACAATTTCGCGCCAGTCTGCAAAAGTTAATCGACGGAAATCGACGAGCTGAAAGTAGAATATATCTTGTAAAATATAAAGAGACTGGGTCTCGCGCCTCTACCGGGTATACAGCTGAACTAACAATATACAAGAAAAATTAGTTTACTATGATCGTAGCGTCTTTGTGAAAATTTTAATTTAGACTACTTAGATCTTCTATATACCGTTTCTATAGCGCTGACGCCCGGTTGTAGACGGACGCTCGGAAAATAGCAAATTGTTAATGTACGGACGCTTGGAAGATAGTGGGATATATATATATATATATATATATATATATATATATATATATATATATATATATATATATATTACTTTCTCCTGGTACCCAACGATCAACTTTCTTAATCATTATATTGTGCCCCTTTGGAAAAGGCCATGACCTTTTTGCATTAGAATCTTTAGCTGTCTCGACTTTTTCTTGGTCAATAATGGGTAAATTTGGCAAAATGTTTTAAGAAATAGATAGCAACCTATTATGTAAATGATGGGACGGTGAAGTTATTATACTCTAACAAGGTACGCCAAAAAGATCATTTCATTCTTTACATCGTTAAAATATATTTTAATATTTTTTATGACAATTCTATTTTTTGAGATATTGTATGGGGTAGCCAATTAGGGACACTAGGCCTTATCTCGAAAAGTAATCATAAAGACTTGGGGTAAACAAACATATAACTAAAGCGACCAAGAAAAGTGATAAAAATTGTTTTTAAGTTAGATAAATTAGATTTTTTTTCGTTTAACAGTTTTTGATCTATCTCGTACGCGAAAGTGGTGGTTGTTGAAAAAGGCTCCTTGTGGGCTATCGAGCTGCCTATGCAAAGAAATTAAATGTAACGATATCATTTTTATTGCTAAAAAAATAGCCAAATAAGAGGCTCTCTTCTGCTGATATCGTGATATCGTTGGATTTAATTTTTTTGAGAAAATATATTTTATTTGTAGTAATGTCGCAAAATGACTTCTAATGGCGGATACAAGCAATCGGAATCAATCCGCTCAGGCGTTCAGTAATTCTGAAGTTAGTGACATTTATTTCGCAAAATGTTGGACCGAAAAAAAATCGAATTTATCCAATTTTTCTATAAAATAACTCTTATCGAAAAAATACTCACTCTTGATGATAAGTAATATTTTGCAACGATATTGACACACTCGAAATCCTCAATGAAAAGTTGTGGAAATAAATTAATCCAGCTACGGAGTTCTCTCAAAGCTACCTTCTTCAGAGGTGCGCAATGCTTGTCTGAAGGTTTGCTGCCATTGACAAAATTGAGGAACAAGGTATTTATAAACCCACTTAGCCTGTTGTAAAACACACCTTTCGAATTCTTTTCTTCAAAATAACATTTCAGGCAACAAATACCGGTCAAAAGTTTCATACCTGAAACATGACATGCAACAAATGAACAAAAACCACATTTATATATAATATACTTATAATTTGCCCTGTAAACCATAGATGCCTATATTGGGCCTTGCACATTAAATTTAAAAATTTGAGAAATACTTTGCATTCTTCACTATATAAGAACCTGTTGCTATGGGCGGCCACAGTAAATGTTTGTATAAAAGTGTTAATGGCACACTGGAACACTTTTGCTAATACTGATGTATCGGAAAATAAAAATTTACCAGTATCCTGAAAATAATCAAACATTATATGCCACTTAAAAGAGAGCAAAAGGTAAACACACGAAAACTTTAGAAGGGAATTGATCATTGTCCACTTTTTTTATAATTTTTTTCACATCCAGTGGGAACCCGAACTTTCGCAAGTTGAGGTTTTGACAATCAGCACAATCGAGGCAAAATTTTACAAGTATGATAAGGGCTTCGTTAGGTTGCGTTTTGCACTTTTCAGCAAACTGAGGCGCTAGTTCCTGTAATACTAGCATCAATATCATAAAAGTAATTTGAAGAGCAAAATAATTACCTTTGCTGATTTGGGATGTTCCAGTAATATTCTATACAAGGTGTTTGTTTCGTTATCATTTGGTTTAAACAGCTTCCAGGTAATACCTTTAAACTGGAACCGCGGTAGATTGTCGATGTTGTACTCTTCGCCTTCATCTGTAAGCTAGGTGGTTGAAGTGCAAGTTATACTCCCCTATCGCTTATTACCGCTTTCATAATCGGATTCTGTATCAGATCCTCCACTATTCGACACTGCCGATAAAATAGCGTTTGGTTCCGGCGTCGTCGTCCTTACCGTAACCGGACTGTCGGACTGAATACTCGAAGACTCCATGTTATTAAGTTCAGACTTCTTTTTTTTATTGGGTGATTCCATTATTTACAAAATTAAAATCCTAAACAAAATTGTTCCCTTCCGTGCACAAACAGCAAAATACCAACAGTTCACGGCACAGATTATATATGTGATTCTGGCGCGAAAACCGCCACAGGTTGTCCAACGGTTTTTCTACTAACGTGTAACCAGCCGGTGAGCTTGGCACCCGAAGTAAAATCATTAAGAAATAACTGACATCTGTCATTAGCAGGACCATCAAAACCAAAGCAAAATTACCCAAAAAAATTGGAGAATATAAATTTTAAATCTTTAACATTTACATGCCTACGAAGGCGCCGTTTGTAAAAATTCGGAAGCCAGGGTTACAGGCAGGCCAGACGCTTCTCCTTTTTTATTAAACACATACGTCTTGCCAATTCTTTACAATTATTTGGTAATGCACGAAATCATGTTAAGAAGAATAAACGTTTTTTTATTATTTGCAAGTTAAAAAATGTGTTTTCTCAAAGATTTTTTGTATACTGAATCTTATCTCCCCTGTGTACTTTCCATATACATATTTGCGTTTGGCATTTGCATTTTTTATTTTACCATCTACCAGTGCCATCTGTTACCAAAATGCAATGTTACAGACTCATCACTACAGGTAAAGTTGTGGTATTTTTCATTTGTTTTCTGCAAATATTCAGTAAGTTTAAATTATTTGAACTGTTATAATTACATAAAAAAATGTAACATATTTTTGCTGATTTCTGCTGAATAAGTTTCTTTGTTAATATTTGTCTTACATTTCGTAAAAGAAAACTAAACGTAAAGTCGGTTGGACGTAATTCTTTTGTTAAGATCGGTTTTATCTGAGATTTCCACATATTGTTCTATATTATTGAGTTAAGAGGCCACGCCTCCATTCACCGGACAATCTCCCGATGAAACAAATAGCGTCCGACGTAGAACACCCTGTACGGAAACCAAACTGTCATTTTCATCTTTTTTGAATAAAATATTCGGATAGATCGGTTGTGTTGGATTCTTATTCAAAACTTGATTGATAATATTTCAAGGAGTCTTCGTAGGATTTTGTGAATTATTTATTTGATTTTAATGAAAATATTTTTTTTGTATCGTTCACAAGCCTATTGTGTGTTTGTTGTTAATATGCAATTTTTGAAGACAGAAATTAAGGGCAGGTGCGAATATTAGCATATTTTTAAGAAATAAATTATTTTTTAAATATACATATATTATGTTGTGTCTAGCGTTCTGAAATTGTGCCGTCAATTTTTATTTAAAACTTATATTTATTTATATTATGGCTTAAGTCGCCATCGCCTCGTTCTGACAACTAAATGGAATGGCTATTATGGGGATTCCCCGAATCTCTACGTATCATATTCGGGTATTGCTTGAGGAGGGTTATAGATAAGTTAAACATCACAAAAGCATAATAATTAATTATAAAATACGTATTATTAAATAATGATGGATAACATGCTGCAAGATGTTATTTAAAACATTTTTCTCGAATTTGACTGGTGTAACAACGCTTAGCACCATCTATCCACCCATAAACGAATTCACCGTCGACCAAAGCGCCTTATTGAAGTTGACACGTACGGTCCCGCTAGAGTGACCCATAGTTGGTACCAATTTAAAGTAACAAGAGGGTGCTGGCCGTTGGCGAGTGCTAATATTCGTGTTATTTTAAGTTTTTTGATAGCTGTACCCACTTCATTTGAATAGTGTAAACTGAGTAAGTTCGGTTTCGTGTTTAATTACGCTACCGGATTTAACAGTTGCCATACTAGTCAATTGGCGGTCAATTGCCCGCCCCAACACTACCATTAAACACCATGTCCTGGAGGACTCTTCAGATTAATTAAGACGTTAAAAATACCATTTAATAATTATAATAACTTTATTCAAGTATATAATATACATGACTGATCTAATGCATTATATGTTTTAGCCATGTCATATGGAAAGGATCTTTCAAAAATTCCAGAGGCATGAGCAGGCCTTTAAACATTAAATTTAAATTTTGAACGTCCGTGCGAAAACTGATTTTCTTGAAAAGGTGAAACTTCAATCTTATAATTTTGTGATAAAGATTACATATTAAGCCATCGGACTGCTTTCAGTTTATGTCTAACGAGACTGTCCCGTTTAAATGAACCTTAAATAGTATTTCTGGATTTTTTAATACATTGTCACTTGACCATTAAATCTTAGTTTATTGTCGAGCATAAGCCCAGGTTTTGAACCTCCCCTTTCAGAGTAATGCACGCATTAGATATTTTTATTTCAACTCGTTGAGACAATCGATCAACATCCACGAGCTTACCAAACAACATTGGTATAGATTTTTTTGGATTTAGATGGAATGAATATTCTAGGGACTCTTGAATTATGTGGGTTTAATAACACACACTGAAGCGTTTTATTTTAAGAAGGATATATTAAATATTGGAATTTATAAGAAAACTAACAAAATTCATCCAACACTTGGCCGCCATTCCACCGCGTGCTTGTTCTCTAGTCACGTAGGCCAAAAAGAAAGTTATTTCAAAAACAATACATGTAATGCCATCTATGTGACAATAACTGCGTTCTGCACTAATACATTCAACACACCCCTTCAATTTAAATGCGTCAACAAACTGCAATCAAATGCACTTAAATTGTCCAACAACATACAATTTCCTAAAGTGTTACTTTTGCTTATCACCATTGATCTAAATTTAACAAATTTTTCTTTTCCTAAAGATTTCGTGAACATATCAGCACCCCTTTTAAATGTAGATCCTTGATGAAATGGTACTTTATCTCAATGTGTTTAGCACGCTTAGAGTTTTCACAGTTCTTGATCATAGATACGGCACTAAGAAGGATATACTAAATTTTGGAATTTATAAGAAAACTAACAAAATTCATCCAAGTTATTTCAAAAACAATACATGTAATGCCATCTATGTGACAATAACTGCGTTCTGCACTAATACATTCAACAGGGACACCCTATTAATGATTTTTAGATCATTATGATTTGACAGCTTTCCAAAATGTTATCTCCCGGAAATGTGTATTAGACTTCTCTATCATCTGCATACGTTTGCGTTTTGCAGTGCTGTATAAAAATTAGGAAATGCGGACATATATATGCAATATAAAATTGGTTCCAAAATGGAATATATGTTTTATAATTTTTATATGCTGCGGGAAAGGGTTAAATATGGCAAATCAATATTTCATTAAATTTATCACTCTGTGCTCTAAAATACCCAATTATGAACTGATTAAGCGTGGGCAAAGTCACACTTATTTAAAACGTCAGCTTTCCCAACTCATTTTGACTCACTCGGTATAAACGATTGCAAGACAAGTATAGGAGAAATGTAAAAAAATATATATAAAATTGTTGGCATAATAAAATTACAGCTTTGGGAAATGGCGTTAAAAAATATAGGGTGTTAAACACCATGGCCATAAATCCGAAACACTCGGTATAGACCAAAAGAACCCTACACTGGATGATTGAGTATAAAAATATTTATGAATCACCTTGAATATTTCAAAATAATTTTAACTTGTTTCTTTTAATCTTGTCTGTGTAGCTTTTGTATTTAACATTTTTTCATATAACGTAACTTGTGCTTGTACTTTAGCCAGAAGGCTTTAAATGTTTGACTGGAGGCCATTGTTGCCAAGTTGTACTCTCTCTCTCTCTCTCTCTCTCTCTCTCTCTCTCTCTCTCTCTGTCTCATATACGTATTTTTAAATATCAGTATAAATTCATACAAGCTCTCTCCTCTCTTCTCTATCAACTCAAGAAAAGAATATCAGAAACTAAACAAAGCTAACCAAATACTTGGTTATTTTTACTTTACAAAATTAAAATGCGGGAAGGTCGCGGCGCCATTGGATGGCGGTCAAAAAGTTAACGACTTTTATTTAGCCGCTCGCCGTGTATTTTTGAAGTCACTCACTGAAAGTGTCCCTGCTGTTTTGCAACAATATGGTTGTAAAAGAAATATAGAATGCAACACGTTGATTAACTTCTTCAGTCAATAGTTTATTAAAAGTGGCCTCTATCAAATTTGTGGTATAATACATTTATAAGTGTATCAAAATTAGTCGGTTCAAATTGTTTCTGTCAATGTGATGGTGTCCACCCTGTAATTTATTCTACGGCGAAAGATTATACTATAGCAAATAATAGTAAAGAGCTCAAAATTTATGATAAGTGTACACATTCAAATTAATATCGTATATGTTAGTTTGTCTTGTTGCTGTCGAAATGCGTCTTGGTTAAATTAATTGCTAGTACCAGACATGGGTTCGACAGGAATAACGAAGTAAGAAACATTTTTGTTGTTTAGGGTTTTTCTTTTCTCACTTTAAAGTCAAATCGATTATGAGGTCGAAGTGAAATAAATTCATCCGGAACATATAATACTTCTTTCCATTACTTCATGTTAGGTTTAAGACGCCATTATATAGGTAAGACATATTTGATTTTATGCAGCGTTTCCCCACTCAATAGACCAAGAAGTTTATGCTCTCTATTTTTCAAATGTAGATGGCACCACCATAAAAGTAATTATTACAGGCCAACTAGATAATTTGATTTATTAATTTTATATTCACTGCTAAAAATAATTAAACTACGACAAGATAACCTGAAGAAAATGCACTAAATTCAGTTCAGTTTGAATTCTATGCATATCCTCGTCTATAAACGGTGCTATAACGATATTGTACTTAAATACACGTCAATAGAGTGGATGTTAAAGCCAAATAAAATGCATAATTATAAGATTTCGATAAGAAGATCCAATGTTTTTAACCAACAAATGTAAATTTGAAGAAGAAATGTTCAACAGACGAAACTCACGCTTTTGGGTTACAAAAACCTCCAACTTTGTTTGTCATATAAATAAATTTTTGTTTAACTTGGATTCACCATATCAAAATAACATACAATTTCTTAATATATTGTTTTGTTTTTTATTGCTTATATTGTAAATTTCAAAAAGTTGTTCAAAAGAAGGCTACATGTAAAGTCTGTTCATAGATATAAGAAAGTGACTAACTGATACGAATTAAGGAAAGACCCGGGCAAGCTGTAAGAATGAAATATGGCCGAACAGGTCCGTACTTTGCTGACAATTTAATTATTTGGGGGTTTGTTAGGAAATATACTAAACAATAATTATTTATTTATGTATGTATTTATGTTTAAATCTAAAATAAAATTGTGAATTATTTTTATTACCTACTTAAATTACTTAAAAATTTTCACATAATATATCAGTATCACTACCGCTATCATCGCCTATTCTAATTATTATTTGTTCTATATTATCTGCAATATGGATACACGATTGTTCTGCTTTTTCTATATGTTTAACATAATTTGCGCAACCTTGTGGAGGGATGTTAAAAACTTCGGTTTCTATAAGTTTGAGAACATTGAAGTTAACACGGGGAAAAACATTGTTACGACGAATGGCAGATTTCAGTTGGTGCCAAACATGTTCAATGAGATTAAATATACAGTGGTAATGTGGAAGGAAGCCTTAAAACTGCATGCCCTAGATTTTTTGCATAATTATCACAGACGTATTCCTATTGTAGGTTCAAGCTTGGTAGAACCTCAATTAATTGCTTTTTGGTATAATCTTCCTGAAAATAAATGTCGTTATTATACACGTAGCTTGCTTTTCTGTCACATGAGGAAGGGGTTTTAGTCAGCTGTCTACTGTGATAACTTGCATCGTCCATTATAATTACGCTATTAGGAGGAATGTTTGGAACTAGTTTGTTTTTAAACCAACTTTCAAATAAATCAGCGGTGGTGTCTTCATTGTAATCCGGAGAAGAATCTTTAATATTTTTCGCAGACAGAGAAAGTCAATTTGGAATCCAACCATCTTTAGAGCCAGCATGCAAAATAGTTATTCTTTTACCTCTTTTTGATGGCGCGTTTGTTTTACACGTATCAGTTGAGTCAACCCAACCCTTTTCCAAGTTTTCATAAGTGCCAAAGCAGGTTTCATCCAAGTAAATAATTGGCCTTTGTTGTTCTCTGTAAATCCTATTTTTTCTAGATATTCCAGTCTAAAAGATTCCATTAAAACTTCCCTTTTGTCAATTTTTTTAAATCTAAAATGCATGTGTTGAATACACTTCCATAAGGTTGTTTTGCCGCATTTAACACCGGTTTCATCTTTTTCAAGCCTCCTAATTAAGACATCTAATGTAGGCACGCTTTGTTCCTCGTATAACTGGTAAATTTTACGCCGTATTATATCTTGATCACTTTCATCTACACTCGAGAAAATATCAGCATCACTTCTTATTTCCTCCCTGAAATGGGATTATTCACAATTTTCCATACAGTTGATGTTGCAATTTTCGTCAATGTGGCCGTTTCTTCTAAAGATGCTTGCTTGCTGGCATCACGTTTAATGAGAGTGAAATAAACATTGTTTATAACTTCCTTAGTCTCAATAGAATAGTGTTTTCTACATTTGGGTGGGAGCATCTCCTGAGATACACTAGACTCGCACATATTTTGCATAATTCGCACACGATTCAACACACGCTGTATTAGTATAGTAGTATACCAAACCAAAGAATATTAAACACAGGTAGGTATAAAATTATTTTCTATTACGGACCACAATTTTACCTGAATTTAAATTCCGAAACTGGGTAATAATCTTGTTGCATTGTATGTTAATGACCACCCTTGGATAATCCCATTCAAAAGCAATTGGTCACTTTCTTATATCTATGAACAGACCATACCTAATTTTCACTAGTACGGATCCAGATTAAATCAAGTACCACGGAAAAACACCGGGAGATCTGCAGGTCAGCATTTTATAGAATTCGATTAGCAACCAAAGTGGCATCAGTGTAGGTAATGTCACAGGAACAATAATCGAGTAAAAGTATTTTCAGACTTTTCTTTTGCCTATTTTTTTTCTAGACACAAAGCTTCTGTCTTTATTTTAAGGCGCATGAAAATATTCTGCTACCAACCTTTCTTTGAGTTACGTCTATAACATAGCAATTTATATTGTAAATATTAGTATTTCGGACCTTCAATATTAAAAACTTGGATGAATGAAAAGCTATTATTAATTTAAAATAACAATACCATCCAAGGTTTAAATTAAATTAAAGAAACCAAAACCGTAACCAAATGCAATGTCATAATAAAAATGCTATTTGGAAATGTATACAGGGCATTCCGTATAAAAAATGAAGTTTTGGCTAGCAATATCCCAAATGTTTTAAAAATAGAGATCATAGCCTCCTGTAGCCGTAACTCAAATTTTAAAGGTCATCATTATCCACTTGCTATACGTTTCTAATCGGTCATCGAGGTTGGGAACCTCTGCAGAAATAAAATAAATAAATATGAATATACATGGTTAAAGAAGATCAACCCGATAATGACAGATTCTGAGTGTGAAAATATTGTTATTGTCATTATGCGATTTTCCGTCTTCTAAAGCGCAATGCGTTGATCTTAACTTAAAAAATAACATTTTTATTTATAAACCTTTGTTTTTCACATATTTTTTGGAACTTTGTGTGTATAATTGTCCTGTTAAGTTACAATCTTCATGTTTATTTTGTAAATAAAAATATTTGATGATTGTTTAAACTATGCAGTAGCCTCAAAAATTCGATGTCTCAAATGGTTCCACTCTCTATCCAATCTACAGGAATAAGATTTCCATTAAATGGGGCATTACATTTTTTTTCAATTAATTAGTTTTGGGGAGTAATGGGGGCTACAGGACACCCCTTTTTCCTGCTGGTATGCCGCTTTTATTTACTAAAGTTAAAGTATTTCCATTTGTGTTGCATATGCTTGTAGTAATGTCAAAAGAATAGTAAAAGAAAATTTATTCTTTTAAAATAAAGTATTTCATATTAGCAACATATTATACATAATTGTATGTGTCTTTTTTTTAAATAATACTGAAAAAATACATACTGCTATTTTCTGACCAATAATTTTTCTTGAAATTTTGAAATCCGAATTCTGGATACTATAGCTGCGCCACACTGGGATATTAACAATATAAAATTGATCTAAAATCTAAACATCAAGTGAGCCCCGAATTTAAGAAAAAATATTTATTTTCTCTGCGTTATTAGGCATTTGTTTTTCTGGATTAATTGATTGCTATTTTATATCGACGATCATTTTTATGTGCAAGTACGTCATTTATATTCGATACGATATGTCCCTTTCCCATATAAACTGGGTACAGATTCAAGATGGACGGCGGCAATTATAACTAATAGTTTGTTAAAAAAAATTGTGACTCTAACAGGGAAGTCTAGTTACCTATTTTCTGAAATTTAGCTAAATTACTAAATGAATATGCACTGTTTTTATGGTGGAATAACTGGCTGTTTGCCCTTTTTTTCATTAAAACAAATATATCGTTTCATCTTTACTTCCTTTTCTATTTTTTTATTTTTTCTTTATCTTTACTTTTTTTTCTACATATAGCTCGTTTTTTACACAAGGAAATTAAACAAATTTATCACAATAAAAAAGAAAAACTTTTTACACACAATTAAAAAATTAATTTTAATATAAAATTAGAAAGTTAGGATATTAGGGTGGAAAAGTTGTCCATATAATTGTTGGATCAAGCATATTTAAAACTAACAAAATTTCAAAAAAATTGCATTTTCATTGCAATTTCCTGAATGTTAATTTAAAACGTTTTTAATATATATTCAAAAACAATTTTGTTCAGAAATTAATATCGTCTTTTTACACCCGTCTGTATTAGTTGGATAGGTGCTCCTAGCTTAAGTAGTTATTGAAAAAAAAATCCATTTATGATCGGGAATCAAGGGGGTAGGAATCCCAATAAATATCTTATTTTATTATTGGCATATTTTTTTTTTCAGCGAAAATGATAAAATAATAATCCCGTATCGCAAACTCGTAAGTATATAACAATTCATTACCAGCTAATCAAATAAACTAACATAGACTAACCCATTTGCGTAGTTAGTTTCGTAAAATCGATGAAATCAAATTTTTTATTGCTGATTTTCAGATGTTTTTTGAACAGCGCTATGACAGAAAATAACATATTTGAAAAATTTGAAACTACCGACTTGAACTTTAGAACACGTATTTTTTTGGTTAGTTTTGGTCCCCCTATTGAAATTGGGGATGCTGTGGTGGCCAATTAAGAAAGGCATTCAACGTTCCACTCGAAATTAATTATTATTGTTATTAATAATTATTTTTAAATTTCAAGAATGACCAACAGGGAGCGTCATCCCATTCTTGAATTTTGAGAATTAATCTTATACTGCAGATAACTAAAATGAAAAACCGTTTTGCAATTGAGATAAATTCGATTCCTTTTAGTAGAATAGTTTTTGCTCTATCTCGTGATGGAAAGTGGCGGAAGTAAATGTCAATAACTTTAGAGTGTCTGAATGTATGTTGGCAAAGTTGGAGTCTTTGAAAAACACTTATTTTAGGCCATCAACGCTGCCCGGAGTGGATTGATTTAAACCGCTTGTGACGTCGGTAGAAGGCGTCATGCGATATCACTACAAATAATTTTTTTTTAAATATTTCAAAAAAATTGAAAAAAACATAAAAACAAAATAATGTCGCCGTCTTTGTATTTTCAGGATTATTATTATTATTATTAATACTAATATTCTTTCTTTTACTATTAACACGCAAACATTATATTTAAAATCTCGATAATAATTATTACTCGTTCAATATGATTGAATATTGCCACATTAAATTTGAAATTTTTAAAATTCAAGCCAATATTGGTGATGAAAGTATCTAAGTAAAGGTTTAATTAGGAAGAAACGAAAATGAAATCTATCTAGCATGCATTTTGCTTACCCAAAAGGCAATTTTTAATCTTATTGTGCCAGAGAAAAGTCTATTAAGGAAACATATCTATTAATCATATTTGCCTATTGGTATTAAAAGAACCTTTTTGAATGCTCTTTTCGATGCTGTGGTATAGAAAGGAGACCCCGGTCTACGGAGATTCAAATTGTGGACATCCATCCGAAATCTAATTTTGTTGTACAGATAGGCTGGTGTCGCACATTGGATGCTTTTGCAATAGAATACAGCGTGAAGTTTATATCGATTAAACATATTCAACCAGCGTGACCTAACTAGATGTGATGAAAGATGAGTTGTATTTCCAACAATTTGCTTGTAACGTGCTTTCTAAATTTTTGTCGAGAGTCTAGAGTAAGTCATAAACTTTTGCAACTTCTTTGTGGAGAATATTACTTCTGCTTTTACTATTATCAATTTGATTGCCATTTCCAAATATCACTGCGGATTTATTGCGATTAAATACCATATTGAGTCACAGAATAGTAAAACCTATTCAAATTAGAATTAATACTGTTGCTTGCTTAGATAAGACACTTCTTAGAAAAAGAAAAGTACAATTGAGTGTCATCTACGAAAAGATGATAATCACAAAACTGTAATGTTGGATGTGGATGTAAAAATCGCAAACAGAAGTGAACCTAAAATACTACCCTGGGGACTCCCTTGTTAACAGCGAAAGGTCTAGAGGTTGATTAGTTAAGTATCACTTATTGTCATTTTGTCACGAATTTACAAGTCACTTCACTAAATCCGATATGATGAAGAATTGAAATGAGAACTTCATAATTTATTATGTCAAAGTCTTTGCTAAACTCAAGTAACACCAAGGCATTAGGTTTGTTATCATCATAAGCCTTAGAAATATCATCTAATACATCTGCAAGAGCGCTTTCACCAAAAAAAATATGTTTCCCCCTTCATGCAAAGTGTCATTTAGTTCGTTTACGAGCAGGTAAAACTTTCGTATTTCATATTGATGGCAGGAGGATAGAACTCAACCCCATATAAAATCTATAAATTATGAACCAGGAAACGTAGGGGATTCGGAACTATAATTTCTATTTCGGCAATTTTTTCGATTACAATATGTAGTACTTTTTATAAAACTTCTGGAGTCCTCCTGCGCTAGTTTTTTGCATATTATCAATTGTTCTACCAAAGAAAAATCTGAGAGTCTATAGAAATCTATAAGCAACCTAACAATCTTAACCGCGATTCAGGTCTCAAGCCAACAGAATGATTGGCGAAAAGTTACCTAGTTCGACTCAACAAAAACCGACATAAGCTTTATAAAAAGTATTACAGTAGCCTGTGGAACTTTCTTGAAAAAAAAAAACAATGTGTAGTAGTAGACAATAATCACACAGGGTGTCCGAAATTTACCAATAGCACACCCATTGTAATTATATATTGATTAACTATGGTTTTCCCTATATCTATTTTCTACTGTTTTTTGATTTTTCGTGTTAAAAATAATAAAATAAGAAATCATGAGGTAAATTGAAGGTTTATAAAGTATTTGCGATTACAGAAGTCCTTATAACATGGAGCAGGGGTCTCCAAACTACGGCCCGCGGGCCACATCCGGCCCGCGAACAGATTTTGTCCGGCCCGCGGAGAGCTTGTATACTTGAAAGAAAAATCTACTAGAGATTAGATGTTGTTTATAGCAAATAAATTTAGTTTACTGAAGTAATCCATTTTTACGTTGAATATTAATTAATATGACATCTACATTGATATGGTCATGGGCTAACTACTCATAACATTGTTGTAGGTTATTATATACTAACCAACAAATTATTGAAATGAATTCAACCAACATTTTATACATTTTAAATAAAAAAATAACTTATAACAAGCATAATGACATATGAAATTCTAATGAGATTTATGTAATTGTGATTTTCCACTGACAATAGTTTGTAGTTGTGGGCTAATTTTACTTGTACCAATTATTAAAAGAGATTTAGATGCCCATCAGTCAATTTAGATCTGTAGACATTTTTTGTGTACTTCATTTTGGAAAAAGTCTTCTCACACAGATAAGTAGTACCAAAAACAGAAAACATTCCACGAGCAAATTTATGCAAATTATCAAATTGTGTCAGTGGAAGACACTTATAAAATTCCAACAAGGATAAGTTTTGATATTTGTTCTTAATGATATCACTGCACTGTAAGTCAATCATTTCCATTTGAAGTTCCGGGGCTAGGGTTTCAATGTCAGTTTCGAAAGGATTCTGAAAAATTTTAATTTGATTCGCAATGGCATCAAAGTCCGAGAAACGAGTATCAAAATTTATTTTTAAAGCAGTCAAAGTTTCGATTGCAAAATTGATAGGAAACTAAAGAATAAATTAATCAATGATTACTTGTGTATTTTATTATTTTTGGAATCAATGATTACTATGCCGATACGATATGGGTACCCCATTAAAACGGTAACCCATACGATACAGATAATATATCAGACTTCCCCATCGCTAGAGGCATCTGACAAAAAATTAACTTCCTTTTACATCATCAGCGGACTGATTCAACTTTTTATCACCGGCGACAATTAATGATAATATTGTTTTGGCCCTTAGAATTTCTTGGCGTGATCAATATGGCCCTAAGGCTGAAAAGTTTGGAGACCCCTGACATGGACGATGAAATATGCGTAATCTGCAACCAGTTCGCAAAGACACTGTACCGGTCAAGCATTATGTTTGGGATTTTTATGTGTAAAATATTTGAAATAAGGTTACATGAAGTACAAAATGTGATTACTTTTGTTATTTTAATTGATGATGATACCAATATTTAATGATGGACCAGACGGGCTGGACTACTCTTCCTGATGGGCACCCCCGTCCGTATTTCTTAAAAAGTGGATAATTTCTGTGCAAACATTTTTCTTTAGTAAAATAAATTACATACTAAGACATGGACAAAAGATTTACATAGGCTATTGATTTAAAAAATAAGTATAATGGATTTTTTTAAACTCAAATAAGCTTAGGTGTTTTAACTAAAATTTTCAATTTTTTTAAATTACTCGAGATATCTAAGAAACTGTTGGGATTAAGTACAGAAAAATCTTAAGAAACATACCAAAAGATTTTCTCCGAAATCCAAAATCGAATAATATACCGACTGTTCCATTTATGTGATGCCAAAAACTTTTGTATTTAAAGTTTTTTGATGAAATAAACTACTATAAAGATATAGAAGAAATTGATTTATCATTTTTTTGGTACTTTCACAAGACTTATGAAAATCTTAGTTAACCGAAAGGTGATGTAATTTGTAATTAGTGTTTAAAAAAATGTATCGATCAGCATACTTGAGGAACTCCCGAACTTAACAGCAACTCTGATACATCAGTTACTCAAAATCTAGCTACTCTCTATGATATTTGTATTTTTTGCGAACCAATTTAGATGTGCTGCCTTAAAGCTGAGAAAAAATCAAATATTTTTGGCCCAATGCTGTTTACCCTTTGTCTGCAAGCAAAGTCGAGGGCAGCCTGCAAACATCTTCTTAAATAAATGTCCATATCTCCAACACATTTGCAATTATGCCATGCCACCAGATGGAGTTTTCTGAAGTAATAGCAAAAAATTAATTTTCTAGAAAAAGAATAAATGCAACGATATGAGTTTTATATGTCATTCGATAAATGTATATGATCTATAACGTGGACATTTTTCCCCAAATTCTACATTTTTTGGTAATCAGTTCTTTAATTCATCAATAAAATATTGAGATGCGGTTTTCGCTGGGTGGTTGGATCTTTATTTGACCATCTGCCTAGATAACACATATCCATTCAATACGTCAAATTAGTCCATACATTGTCTATGCAGTCCAGGAAACTCTCTATCGAATATAATATAAAACAATACAATGCTTCTGAGGTAAATTTTTATGGATGTTATATAATAATATCAATAAACCATACCACAAGTTAATTTCAAGGATTCTAAGAGCATGTTTTTGTTGGATTATTTGTAATGCTACTTGAAGCCTATTTTCCTAATTTCTAAGTTGAAGTAAAACCGATA